TATTAAATTAAAATGAAAATCATTTATTTTAATTTATTTAAAGATATTTCTAAAACATATTAATTAAACTTTAGTTTCTAAAGATATTTTCTTCATTTCATTCAATATATTTTTAAGTGGAATTTAATTTAAAATTAATTTTAAATAAATAAAAATTATTAACCTAAATCCCAATTCTAAAGAAACTATTTTACTACAAATTTAAGTTAAATTATTTGATAAGTTTATTATTCCTTCATCAGAAATATGGTTATCCCTAATTTTTATTTAACCAATAAAAAATAAGTTTATAAACTGAATATAAAATATCAGTGTTTTATATTTTAATATACCAAAATATAAGCTTTAAATTTTATAGATTTGAACAAAAAGTTAAAGATTTTGTTAAAGCTGAAACTGCTTCATCATTTATAATGTTTTTCCTAAAATAAATTATAGATTTTAATAAATTTATTGATTTTAATTGAATAAATTAACTTAATTGCTAACTAATAAAATATTTTAAAAAACAACAGTAAAATAAAATAATTAATTACTATAAGTATACTTTCAAGCTTTAGATATTTTTGCATTATTCTATACATTTACTTAATTGTGCTATTTCTTTTTCACTAATTTATTTTTCACTAAAATATTTTATTTTTAAAATAAAAATTTTAATTTTTTAAAAAAGCTAATTTATTAATTAATTAATTAAAAAATAGAAGAAGTTATTAATAATAAAATTAACATTTTACTTTAAAGTAAGAAATAAATCAACATGGCTCTGTAAGTCAGACTGTTAAAACTTTTTTTGGCAAAAATAATTTATTGAGACTTAAACTTACAAAATTATTTTACTTCATTTAAATTTGAATATTCGCTTAAATTTTATTTTAGCATATTTTTTTCTTTTTATCTTTTAATAAATTTTGTAGAAATTCTTTAAAAATAAATAAACAAATTCAATCAATATATTGAATTATATTTTTATTGATATTATATTTTATAAATATCATCCACATTATCCATAAATATATTAATTTTTTGAAATTCGTTTATCTCAATAATATGGAAAAATCATTCTGAAATAAAAGAATAAATAAATAAGATTATTGTAAAAGCAAAATTTAATTGGGCAGGTTTTACTCTATATCAACATCCCTCTAATTTATATTTTTATACACCTTAACCCAAATATTGTGTATAGGCACTGTTAAATTATGGTGTAAATTTTATTGTTTCATATTTTTTTACCTATTTTCTTAAATTATTTAAGAAAAATAAAATATTAAATTTGCTTTATAAAGTATAGTAAAATATTTGAAATTAAATTAAAGAAATTTTAATCTGAAACTCAAGATTTTCAAAAGCTTGTTGTAAATTAAGTAAATTTTAATATTTTTATTTGATTTCAACTATTGTGAAAATAAATTAAAAGTGTTTTATTATAATTAATAAAACTATTATAAAAAATACATTATAAAAGATTTAATTTTAAAAATAACAAAAAAAGACTTTAATACTTAAATTTAAAAAATTATTATTTATTATGTTAATATCATTTATAGCTTTTTTTTGAATTAAGTTCTTGCATCTCAATGATAGGAAGAATTTATTATATGAAGTAATTTATTATTTATTATCATAACTTGCTTTAAATTTCCTCTAAATTCATAATTAAATTTATCTTTTTGATTAAAAAATTAAGTCATCAGAGAACTGATCAGAAAATTAAGTAATTATAATAATTTTATACCTTTGCAAAACATTTAAATATAAATTGAATATATCTAAAATAATTGAAACATAAGTGTATAATTTTAAATTCGATTGTAATAAATTAAAATATTTATTGTTTTAATATATGTAAAGAACTCAAATTTTAAATATCACATCACTATTTTATGTTTAACATTTATTGAACTTTTAAAGGAAAATAACTTTTTTTGAGTAAGAATCTCAAAGTAAATTGTATCACTATAGTTACTAAGCTTATTTTATTTAATAAAAAAATTTTCTTTGTTTATTTGATCTGATTTGCTTTGATGTAAATTTATTTGATTAAAAGTAAAAATAGTTAAAAGATTCTCCATCAAAGATAAGATCCTCTAAATAAATATAAATGTTTGTTTATCATAAAATATGAGCTAAACTTTTTAATGATTGTCAAATATTTTATAGGCAAAAGCTTTATAATTATTATTATAACTTCTATACTTGAAATCTAAAATTATTTATAAAAAAATAAAAGAATGTAAATTCCCTAATCTTAATTAATTTTGTCAAAAAAGTTAATCCATTAAACAAAAATAGTACAAATCAAATAAAATTTGCTTACTTTGTTTTTAATTTCAAATTTCGTAATACCTAAATTGACATAATACATAAAATAAATATTAAATGGGATTATAATCTTAGTATGTGTCTTCCTAATAAAATATTGGTAAAAGACAAATAAATGACAAGAAAATTGTTTTGAAATATCAAATATTAATTAAACTTTTTAAAAGTTAGTTAGCGTGTTTGAATTTATAAACTGAGTAGTAAATTTCTATTAAAAAATTGATATCAGGTAAATATATTAATTGCCAGAAAAACGATATGAAATGTCAGATAATTATTTACTTTAATTATAATATCTAAGCAAATAGTAATAAGATATTTTTTCAATATAAATTGTTTTGATGCCAAGTTTTTTACTTTGTTCGTAAGATTTTTTAGCTTTAATGGCAAATAGAAAACTCATACTTATAATTTTAGCTTTTTAGAAATAATTTAAGAATTTAATTTTCTGATTGAATGTAACTATGATCACTAATGTCAAAAATTAATTAGGGAATATAAAAGAATATTTTAATAGAAAGCTTTAAATTAGAATAGATATTAATGATTCTCAAATTGATTTTTATAAAATTAAATACATTTTTAATCTAAAAAAAAAAAGTAAAATGAAATCATAACTTCTGGTTGCCTTTGCCATTTAGTTATTGCTTTTGGTAAATGCTGATGACAATTGTAATTTTACTATAGATTAATTAAATAACTAAGTATTAAAAACTAAAATTAGTTCATCATGCAATAACTGCTTCACTTCAGATGTTAAATTGACTATCTAGTCAAATACTTAATAAATCATCTCTCTAAAATTAACTGCTATCGATGCTAGCGATCCTGTGTAATAAACAACGCTAAAACCAGCTGAAAAATCATTAACAATAAATCCATTCTTTTTGATATAATATTAATCTGGAGGAACTTACGAGGCTTTCAATTTCATGACTACCTGTCAAACAAAATAGATAAATGGAAATCTTGTTTATAACTTAGTTTTTAATGCTAAAGTAAATGATAATTACTAATTTTTTGAATTAAATAACGGGTATACTACTAATAGCCTAATACTCTAAAGTTTATCCTACGTAGCTTTAGTCCTTGGTGTGGCTTTATTATTTTGAAAAAAAATTATATTAAAAATTAAAAATTAAAAGCAATAAATATTTTTTTATATATATATTGAAGCGTGTATATGAAAGTTTAATTATTTTTTTCATAAAAATATTTAAAATTTCTAAAATTTAAATAATAATATTTTTAAATATATTGATTCATGCAGGCCGTACCCTAGGGTACTTACTATACATATATATATACTACATATTTTTCCTTAAAGATTATTTTGAAATTTTTAGAGTAAATACCAGTTTTTTATATTCTAAAGAAATAAGGAAAATTAAATATATTTTTGATCAAAATTCTGATAATCTATCTATTAATGAATAATTTTTAAATTTTGATTTTAGCAGAATTAATTTAAGATACTTGAAAATATCAAATTTAATTTTATCTTTAATTAGAAATTTTATAAATTAGTAAAGAAAATATAAATAATTAATCAAATAATAATTAAATTCAATAAAACAAATAATAAAGACCAAAATGATGAAAGTTTAGTTTTTAATTGTCTTAACTGCCTATTTGCTAATCTTAACAAGCGCTTTTGACGATAATTGTGCTTTTCGTATTGATCAGTTGAATAACAAAGTATTAAAAACTGTTATAATCAAAGATTGTAAAAAATGCTTCACATCAGATGTTACATTAACAATAGAGTCAAATAGTGAATAAATAACTTCTCTAAAATTGACAGCCGTCGAATCTAGCAGCTCTGTATAAAGCGTAACTCTATTACCAATGTCTGATTCTTTAACTATTGATCCTAGTCTTTAATTATATTACCCTAGTCCTTCAGGTTATACTTTTAGTAATTTTATAACCGCCTGCAGAACAAAATAAATTAATGGATAACTCACTTATGATTTAACTTTTATGCCTAAAGTAAATGGTAAAGACTAAACATTTATATTAAATAATGGGTATACTAGCAGCTTATTACTTAAAAGTGTAGCTTATGTCTCAATGATTATTTGTATAGTGTTATTTTTCTGATTAAAGTATAATAAAAAATAAATTAAAGTAATTTTATATTTTATTCAGCTTTAAGCATTTAAAAATAATTTAAATACAAAAAAAATATGATCTTGCATTAATATTTAATTTTACGTTTTTAAAAATTCAGTAATAATAATTTATGAATTTGCATTTGCTAGTATGTGAATTATATTTGATAATTTAATTTTAGTTAGGTTCTAGATAAACTTCATAAGGTAATTAATACATTATTTTGATTATTACAAAAAGAAAATCTGTCTCAGAAAGTGATAATGGTATGTATCATTTACTAAATATTATAAAAAATATTAAATGTATTAAATACAAATACATATTTTTTATCTATTTTAGTTTCTGACAATTTTACTTAAAATATAATAGTTTATTAAGAAATAAACTTGATTGATGTAATAATAATTTGAAAAATAACTAAAAATAAGACATGAGGAATTTACTATATAAAAATCAATTTACTTTTATGAGACTAACTAAATAAGTACAAACTAATTTTTGGTTTTTTTATGAATTTCATATAATTTTAAAATCAATATATTTTATAAATTTACTTTTATGAGATTAAAGAAGTTAATACAATTACTCTTTAAGAAGAGTTGGAATAGTGGTTTTTAATCTATTATTGTATAAAAAATTATATCATATACAAAGAATTTGGTTAAATTAAATTAACCCTATAAACTGCCAATTTACTGGTTCCTCTATTTTTTTAAAGACCTTAAAATCACATAAAGACGAAATAATCAATAATTTCTTTCCATAAAAATAAACATTTTTTCCTTTTATAATGAAAAAAAATTTTTTTTGAAAATGAATTGAAAATGTATTAAATTAAATATTTTAAAGCTTTTTGAATTTGATTTGGGTATAATATATATATATGTATGTATGTATGTATGTATGTATGTATGTATGTATGTATGTATGTATACAGTTTAAGCACTTTATTTTTCGCTAAAATATTTTATTTTTAAAATAAAATTTTTAATTTTTTATCAAAAAGCTAATTTATTAATTAGTTAAAAATAAGATATTAATAATAAATTGAATATTTTACTTTAAATTAAACTATAGTTCAATATGACTCAACAAGTCAGACTATTAAAACTTTTTTTGGCAAAATAATTTATTGAGAATTAAATTTATAAAATTATTTTACTTCATTTAAATTTGAATATTCACTTATATTTTATAATAGCATTTTTTTATCTTTTTATCTATAATAAATTTTTTGTAATTCTTTAAGAATAAATAAACAAATTCAATATATTAAATTTGATTTTTTCTGCTATTATATTTTATAAATATCATCTTTAATTTTATAATTTTTTGAAATTTGTTTATTGCAATAATATGTAAAAATACTTCTGAAATTTAATTAATAAATAAATAAGATTATTGATTGTAAAAGCAAAATTAATAAAATAAACATTAATATTAATAATGTTAGTATATTTTAACTAGGTGAAACTTCATCAAGTTGTATTTTTTTATATGAGTTTATTAAATTTCATATTAAGTGAATCTTGTGCCTATTTTAATTCTTAATTAACAATACTTGATTAAAAGTAGAATAAAAAATTAACCTCCATTTTGATTGTAAATCTTATAATCCTAAAAAAGTTCATTAAAAACATTTTTAATTAGATTTCTTATATTTTAGTAAAATCATATAGAAGCTATAATTAAAAAATGGAAAGCACTTATTGTAATACTCATATGGATTGGTTTGGTTATCTCTCTTACAGGAGTCAAATTAAAAAATGTAATTACCTAACCATCAAAACAATAAAAAAGCTATTAATTTAAATTCCTGAAAATATAACCATATTTAAAAGCTATAAAAGATCCTATTGGGTTAAAAAATGGAATCACAAATTTTAATTTCCAACTCAGATTCATTTACATTAGGTATAAAATTATTTTTCATATACAATAATTTTTCTTGAAATAATTAATTATGATGAAAGAAAATAATAAATTATATAGTAATTTATTTTAAATTATTTTAAGTAGAAAAATATACTAAAAATATATTTAAAAATTAAAAAAATATATCAGTTTTAGATAAAAACATTCTAATATTCATAAGATAATTTATCCTGAATTGTATTTATTTATAAAAGAATCCCTAATAAAAAGTAGTTTAACAGACAGGCACCTTTGATTATATGGAATAAATATAAGATCCAAAAAATTTATATAATTTAAAAAAAATACATTCAATATAGCTTTTAAAAAATAGCATCATATTCTATATAATTTAAGTATGATAAATTTATGCTAAAATATATACTAATAAAACGATATAAAAATAATAAAAATTTTCACTTTAATAATGATAAAAAACATTCAAGAATAAGAAAAAATAGCTGGATTTGTACTAAAAGTACTCCTCTCTAATCTATTTTATGATCATTATTTCTTATAAGAAAGTATGATCAGAAAAAATTTATTTGATTTTAATTTTGTATTTTCTAAATAAAACTAAAATATAAATATTGATTTAGTTCTATTAATTAAAATTTTAAATGTCATTTAAAAGCATAAATCATAATAGATTAAAATATTTCATAATATCAAATATGCTATTTCAAACCATTTTGGATTTTAATTTACTTGGTTATTTGAAAAATGAAACATAAAGCTATTTTTTCAATTTATTGCTTAAATACAATATTTTTAACTAGTAGACTCTTTTATAGTTGTAAGACCTTACCTAAATGTTAATTAGAAAAAACTAATTCTAACTAAGCCTTATCTAGTTTAATCAGAAAAATTTTAACCATTTTTTTGCCTTACACGATTTTAATAAAAAAATAAATTAATTTAGAAAGTTTATAAAAGAAATAAGACAAACCATTTAATTATGTCTTCTGTAGATTGAAAAAATGTTTATTAATATAAATTGTTTTAAATGGTTTAACTATTTTACTCAATAGCTAGCTTTACAACTATTGATATTGATTATAAAATAACTGAGTACTTTTAAGTTATTACAAATTATAAAACATAAATTATTAGTGGAGTATTTTTTAGCTTTTATATAGCCAAATTTAATTGCTTGATTAATCCTTTTCAGAAAAAAATTTCTTATCCGAATATGAAATAATTCCTTAATGAAAAATGAAGTTTAAAAAGTTGATCGATTTACTAAATAAATTATAATTTGATAATAAGTAAAAGTTTAAAGAGATAAAAAAAATGAATTTTAAATAAATAATTGCTATCGCTATTTAATTACTCATTTTAGTCAGTGCTTCAGATTAAAATTGTAATTTTTCGGTAAGTTAGCTTAATAACAAAGTATTAAAGCTCACATAACAAACAAAATGTGATAAATGTTTCACTTCTGATGTTAAGTTGACTATTTAATCTAACAGCTAGTAAATCACCTCTCTTACTTTAACAGCTACCTCAAGTAGTAGTCCAGTCAAAACTCTTATATTGTAACCATTCACCAAATCTTTGACTTTGAGCCCAAGCTTTATGGTAGAAATCGGAAGCATGACTTCAGGAGATTATTACTCTTACAACTTTATCGATTAATGCAATGCCAAACAAGTTAATGGAAATCTTGTATATGATTTGCAGTTTAAAGCAAAAGTAAATGGCAATATGCAATATTTTGAACTAAACAATGGAACTAGCGGAAATAGCTCAACAACCAAAATTAGCTTTATCTTATTTATCCTTAGCTTATATTTGATATTTTGAATATAATAAAATTATAAGCAAATTATTAGAAAAAACTATTTATGGCTTTTTATATTTAAATTATGTTTTTTTATTGTTAGTAAAACCTATTTAATGATAATATATCTCATTCATTCAAAACAAAATAATTTATTTTAATTTATAAAATATAATATTTAAAAACTTTACTTTGTAAAAGAAATTTAAATATTAAAATGAAATTTTATGTGAAACTTTTAATAAAGGAAGAGTTATCACTTAAATATATATTAAAATACTTGATGAAAATGATAAGAGAATGAATGATTTTTGGAGAACTCACTCAAAGAAAAAATCATAACAAGTGGATATTAGCCTATGCATGCTATGAAAAAGTAATTCACTTTAAGCTAAAGAAAATTGAATTAGGGTGACTGCTTTTGTCCTGGCTAATTTATTTATGAAGTCAAAAGATTCTATCTTTCTTAATTAATTTGAAAATACTATCATAAATGTTTTTTTTTCTCCATTTTTAATATATTGAATACCATTTATTTATTTTAAAATTTGTTCTTTTTAAATCCCAAACATTTTGGTTTCCATCTTGCTAACTGAAACAACTAAATAATATATAAAATGTTTTTTGATTTTTTATATAGTGGATACATCATTTCAGTGGAAAGCCAATAACTTTTAATGTTAAAATTGAATGTTAGGTATCTCTATTAAAAAACATAAATTTTTGAACTTTTTGGGGGTGCGAATTTCAAAGAGAAATATGGTACTAACTAAAACAAAAATATAAATATTCATTTATTTCTATTAATTCAAACTTTAATTGTTATTTAAAATCATAAATCATATCAGATTAAAATATTTCTTAGCATCAAATAAGCTATTTCAAACCATTTTGGATTTTAATTTACTTGATTATTTGAAAAAATGAAACAAACAGCTATTTATTTTTACGATTTCTTTCTTAAATACTATATTTTTAACTAGTAGGCTCTTTTTTAGTTGTAAGACATTGCCTATTTTTAATTAGAAAAAATTTATTCTAATTAACACTCACTTATCTAATTTAATCAGAAAAATTTTAAACATATAAGTGCCTTACCCAATTTTAATTAGAAAAATAATTAATTTAGTAAGTTTATAAAAGAAATAAGATATACTATTTAATTTTGTCTTCTGTAGATTAAAAACTAAAAAGTTTTATTTATATAAATTATTTTAAAAGGTTTAACAATTTTACTCAATAGCAAGCATTACAACTATAAACTTTATAATAAATTAGAAATTTTAGTTGAGTATTTTTAAGCTTTTACTTACATAGTCAAATTAAATTCCATAAAGATAGATTAATATATTTAATTTTTTGAAAATCACAGTATTTATTTATTAATTTTTTAATGAGTGTTTTAGTTCTTCAATTTCTAAAAGCTTGATATAAAAATATTGAACATTATTTCATACTCTTATACATAAATATATATATTTTTTTATACACAGTATTTATAAAATTAATTCAAAGTTTAATAATTATTTTATTATTTAAAAATGTTTTTATTTATTTATTTCAGAATTAGTCAAAGAAATCTTAATCAGCGTCATCTATCTCTTCATTTTTGATATCTCTTTTTTATTAATGAGCCATTTTTTTCTTAATTGCGTTATCTAATTTTTAATGTTATTGTTAGTAAAGATTGTAGTGAGCTTATTATGATGAGTTATTTGGCTAGACTTAATTTTTAATGAAGTTCCCCCATAGTTCTTGTTTTTATTAAGCTTATGGGACAGACCCAAACAAACCTTAATGGGCATTAGTTCTATTAGCATGCTTTGATAATATATTAATCTTTTTATTTTAAAACAAACAAATAAATGAATAATTATTTATAAATTAATATTTTTCAAATAAAAAATATATATACCTAAACTTCTTAAACAGCTTGCTTGTATTCATATGTTATTTTTTACTCTTGAGTAATAACTCTAACCATTTTATCTCCTTGGAGAGTTGAGAAGAAGATTTTGCTTTAGATAGGAATTGTTTGTCTTCCTTTGAAATCATACTCGTCTTTAACAGCATATTGATAAGTTATGCTTGAGTTTTCAGTTGCATTTCCTAAATCTGTATGAGGACTACCTTCTATCATCACAAGACCTTCATGAAGCTATACAACAATTTCTACTTTAGTGGCAACTAGATCACTTTAAACTAACTCAACAAAATTAGAGTTAAAGTCAGCAGGGCCTACTCTAGAAGTTCTTCCTCCTGTTGTGTTAGATAGTTTACCAAGTACACGGACATCGCTCTCGTTTCCTCTCATAGTAATAGTATGAATCAATATACCTAAAGATTATGCTAATTAACCCATTTTTTCATAAGTGGCATAGTCTTTTTAGTCTTCTAACTTTCCAATACCTTCATTAGCAAGTCCATCGGTGCATAAAATGATACTTGAGCCAATTTAAGGACTTTATGAAGCTAATCCTAAACTTACAGCTAAACCAGGTCCAAGAGCTGTTGAGCCATTAGTCCTAATTTCCTTATATTTTTAAGGCATATTGTTAACTTGGCCTACATTATTTTTGAATAGATTTTCATAGTTATTTTATCCTTATTCAAATAGCTTTTCAAATGATCCTTCTTTAGAAATCGACACAGGAGCTGATTGACAATCACCTAAATTAAACGAAATAAAAAATGTTGTTGACTTATTTTTTTTTTTAATTGATTTTAATTATTTCATTTAAAAAAATATATTTGTTATTTTACCTAAAACAGTGACATCCTTAGAAAATAAAACTATTCCTACTTTCCTGTTAGGAAATTTTTTCTGCATTTGAGTAATTTAAGATTGGATAGCTTTTTCGACACAAGCTTTACGAGACATGTACTTATTCTAGCCATCTTCATCCTTGAAAACAGTTCCACTGCTCATTGAACCTGAATTATCAAGACAAAAAATAATAGTTCTTTAGTCATTTATATCAGCATCACTATTATCTTCTACATCCATTTAAAATTCTGAAGTTTTAGATTACTATTTCTCTACTTGTGAAGATTTCATTTTCTATTATAATTTATTAAAAAATATTTTATTAAAATATTTATTTTGCTATTCATTTAAACAATAAAAATATAAGATTCTTGATAACATACTTCATTTTATTTTTCTAGCATATAAAATATATCCTTTTCCTTAGGAATCAAGTTGTTGTTATTTTATGGAACATTAAGAGGATTAGCGTAATCACAGAACTCGCACTGCCAAATAGTTTAACCATCTTTTTATTTAATAACAGATAAGTGGTTCAGAGCCGCCTAGCAACTAACACAAAAATTTGGAGCCTTTTAAATATAGTTCTTTTAGAGTTTCTTCAAATTTGAAAAGTGAATTTCAATGATGTTAGAAGTAACTTTTTGGTGCACTTAATTCTAGTAGATCTTCTTCTCTTCCGAGCTCTTAGGCACAAAGAGATAATCGTTTGCTTTATCCATTTTTGTTAATAAATAGCTATATTTGAATTAAATTAATTTTTAAGGTTTTTGTTAGTTAGGATTCAACTTATTTTCAAAAAGTTATTTAAAGTCATTATTGGAGACGCTTAGAATTATTAGTTAGTGTCACTCTCAAGATTTATAATATTTTTCTGATCTAATCTGAGTAGTAATTTAATGGATTTGCCCTTTTGTCTTAAAAAAGTTTATATCTTTAATATTTCTACTCTGTTCTTCATTTTCATCATTTTTCAATAGGTGTCTATAATAATTTAAATAACATTCTAAATATCCATTTTTGAAGTAAAAAATATCGATGAAAAAACACTTTATAAATAGATTGCTAAATAAATAAATAAATATTTTGATTTTGATTAATTGATTTGATGATATTTATTAGTTAATATATGTTATATAATAAAAAATATCTAATATAATTTCAAAGTTTAAAAGTAGATAAAATATTTTTCATTATTTATTAAAATGCAATTTTTTTATTTATTTAATCTTTGTTTGTTTATTTGACATAAAAAGAAATATTTTACTTTATTTACTCTTGATTAAAATAAAGGTTTTGTATGAATAAATTAATATTTATAAACACTATTCTGATCTAAACTAAGTTTTTATTAATTGAATAATTTTAAAAGCCTAAATACTTAATTGAGTGTTAATATCTACATATGTTTATAAATCACCAAATTTTTTCTTTTACCATTTCATTAATAATTGAATCAACTATTTATTATTATATTAAGCTTAAAAGAAGATAATTTATTGAATTTAGTTAAATAATTTTACCAAATAATTTAATTTGCTAATAATTTTAAGCTAAAATTTTCAATTAAATTAAAATATTTTTGAAAATTAATATTTTAAAAATTTGTATTTTGAAGCTAGTTAAGCTAAACTAATTTGTATTTTTTAAAAATGTAATTATAAAAATAACCAAAATAGTTTAATAAGTTATTAGATTTTTGAATTTAAAATATAAAAAAAAATGTTGATAAATTAAATTATTTTGGATTGTTTTCTTCTGAAATTAATTTTTAATAAAGTTTTTATTCAGAAAATTGGCATTTAGGGAATTTTTTAGTAAAAGTAGAAAATGTATATGAAATCACTAAAAAACAAAATCCATACTAAATACATAGCTAAAAAAAGGCGCTTTTAAATTTAAAAATTTTATCAGGAATTATTTCTTATCAAAAAGGTGTGTCTGATCACAAAATAATATCAAACTATTTATCTTGCTACTTAAGATTTTTTAATATTTGATGAAATTTAGTAAAGGAAAGAATAAAAAGTAGAACTAAATCATTTAATATAGATGCACAGTGAAAAAAAAGATTTTAAACTTAATTCTGCTGCCACTTCAGATTTATTTTACAATAGACAGTAATTTATTTAACTCGTTAATGAGCAAATTTAACTTTTGGAGACATCTGTAGATAGTTAGAATCTTAATGAGCAGTATAAATTCTTATCTGGTTTCTTAAGAGAGAGTATTATATTGAATGGATTTTATCATAATTTCATTATTTTTTATTAAAGGTAGTAGCTTAGTTATTTTTTTGCAGCAACAAATGTAAACTCTTTACAAGTTAAGAATTTATCAATTATCTGCTGTTTCGGTTGAAAGAAATCAGCTAACTCCACCAAAATATGATTATTTGAGTAGTAAAAGAATTTATTTCATTTTATAAAAATAATAATAATATACAAAAAGATAAATCATAATATTTTAATTTGAAAATATAAATAGATACTGAATGTACATTTTAAGATTTGTTTAGTAGAAACGAGCAGCTTAAAAGTCAATCTTCCTTTCAAAGGGCTTTTGATAAATCTGTTTAGTAAAGCGATTCTAATTTTTACATTTACCCGAAGCAACTAGCTGAAGAAAATAATAGTTAAAACAATAATAAGTATTTTGATTATATGAACAATATTACTCCTCAACAATATTAATAAAAGTATTAACTTTACAACAACTCTTCTTTTTTTAATGATAAAAACGAAGATTTATTTCCTGTAAATCTTAGTGAGTCCTTTAAGAAAATTAAGAACTACTCAGATTTTTTCGATAACCAAAATAACAAGCAATCTACTAACTTTTCTGAATACTTTGATACTAAGAATAGATACAGAATACTTAAGCAATAAAACCTTGAGCTAGATTTCATCAAAGTTAAACAACCAACCATCACAGATGAGGCTAAAGAAAATTATGTCAGCTAATTTGGCAATTAAAGTTAGGGCAAGCAAATAAAAATTGTAAAAAAGAATACCTGTAGTAACAATAATTTGGCTATATTTTCTTCTCCACAGCAAGCGATGGCTCAAGAAGAAAAGATACAGTCTAAGAACTTCTCGTTTGAAGACATGGATGTTTATGAAGAAAAAAATACAGATAAAAATTATAACTAAAAGTTTTTAAGACAAGAAATTCCCGTTTAAGAGTTTTAACTTTTAAATTTGCCTGGTTCTTCTCCCAAGCAGCAGAATGGTGGCACTCCTTATAAAACATTTAAAGAAAAGTAGCTCTATTAAAAACCAATAAATTCTAATTAAACCAAACAAATATAGAAATTCAATTAAAATAATAGCTATCTAGACTATGATTTTGACATACAAGAAGGAAGTGTTTTAAAAAATTGTTAAAAATTGAATATTTTAAATAATTAGGTTACAAATAATTAAAATGAGAAGAAGTCTTTTAACATGGATAATTCTAAATAAATTAATGTATTAGGTACTTTGCAAAAAAATATTTAAGAAAATGGCTAAATTGATTCATCTCAATTTAAGTAAAATCACTACAAAAATGATATTTCAAATACATAAGAAAGGAATACTTAAAACAATTTGCTTGGAGGAGCTTAAAACATTTTACAGACAAATAATTAATGCAATTTATTGAATAATTCTAATTAAAAATTAAATATTTAAAATAGTTAAATATCAAAGATTTCTAATAATCAATAAAGTAATAAATAAAACTAATAAAGTAATTTAAGTAGTTAATAAGGTCAAGTTTCTTACAGTTAATAAAGTTCTCACTTAAATACTTAATAAAGCTCAAATGAAAAATAAAATTCTAATTTATTTTAAGGAAAAATAAGCTAAAAACCACAACGAAAGAAAAAAGAAAGAGCAAAAAAAATCTTGAAAGCATACTATCAGCAGAACAGCGATGAATCCTTAAGCAGCAATCCAATTGATAAGAAGAAAAAAATATCTAAAAGTAAAATATCAAATTAATTTTTTTTTAGTTGATTTAAGTTAATTTTTATTTATTTTAAATATTCAGCCAATAACAAGCTTGCTACCTCAATGAGAAGTAAAATATAAGAAAATGATAAAATAAAGACAAAATTAAGTAAAAGAGATTCAAATTATGGTGATAGTAATTTAGAAGAATCTCTATTTGAAAATGATACTAGCGAAGAAAGCAGCAATTCTGACTTATATTATGATTAAGAAAGTGAAAATGATGATAATGATAGCTTAAAGCAAGAGTCAGATAAAAGTTTCGATGAAGATTAGTCTTTTTCATACTCAGATGAAGAGAATTTAGACGACAAAGGTTTTATAGAAACATAGCAAGCAAATAACTCTAGTAAACTGAATTTGACAACAAAATCAAAAAGAGGGCATTACAAAAAATATTCTGTGAAACTAAAGAAAAAATTGGTTAATCTAGTAAAAAATTAAACTAAATTATTAATACTTAAAAACTTATTATTTATAAATTATAAAGCTTCTGGAAGGAGAATAGCCAAAGGATCTCTCTTAAAAATATAATATTCCTATGAAAAATTTATAAAGATGGAAAATTTATGGTGCTGAAAGAAGGGAAGGAGGAGGAAGAAAGATCATGGATTTAAATATGGAAGTTATTCTTTTAGAGTATTGTATTGATTATACATTAAGAGGAAGGTGTAGATGTCCTAGAAAATTAATTATGCAAAAAGTAATCAATTCTATTTATTTTATTATTTTTTTAAGTTTTCTGATATTAAAAGATATTTATTTACATCTTAAAATTATATTAATTTTAATAAATTTGTTTAAATTACTCTAATCTATTTGTTTTTTTTTCATTAACGAACGAGAAAATGGTAAAAATTAAATATAAACACAAAAAAAATAACCTAAAAATAATTACAACATATTTTAATATTTCCAAAAATAAAAAATTATTTATTATTGATTAAAATTTTAATAAACTAATGCTTAATTTTAGAATATTTAGTTTTAGGATTTTATTTTATATTGTCTAAGCAATTACAGTTGATATAAATTAATTGCTATTTTAATATTTTAAAATATTTAAATTAAAAGGCAAGAGATTTTACTAAAGAGGCTAATAAGTTTAAAGGATCAAAAGGTTGGCTTGATAAATACTCTACTAGAACTGGTCTGTCAAAGATAATGTCAGAGTATAAACAATTAAAGATTAGTAATGAGAGAGAAATCTTCAAATATGTTAAATGTAAATCAATTGAGCATATTAAATAAAAGATAAAATAGGTAAATCCTCTAAACATATTTACAAGTTAGCAATACATTAAATTTTTAGAAGGGCAACTTTCTGTTTATTAGAATTTTTGGGAAATTGAATTACCTTGCTATAAAAACATTTCTAGTTAATATTGGCAGTATTATGAAAATAGAAACACAATTTAACTAATTTAAAATAACATCTTTAGTGATGTTATAACTGAATATAAAAAATTTAATAAGTGTTCTAAATTAAATGACCTTAACTATTACTTTGGTATTCCATCTGAATATTTCTTAAAATGTCTTTGCCTTTAAAATTGCTCTGAGAAAAGCAAGCAACCAAACGATTAAACAATACAACATTAAAATTTGAAAGAACGTAAACACATTCAATATATCTACAAAATCACTTTAAAAAAATTTTTTTATTTATTTATAAAGAGTCTTAGATAGTTTAAGAAGCAAATTCAGAATATTTAAAGCAGGATCTCATAAAATAAGTAAAAAAAGAAGCAGTTGAAGAGAGAATGCAAAGCTCAGCAGTTTTGGTAGATGATAATTAAAATTTTGTTTTTAGTCCTTTGATAATAAGAAGTAAAAATGTACCAAAATATAACATTAAACAATCTTATGATTTAAAAGATAAACAAACTGAGTTAAATAATTTAATTGAAGGATAAAATTAAACTGATCAAAATGACTAAATATTCAATAAATAAGATAAATAAATTAATCACTTCAGCTAACAAAAATACAAATATGCTCAATTAATTAGTGATGACGATAGTTCGATTGAAGAGATTTTCAGGAATTATGAAAATAATATTGACTGAATGACTGACTGACTGACAGATGATAGATTATTTTATTCAAAAAAATTATTATTTTATTTTTAATTTTATTTGTTTTATTTTATTTCATATTTATAAAAAATGAAAGATTTTGATTTTGATGTTCGCTTTTTTTAATTTTAAAATTAAATTTTTCTTTCGATATTTTAATTGGAATTTATTTCATGCAAAAAAGCGTATTTGGATTATATCAAAGAAAAAATAATTTTTTTGAAAAAAGTATGTTTAAAAAAATAAACTAATAATTTAAATAGACAATAATGATATCTGAAAGTTTTTGTATTGACTTGATAAAATTCAATATTATTTAAGATTATAATAAAGAAAAAGAATTGTATGAAAGTAATAATTAATCAGAAAGTAAATATAGATAATTAATATTTAGCAAGTTATTTATTTTCAGTAATGAATTATTTGTTTTTACTTGAATTATCAAATAGTTCAAGTGCATATTTCGAAATATTAGTCAGTATAAGCTCAAATCTTAAATTTTAATAAAGCACTTGAACCATAAAATAATTATTAATCAATTGAAATTTAAAATCTAACAATTCAATAATATTGCATTAATGATTGCGTTTATTTATTTGTTTAATTCTTTTAATATCTAATATTTTATTCTAAGTATTTAATTACAAAAACATTTATCATTTTTTCAACTTATTGCACTTTTTAGCTTTAATTTGATGAAGAATAACAAATAGAAATTTAGGAACTAAATTTATTAACAACAAAAATTTAGTTTTATCTCACCAATTTATAATTTAAGCAAGTTGAATTTATTCTTTCTAATAAAGAGCTCAATTTGTTTTAAACAACTTAACAAAAAGTTATTTTACTAAAGTAACAAAATAAAAAGTTTAAAAGATATTCCTATCTTTATTATGTTTGTTGCGATCACAGCAAAGATACCAAATAGTAAAAAATATGTGTAAAGAAAGGAAGGAAGGAATGAATGAATGATTTTTACTTTTAATATTTTACCAGATTTGAAAGAAAAAATTAAATAAAAATATTAAAAAACAAACAAATTAATAATTTAGTTGACTAATTTATAAAATTTAAAGAAAAGTAAATAAAAAAATGAATGAAAAACTTTATGAATAAAGCAGATTTTATAATTTGGATAAGGCTCAAATATAGTTTTTTAATTAAAAACAAGTAAAAAGAAATTCGGAATGATTAATGATGAATAAATGTCTTAAAATTGTAAAAATTATAATCGAATTTACAGACATATTTATAGATAAAAAACAAATAATATATGGCTATTATTTATTTATAATAAGTTGATATAAAGCATAATTTTATTTATTTGTTGATATAATTTGATTTGATTGGATTTGTTTGCTTGTATTTTTTTGGTTAAGGTGTGTTGTGAAACAGTATAAGTTTTAAAAAGGAAGAATGGGTAAGAGTGGGTTTAGGGAAATAGGGTTAAGTGGTTTAAGGGAAGATTGATTTTTTTCAATCAGTTGGTGGAAATAAAGGGATTATCTTGACTAGTCAGTATCAAGATCAGCCAGCATATATATATTTAATTATTTGAATAAGTCTTTTTTTATAATTGATTGCAATCAGCAGATTGCTGAATTTGTTTGTTTATTTGATTAAGCTATCAAATAATAAAACAAAAAGAAGTGGGGGGCAATTTGTTTTTCTTTTCTTAATGTGTGGAAAAAAATTATTCAATAAGAAATTATATTCATTATTATTATAATTTTTTTGATTCACTGTTCGATTAATAAAAGAAAGAAAGAGAGGCGAGTTTGAAAAACAGTTCAATTGCTACTCGCTGACTTTTATCTAGTTTTTTTTTTTCTTCAAGCAATTTACACTTAAATTAGGCAATTAAAAGAAACATATTTTAATAAAAGCTTTGGATTGTTTGGAGTTGTCTTTTTTTTAAACACTCATTCAAAAGAAATCTATATATGCATTTGTTCTCACTTTCTCTGAGCGAGAGAGTTCGCCAACCATACGTTTACCATGAAAATATGAAAACGCTAAGGCTAGCTTGCTTGTTTAATTGTTCATTTGTTTAAATACCCTTTTGCAGAATTTTTAAGAATCTGCTTTATAGTTTTTTTCAATTGGGTTTCCACCAGAATAAATTTAATTTAGTCACTCATATTTCAAAATTATACACATTAAGCGTGTACCATTCGTTCATTCATTCTCCTTCTAATCCTTATACTGCTCCTTTCACAATTGCGAAAGGAGCAGCCAAGGTCAGAAGTTAATGAAAGCGAAATGAGTGTTTTCCATGAGGTTGGAATTCATGTTGAGGAAGTTTTAGTTCAACCATTAAGCATTTTCATAAGAAAAGTCGTCATTCTTATAGCTTTAGGAATCTTCAGTGCAGAGTTGAGATTCGTTATTTTTTAAATTGTAATACTCAATATTTTGAGATTGGCTTTCACAGCAGTCGTTTGAGAAATATTCAACCTTTAAGTATTATTGATTTTACTCATAATTGTAGCTATAGTCGCAAACAGCGGGTTCTTGTTAGCATTATTATTACTTTTATTCGTAAACAGGTTCTTATGAATTCTTGATGAAGTTGGAATAGTATTGATAATACTATTGAGCTTTGGAGATTTTGGAAGAAATTTCTACAACTTCGCAAACTCTTTTTTGGGCAACATTCATTTATTAGTATTCTACTTTAACGTAGTTTTATTCCTCTTCTTCTTCGTCGTTGTCTTCAAAAATTTAGTTGTTGATAATCTTTCTGGGGTTTTGTTGATTGACGAATGCATATTCAGAGTACATTTATCCCTAAGAGGCGTTGGTGGAGTAAGAGTAGAGATCGTAGCTTTAGGAAAGAGATTGAGAAGAGGGTCTCTTACAGTTGAGGTCTTAAGAGGAGGTTTCGGAGAATTAGCAGTAGTTTTAGGAAGGCAAATTGTTGTTGGAAATCAAAGCAGATTCCTTAGCAAGTCTTTTTTGCTTTTCCTTTTCTTCTTTGGAGAGCTTCTACTTAATAAGAGGGTCAGTTGGGTAAAGAGAATTCCACATATCGTAGAAATTGAGGATGTTTTCTTCATCCCAGTGGATGATTAAGAGCAAGGCAAGTATTTTCTTTCTTTGCAAAGTGCACCATTCTTCAGATTCAAATACGTACTTTTCTTCTTCAGAAACCATAGCAGAGAGCATTGAGCGATATTCATCGCCTTTTTGGACTCTTTAAATTTCAGACTTGAATTTGTTTAAAAGATTAATGTATTTCTTGCCTTATTTAGGAAGAGAGTTTTCAATCTTCTTACGCAATTCACGACCAGAAACAATTTGGTATTCTTCTTTAAGGAAGGGAGCAGCGTAGTTTTCAAGGAAGTAGTTGCAAACAGCATCTTGGAGTTACTTGTTGAGGTAGTTTCTAGGTTTATTCTTCATCACGGTGGTGATGTGGAGCATGTTATTCTTAATGCTATCTTTAATTTCTTGAGTGAATTCCATTTTTGATGATTTAAAGTGTGTTTTTTTTGTTGTTTAAGAAAGGAAGGGAAGTTGGATTAAGGGTTTTAAGGGAAGTTTAAATCTAAAAAGATTTAAAGAGGGTTAAGAGTGTGGAAGGAAGGAAGTTTTTTAGGGTTTTGTTTGTTTGTTTTCTCTTTTTAAGAGATAGCAATAAGATGTATTTTTTGTTTTAATTTGTTTTTAACAATTAATTAATTGTAAAATTTGGTATCGATACTTTCTTTTTTAAAAAAGAAGACCAAGTTAACTCAAACAAATAAACCTTAAAAGAAATAATGAATTAATTAATAAGTGAATGAATGAATAAATAAATAAGTGGGGAGGAAAATTAATAAATTCAATCAATAATTAGCATTTAAAAACAAGCAAGCAAGCAAGCAAACACAACTCAGAAATTAAACTTACTAAAAAAGGAAATTAATAAAGAGAGAAATTAAGTAAATAAATAAATGCATTAATTAATAAATAAATAAAGTATACAATTCTCATCAAATTAGATTTGTCGTCAACTAATGTAAATTAAGGACCTCATTAGTAAGATTAGCTAGTTAGTTATTTAATTATTTAATATCATATTTATAAAATATCATCATATCAATTTTATAATAAACAAAAATCAATCAGCAAACAGTTCATTATTCGCTTGAAAAAGCCATAAAAAATCTACTCCACTCACTATATAGTTTTAAATGTAATGAGCTTAATTTAAGACAGTCAAAAAGAAAGAGCTAGATATATAAAGAGTTTTTAAAAATATATAATAAATAAAAGCGTGAAATTTAATTCAAGCAATTAAACAACATCTATGTTTATTTATTTATATTGACGGACTATGAAAAGAACAGTAAAGCAAAAATATAAATAAATAAACAAGAAATAAATATCTTCAGTTAATATCAGAAATTTAGAAACAAAAATTTTGAATTTTTATAAATCAATAATTTATTATATCAAATAATTAATTATATACCCAAATTAGAGTCCATTAATATTTTTAAAAATTTATTATCGACTGAACGATACTAAAAAAATAACAAACAATTAAATAACTAACTAACTATCTATCAAATAAATTTACATAATTTATTAAATTATGATGATTGTTTTGTTCATTTTATTAATTTTAAGTAATTACTTCAGAATTTGATGCAAAAAATTTTGAATGTGGTTGATATTAGATATAATTCAATAATTTACCAAATACCACAAATTCTATATATTCTTACAAATTACAGATTGAGTAATTTTTAATATGTTTTTCGTTTTATACCATGTGAGTCGATATCAGCAAAAAGCTTTGGATAGTTTCATTTATATTTTGCTTAAAAATAGCACAAATATTTGTATTATTTTCTTTAAATTCAGATAAATTCAAAGCTAAAAATCGAAACTATTTTATTTATCTCTTTTCCTGAGCTAAAAATTCATTTCTAATTAGTATTTTAGGAAAGTAGTTGTTAATGAATATTTAATTTATAGTGCTAGGTATAAAAAAACTATCATGCAGCTTTTTTATTTCCAAATAGCTGTTTAATTTTCAATAAGAGTACATTTTGAGGTCTCTCATCATTACCTCAAATAATTTTTCTAAAATGTAAGCTTAAAAAGCATATGAAAAATTAAAAATAAATTTTTGTAAAACAAGTTTGATAGTCGAATGAATATACTTTAAAAAGCAGTACTATAAATCATACTCTAAAAAAGAATAGATAAATCTTTAAAGAGTTAAAAGATAAATAATATACAATTAGAATTACGCATCATTACATCCAAGATATTATCTTAGTAATGGATCAGCTTTATTAATTTACTTTTTAATTTTGAAAAAATAACTGGACTCTTTATCAAAATAAATACTTGAAAGAAATATGCTTATATTTAATTAATTCAATAATTTAATTATTCTACTAGTAGCAAACATACATACCACATAAAAACATAAATAATCAAAAATAGAAAAAGTAAGTAATTAGAAAATTATCTTTTGTAATCTAATTTGATATTTAATTTCAGGCTTTAATACTTTTATCAGAAATATTCATTTTTACCTTAAAATATATCTTAAAACTAATTAATTATATAACATTACTTTTAGTAAATGTATGCACTCAATTTGACTTAACTTTTATTTATTGAACTAAAGTAATTTTTTACAAAAATTGTAAGATTAATTAATAAATAAAAGCTTTAATTATACTATTATCAATCTATCTATTTTTTTATTACACTTTATTTAAAAGCTGCAAATATAAAGTAAATTATTAAAAAATTAAATATTTTAATTTAACAAAATTAATTAATAAAATATATATTAAATATTTCTTTTTATTCTTTGCTTAAAAATAAATATCAATCCCACTATTATTTTTTTATTTAAAAAATCTAGAAAATTTTTTTAACTTAAGTGTATTTCAATTTTAGATTTTTGTGGAGACTTTTGTAATACTAAAAAACGAATCTTTTAAAATTTTTTCAAATAAAATGTCATAAAAAATAATTAAAATTGCTTAAGAAGAATATTAATGAAAATAAATTATTGGATGCAATTTTTAACTCAAAAAAAGAGTACTAATTTTTACATACAAAAATGTAAGTAAAAACAGGATTTTTTTATTAATTTCAGTAGAGCTATTGTAACTTTGATTGATTATCTGATTTTACTTGAATATTGTTTAGTTTATGAAAGATTTTATTCCATTCAGAGTCTAAGTCACTCTATTTATTGTAAGCATTTTTATGTTTTTCATAATCTTGATTTAGGGTTTCATCTATATTTCTTTTGGATTAGTGTTCTTTAAACATGGCATCACGTTTAGCCAAAGTTAAATCATGTTCGCGTAAAGCTTGTTCTTTTATTTATTGAAATTCTTCTTTAGAGAAGTTATTTATACCTTGAGACTTTAAGTCTGAGATAAATTTATATGTATTGCTATCAGTAGAGTGTGACATAATTTCTTAAATTTCAAGCAAATACTAATTTAAATAAATATTAACAATTTTTGTAAACCAAATTCGTCAGGAAAAAAATAGCTTACAGTAATTCTATCTTCATATGCATCTAAGTGCATGCGAAGACTTTTAGAGTCTTCTGTTTATTTAAAGATTTGCATCTGGCATTCCTTCAATTAGTTTTAGAGGTCACTAATGGTCTTTTCGTATTACTCCTTCAATTTTCTAATAATTTAAAAAAAAGTTAAAAAAGTTAAAAGATGATTTGTAATCTTCATATTTATAGTTATTTATTTGCCATATTTTAATAATAATAAATAGTGTGAAAGCTAAATTTATTATGTTACTTTTACAATAATAACTACTTATAAGCTTATTAATTGTAAAATAATTAAATCGTTCTATTAATACAAATTTTCATTTGTAATTTTTTTGTTTAAAGAAAATACGCATTATTATTTGTTTATTAGATTACAGATCTTACTTAACAAGTGGTTGATATTTCCTCAAATATTTTTAAATAAATTGAATAGAAAGCCTAAATATTTATTTTCCTTAAAATATTGATTTACAAAATTTTAATCTATAATCCTAAAATAATGAAAAAGAATATTAAATGCTTGAAAATGCAGAAAAAATCTATCAGTCAGCCTATCTTTCTATGTAATATTTTTAGATTTATTTTTATAATAGATTTCTTTAAAGGTAAAAATGAGCAATTTAAATTTAAATTAAAACAAACAATTAGCTAGAGGAAAGTCTACGTTTTGTTTACAATTTTAAATTAAGTTTTCATAAATTGTAAATTGTAATATTTATTAATATCCAAATTTAATAGGATTTATAAAATATGATAAGTTACATTCAAATAAGATCAATAAATTATTAGTGATCCTATTTTTAAAAGATAAGCGTGAATTCAAAATTAATTATTTCTTCATCATAAAATCTAAAATTTTTCCTACAAAAGATGCTTTTGTACAAAACAAAAAATTTAATTCTTTATCTTACTTAAGTAAATTTAACCATGTTTATATATTGAGATTTTGAGAAATTTTAAGAAATATTTTGACTAAACTCAAAATTTAAATATTTGCTATTTACTTTAAAATAAATAAATTTTGTAAATTTGTATTTATTTTATTACCTAAATTCATCAAGATAATTTGTCTTTTCTTGCTTCACCATTTAGATTGCTACTTCTGCATCTTCGCTTTCTTTCATATAATAAGATCTAGAAGCTTCTGCTTGTTTTATCTAAAATTACAAAATGTTTAATTATCTTTGCAAATCTGCATTTTTAGCTCTTTGGTCTTCGAGTTAGTTTTCCAAAGAGTTAGATTTAGCCACATTCTTCTCATAAATATCTTATATTTCTTACTTAAAGTAAGTTTTATATCTAAAATATTTATTTATACAAATAAAATTAATCAAACAATCTTTTCATAGAACAACAAATTTATTAAATAACAAATTTTTAGGAATTTTTTTTACCATTTCTAAATAAAAACTTTATTTATTTTTAATATTAAAATCTTAAAGATGAACAATAATGTTTTTTTTGGTAAATTAGTTTTAGTTATAAAATAAAAAAATAGATTTTTGTTTAATTAATTAATTAATTTCTTACCCTTCATCGTAAGCTTAAATCTTCTCTTTATTTTTTTTATTTTCGAGCTCTAATCTTTCATTCTGAGTTTATACCGAAAGAAGTTTATCTTCAAGATGAGAAATTTTATCAACTAAATTGACAGTTTCCTTTTCTATTTATTGTCTTAATTTAGTTTCAATAATAAGCTAATTTTCTTTTTATTTCATCTCAAGTCTCATATTATTTTTAAATTCATCGAAGAGTTGGTTATCTCTTTTAACTTGTTTTTCTAATACATCCACCTGATATGTAGCAGAACCGATGCTCAATTATAATTGCTTATTTAGTTCATTTAGCTCTTTATTTTTCTCCATCAAAGCATGATTATCAACCCTCAAATTTTATAATTCTTCTTCTTTAATCTTAATGTTATCTTCTAATTGCTTTATAAAAGTAATTTTATTTTTGATATTTTTTTAAATAAATAGATTAAGCAGTAGCCATTAATCCATTGATGCAAATAAAAAGGCTAGCTTATTAAAAATGTATTTTTCATCCTAAAAATAAATAAATTCCAAGCACTAAATAAAAAATTATTTATGATTGATTATTCAATTCAGTTTAAAAATGATTTATTGAATGTGATTTTCAAAAAATATGATAAATTAAGTTAAAATAAGTTATTTTATTCAAGTATATTTTTTTAATGAATTAAATAAAATCTATAAAGTTTAAAATATAAAATGTTAATTTAAAAAACAAATTTATTAAAAATATTAAATAATCTAAAATATTATTAATTATTTAAATTTAAAATCTCTCTTTTATTGTGTTTTTATTTGTCGCTTTAAATATTAATAATTTGAATATATATCATATGTTTTGAAAAAAAAAATCAGAAATATCTTAATCAATTAATTTTAAAAAGATTGAATGAATTTGACTTAATTAACGAAGCGTAAAGGAAGCAATTTGGCTAAAAAATAAATGATCATATTAAAATGAATGTATAAAACTAGTAGAATTAAGTATTTTATATGCGAAATAATAAAAGCAAGATAATTACTTCTATGAGCGTGTTTTTATTGTTTATTAAATTGTCTTTTTCTGCAATAACATCATCATGGATTTACTTTTCATATGCTAATTTACTATTTACAGCCAAAGCTTCATCTCTTTCTAATCTAAATCTATCTATTGTTTCTTATAACCTTTTAGTTGATATTTCATATTTCCTTTCCAAATGTTCTGCTCTTTTCAGTGCTTTGTACGAATTTTCCTATTCCCTTTGTAAATCAATTTACATTTATTGCAACTGCATCATATAATTTGTTGCCACACTATTAATTAATTATGCATGAAAATAATCAAGTTACTAATGTAATGGATTTATTTAAATTGATTGCAAAAAAATAGAGATTATCATTTATTTATTTGTTGTCATTTAATCCTATAAATGAACTAAAAATATTTGTTTTATTTTACGCTAAATTATGATTGTTAACAGTTTGCATGCTGTTTAAGTATTACTCAAATTTTTCATATTCAATCACTTTTACTGGATCTTTTTCATCAGCTCCAGTGCGTCCTTTACCAAACTTTTGGTCTTTTTAACTTGTTTTCTTTTGTCTAATGTCTTTTTCTATCTTATCAAACTCATTTTAAACCCTAACCTCGCCTTGAGAGATGTCAGATTAATTTTCTAAATCTACTTAAAAGTGCTTATTCATTATCAAATAATTCAAAATCTAGAATTTAATTATGAATTAATTATTGGCTAATTTCGATTAATACAAATTCAAATGAAATCAGCAGCACAAATAATTTAAGAAATAATTTTCAATTTAAAAACAAAATGCTTAATTGAGAATATTTTGAAAATAAACTAGTAATTTCAATTAAACTTAAAATATTTTTAATATTAAATAAATAAATTTTTAAGAAAACAAAATTTATTTTGAAGATACATTCATTTACTAATATTCTTAAAAACATATTTTAAATACTTAGAATAAAATTAATTTGCTGATACTTAAATAAAAAAAATTACAAAATAGATATAATTTATGTTATAAATATAATAAAATAAATTCATATTTTTTTATAAAAATATTTTCATAATAAAAAATTAGAAAATTAACTGCTGCAAAAAGCTTAAGAATCTAATCCATGTGTAAATTAACCAACTAATTAATGTGAAAAGAGAGAGAAAGTTATGATCTTCATTATTTTCTGTCTGAATAGAATGAATTTATTTAAATATAGAAAATATTTAATTTCTGTTGTTTGCATTAAACATCTGGTTATGTATGTATTTTTGACCAACAAATATTTTATAATTTTTTATTAACTAACTGTTTATTAATTAGAATAGCTTAATAAGCTGGCTGCAAAAAAAAATAGTGCAGATTAATAATACCTTTAATTTTTTCAATTTTAACAATTGATTCTTAACAATTAATTCACCAATTAATTTGAAAATATTTTACTTATTGGTTTGAGAATTTAAATTTTTAAAAATAATCAATTTAAAATTTTTATTTTAGCTCATAAATTATCATTTATTTTAATAAGGAAAGGTAAATTTTATTCATATTCCTAAATAAGAATGAGTTTAAATTAAATACTGTAATATTGGTAGAAAGAATAAAAATCGACTTGTTAAATGAAAGATAAAACAAACATTATACTTAAAAGATATTTTATTTAATATAATTTTAATTTAGTATTTTTAAATGATACTAATAAAAGATACATATTTATTTTGTCATTTTCTTGAAAAGTTTAAGATATTTTATAAAATTTATTTAAAATTAAGAATTTTTAGTCAGAATGAATATATGATCAATCAATCAATCAATATTATTCTATTTAATTTATCAGTATATTTGTTTTTTTAATAACTTTAATCCTTTTAAATATAAATGCAAAAAAGAAATCATAAAAATTTTTCTTGAATTTCAAAATTATAATTTACAAAATTTGACTATAACAGTATTGAATTGTAGCAAAGTCATCTTTATTTATACTTGGCGGCTATAAAAAAGTAATTAAACTAAAATAATGTATATGATTTATAGCAAATATTAGATAAATATTTATAATTTTAGTTCACTTACTTATTAAACTAAAAAATAAATATTTATTCCATCTCTATTAAGTGAAACATATGATAATTGAAAACATTATTTTGAGACTAATTTTAAAAATATTACATTTATTTGTTTAATAAAATCAAATATATTTGCTAAAATTCTTTTACTGGATGAAAATAATATTACCCTTTCTTAATATTTGTAAATAAGTTATTAGATTAATCGAAAAATTTCAAAACTACTTTGATATTGATATGATAGATAGGTAAGCAAGTTAGTTTTTTATTTATTTTTTATAATTTAAGTAAGATTAGGTGGGTTTTTTTAATTTATAATTTTAGAGAGAATCTATTTAAGGTAAATTAACGCAAATGCCTTTGATCAAATTATTAACTGATTTAGAAAAAACATCTAATCAATATCTTACCAAATTTTAGGCTAATAATGAAATAGATAAAAAGACAGATAAAAAGACAGACAGACTCAACTCTAGACTATTAATTTCTAATGATATTAAAAAATTTCTATTTTTTTCGATATTTTGATTAATTTTCTTTTAAACTTGATATTTTGGATAAGAGCTATATAAAAGTACAATTAATTATAACGCATAGGTTTAAAGAATTGAAAGAAAAATAATTAGTTGAGAAAGAAAGTATTTAAAAGGTCAAAATTATATCAAAGAAAGGACTCAAATTTTAATTTTTTATTAAAAAATTTAAATTATTTATTAGGAAAGAGCAAATAAAAATAATCAGAAAATTAGTATATTTATAATACATATATATATGAAACAAAAAATCTATAAATTAACCCGCACCTTAGATACTTTAAAAAAATTAATTTGCGATTAGAAATGTAGTTGGTAATAATTTATTTATTTATTTATGTATTTGTCTGCTCGAATTCTTTTAGAAAAATTTGATGATTAATAGATTCTAAATATTTTGTATGGAATATAATTTGATGGTTCTAAAAATTATTTAAAAGTATAAATTAAAAAATACATTTTGATGGTTTGTTGTAAGTTTTTCAAACAATTGAATTTAACATAACTTAAAATTGAGATAATTTTTAAGCAATTTAGTAAATTAGTGCGAATTCACTGATTAATTTATTTTTGAATATCTTTTTTTAAAGTAAAATAACGAATTAGATATATTAATTTTGTTACTTAGATTAAACAATAGTAATTTTAAGAAATAGAAGAGCAAATATTTTTCAAGTAAATTTAAATATTATTTAAATATTGAGGTTAAAAAGTAGAAATCATAAATGTCTTTTTTGCGTGAAGTAATGAATTAGAATATTGATTTAAAAAATGGTAAATGGTGGAGTAGAGCTCTAAAATGAAAATTAAAATAACCTCTTGAATTTGGGCTATAAATTTTCAATTAACTTTTACAATTTGAAGAGGTTAGTTAGATGGAAATATAATTATATATGATTTTTTCACCTCAATAAAAAATATAATTAAAAGGGTAATTGAAAGAATAGAGCTATTACAACTGATTTATAAATTTTTTTGTAAAAAAGGTTTGATTATAATAAAATGAACAAAAAAAAATATAAATTTTTTAAGATTCACTCATAAAAAGGACAATCCAAGCCTTAGCAAAGAGAAAATTTTAAAATCAAAAAAGAAGCAGACAACTCAATCATTTATTTATTTGTTGTTACTTAGGATATTATACAATATATTATAATTAATATTGCTAGCAAATAAAGATACTGAATTTGGATATAAAAAAGTAATAATCATCTCCACATATAAAAAATACAATAATAATAAATAGAATAAAACCAAAAAAAAAAACAATCTATTAAATAACGCTTATTTACTTTACTTTACTATATCAATAAATAAGTAAATAAATTCATTTTTTTCTGAATAAATCAACCTTGCCTCAACATGTTTCTTTTGAATTTTATAATTGCTGTAATCGGGTACTGCGTTTTAGAGGAAAAGCCTTCTGAAAAGTAGTCTATCATATGCTGCATTGGCAAGTTCTTTGCATATTAGTACAGCGTCTTTAAAAGAGGATTTGAAAGTTGCGTGAACAGATTTGCAGCTGATATCCTTTGTCTTCTCGTTCACTGTGCTATAATTTGTGGCCTTAATGCAGCTTTTAAAGATCTATTTATTGTTTTCTAATTCATTTTTCTTGAAGTAGCTTTCTACTTCAGCGAGTTTACTATGAGAATTTTCCCATACTCGATCAATTTCAAAAAGGACTTGCTTAAGACACTATGTGTTTATATTTTCGAAGTATTCATGTGCATGACTCCTTTGTTTACAGGTAGCATAAAAGTTTCTATTGGCATAACTCTAGCTATCCATTTTATTTTGCTAATTTCTTTGATTACAAGAAACCAAATCAATAGAAAGCATCATGTTTTATTCAGCCAAGCTGAGCAATGCCTCTAAGTCAATCTAAAAGAAGATATTAATGCCAGCATTAATAGCAATTGCGAGAACTCTGTTTAGCACTATGTTATTAAATACGCAAATAAGATTCAACTAGTTTCTTTGAGTCACCCAAAAGCCAGTCCTTAAATATCTCCTTAAGAAAGCATAAATAATAAGAATAACAACTAAATTATCTCTAAAAATAACAATCAAGATGATAATAACACTAAAGAAGTTTGTTGTAATTAGGAAATTAATAACAAAAAGAATAATTAATATTAATAAAATAGCAAAAATTTAATTCTAAATGAGATATTACCTGTGGTTTCAATTAATGTAAAATCTTAATCTTCAGAAGACAAGTAGTTAATGAATGAAACCCGCGAAAAGCAATTAACAGTGACTAAATCTTCTCTTTAGCCTCCTAAATTCAAATCTGAAGACGAGCCTACTACAAGAAAGCAATTGCATCTAACCGAATCCCCATAATTGTAATATACTTATGGAAATAATGGCTAGATTGCTAATAGTAATCATTTAATTTTAAATGGAAATACTAATACTAGCATCTACTAAAATCACAACATATAGAACAATTATAATAGCAATAATAACAACATGAATATGAAGTCAATTTCATAAACTATGATCCAATCCAATCACCAAACAACAGTCAATCTCAAATGCTAAGACAAATTTGAATAAAAGAAAAACTAATAGTAAAATTCTAAAAATGAAAAAAGTTCAATTAGAACTCGCTCTCTTTCATTCGAAACAGAAAATATCAACATTGATATTATAAATACAATAGAACTCGACGCTGATAAAGATTCTAATTTTGAAATAATCTCTTTCCACGAACAATCTCAAAACTTACTCATCAAGACAGAAACTGCTGTATTTTTCTTTTCCTTACCCGACTTCAAGAAGACTAAATCCATATTACTAGATAAGAACAGCAAATATATATTCCATTAAACTGAGCCTTACTGCATTTAATATCATTATAACCCCACAAACTACCAATTTCAATTTACCTAATTAAATTTAAGTCAACCTAAAATTACAAAGGAAGACATGAAATACAATAGTCTCACCATGCAAAATCCTAAATACGAGTCAAATGACATCCTTTTCTATTCTTCATTTGTCTCCGACTCAAGTACGCCAAAAGATATTCTGTTTATAGCTGATGGTCCTGATCTTATTACTGTCAATACCGAAAGTCTTTCGATGGAAAACTACACAGCTAAATTACCTCTTGATGATAGCGATAAGATTTAAATCTAATAATTAAATAAGCGTCAAGTAGTTATCAATACTCCCCATCAAACTTAATTGACTAAAATAGTTCTAGATATTCCTACAAATATTTGCTGTAGAAAATTCACAAACCTCCCAATGAGCACTGATATGCTTGCTATAGAAAACCTTTAAAATTAAATAATCCTCAACAATTAAAAAATGAGCAAAAACTCTTGCGTTTTCGACATAAACACTGGAGAATGTATGGAATTACCAAGCTCCAAGTGCGTAAATAAAGCTTGGTTTGTAAATAAAATGCTCTATATAATTGATTAATCTAAATAAATTAAAATCTATAGCTTTTCTGGTACTAACTTTAATTTACTCCCTCCTAGTGACAATGGAATAGGCTGTATCTCTATTGCATTTTTCTGAAACTTAAATTGACTATTTCACTAACGCTCCTACCTCTAAACAAATAAATAAATAAATAACAAAAAAACAAATAATTACTTACCTACTTAATTAATTAATAAATTTCTATCATAGTCACCTCCACAAACAAATAGCTCTATTTTGTAAACATTCAAGTATATACAACACAATTATAAATAAATAGATCTTAATTAAACAGATTTATGTAATAAAAATAGATTTTTCTTTTCGATGAGCATGAATGAATATAAATAACAACGAACGCTCTTAAAAAGAAATAATTAATTATATTGTTTCTAGCTTATTAAATTTTACTTATTAAAATTCAATTGTTTATATATTTACTCTTAATCGTACTTACTTTTAATATTAAAACTAAATATTTCAAAACTACAATTTTATTTCTCAACCTACTTTAAAAGCATTACAATTTAAGCCTTAAATAATATACCTTTTTACATATCTTTTAAGTGCTTTTTTTAGAATTCTAGCAATCAGTCAGTCATAGATACATAAAAAACAATTTCAAAATCTTAAAATTTAAAAGAATTAAAACCTCTATTATTTTTCATCCATTCAAATGAAATAAATTATTCCATTAAAAGAAATATCTGTAAAATCAAATAATTGGAGAATTGCAAAACTAACTCCTAGCAAAAATATTAATTTTCTTATATACATTCATGCATACTTACTTGCTTGATTTCATACCTCGTAATTACCGACAGAAAAACTATGTGAAAACGCTAATTTTAATAGTAATATATATTGATAGCAATTAATTACACTTAATTTATTAATTATTTTCTCAAATAATATAAAAATGAGAATATATTTAAAAATAAAGGTAATTTTTTTCAATAATTATTCACTTTTTGATAGCAGAATTTTAGAGAAAGGTAAAAAAATTTGATAATTTCTTTTATTTTTTTAACAATTTTCCCTTGTTATTTTTAAAAGTTAGAGTAATTTCTTCTTCAGTATAATTTTTAAAGGCTTGTTTACTTCAATATTTACTAGTCAAAATTCTAATAGAAATATTAATTTTTTCCAAATTTAAATAGATTCTAATTATGCTTTTATTTACTTACTAACTTAACCACATTTACTAATCTATTAAATTTAATAAATAATACGAAAGTATTAATTTCCAACTTAATTCTAATGATCTAATTAAATCTTCTGACATATATTTTTAAAAATCTATATCGCAAAAAAATTTTTAAGGAATCTTTGCTAATTAATATTTACTACAAACATGATAAAATCTCTCAAATTTAATCTAGTCTATTTTAAAATTACTTTGTTTTTTATTATTTTTGAAAAATTGATTAATGAAAATTACATATTCTTAAATTAAATCATATTAAAATTTTTAATTATTGTTTGAAAAATTTATCAATATAATGAGCAAATTTTTAAATCAAGACATGTTAACTTTCTCAACTTCATTAATTTAGCTAAATAAGGTATTATATCAGCAGTTTTAGATTAACTTTAAATAAATAAGTTAAAATTATTTTTTAAAATCATGATAATTTTTAATTAATTTTTACAATATCTACAGCTTTATAGATACAATTTATTTGTTATTTTAGAGTTCTTTAACAAAATTTTTTACACCTTTATCATTGATTTAATTGTAACTTTTTATAAAATAAGCTTTTAGTTATAAGAATAGGCTAAAAAATTACCCAAGATGTAGATTTAAAATAGTAAGCTTTTACATTTTCCCTAAGCAAACACCCATTTCAGAAAATCCCTCATCTTTAATATTGTTAGCACTTCGGAAAAATTGTTTAAAAAATAAATTTAAATTAAATTAAATTTTTAAAAAATATTTAGAAATTTATAAGTTTGTTTTTAATGTTTACAATAGATTAAGATCTAATTTTTTTAATTTTTAGCAATAACTTAATCCTTAACATAATTATTAAAGACCTTAATCACTAATTTCTTGATACCTATGATTTTTAATTCAAAAGTGCTTAATTTAATTTAAAGTAATTATTTTTCTAATTAAAAATACTCTAATTAAATTTGTAGGATTCTCAGATTTTCTAATTACATAAGTGTATTTGATAAAGCAGTTATACTTAAATCTGTAATTTAGTTTGATCTGTTTTTTAAAAGGATTATAAATTCATAAAATTTATCTCATATATTTACTCTAAATCAAATATTGAGCCAGATAGGCAAAGAATAAAGCTTTTAAGGGTCTTGATATATTCCAAACCTTAGCATAAATTTATAAAACTTTTATCATTAACTTTGTTATGGCTTATATATTAGTTTTAATATAAATTTAAAATTAATATTATCAAATTTTAGAATTATATTTAATTTTACAATAAATTGAGCTAGAGATATTTCAGATTTTTGTACATTTTCAAAATATTTGTTAAATTAGTTATCCCTATATCCCCTAGTAAAGAATAACTATTTATATACGGTAAAATATTTAATAAATTTAATTCAAATACAAAGAAAATTTTATGAATAAAGAAATAAAAAAAAATATAATTATGCTACCTTCAATCAAAATTTTAAAATAATTTTTGATAAAATAGATTATATAAGATCTTAATTATTGTTAAGAAAAAAAATTTGTTTTTGTTATAAGTTTATCTTCAAGAAAATAAAAAATAAAATTATAAAAAGATTGTCAATATTAAAAAATTTGTTCTATTTATCAATAATACTATATTATCAGTGAAGATAAAAAATTAATCTATGTATTTGAAACATAAATGCAAAAGCAAACGCATAATATTTTAGTAGGAGATAATTAGACATTTATTTGTTGGTAGGACAGGCTAATAAAATTTTAATTTTATTCTTCTATTAATCAAAAATATTTTTATTTTTAATAAGCTTTAGTAGTTAGTAAAAGAAAGATTGAAATCTAATAATTAGAGTATGAATATTTATCTAGACAGTCTATCTTCTTGAACTTAATATTATATTAGTGTTTAAGCTAAGAAAAATGTTTTTTTTTAAAGTGTTTAAAACCCTACCCTCCCTCGTTTTTAGTATAAACCAAATACAAATATTTTATTAATAAAATTAACTAGAGCAAAATTAAATTTAGTTTAATTTGAAAAACCAAGTATTTTAATTTAAATAAATTTTCATGATGAAATTTACCTAAAGTCTAAATTGAGATTAGTTACTGTGAATAATCTTGAAGATAAAAACTTTTGAAGAGAGATAAATAATTAAATTAAAATATATATTTAAAAATAAAAATTTACTTTGTTGTAACAAGTAAAATTCATGTTTTTTTAAGCCTTTTTTTATTTATTTCAAAATTATTTATGAACAAAACTATAATTTAAGTTTATTTAAAAAAATAATAATTCATTTCTAAAATAAATTTCTAATTTAATTTTTAAAAAACAATTTTTATTTGAAGTTTTTCAAAAATGCAAAATGTTATTTAAATTTTTATAAAAAATTGTATGATCGTTATTTATTTGACATTTCTTGCTCTAGATTCTACTGAAATAGGAATGCTTAGTAAGGTCAATTTGAAGATATTATTTACCTTTGATATTTAATTAGAATTATTCTTATCTATTTATAAATAAGAGAGTATGTTGTTTGTTTATATATATATATATTTCAGAGGTAGAAATTAAAAGAAGACTAAAAAGAAATTTATTATTAAAATTTACAATCAAACATTTAATTAAAGTATTTGCTTATTAAAAAGTAAGAAATAGAGTTAGAATTTCAAAATGGGAAAATAAAAGAAGACAAGAAAGTGCGGAGCAGTCAAAAGACTCATTAGTACAAAGGATGATAGAGTGTAATTGATCATTCAAAAACTAGAAATTATGAAAAATTATCCATTAGGCTTAAAAAGCTTATTAGATAATCAACTAATAGAAAGACAGTTAACAAAATCATTTTTTAATAACAATTTTACAAAAATAGAAAAACCACAAAAGAAAAGGAAAAGGAAGTTAAGAGAAAGGAATTATTGAAAAATGCAGATGAAGCTTAAGTTAAAGAAATGTAATTTTAATTGAAAGAACAAAAGCTTTAACAAATTTTAATATTTTTTGTAATAAATTAAAAAAAGAGAATCAACTCCTACTCACTTATTCTTTAAGCATAACACTGCCTTAGGTCCCCCTTATAGAATTTTGTTGGATACAAACTTCATAAACTTCTCAATTTAAAATAAATTAGATATTTTTAAAGCTTCCATGGATTGCTTGCTTGGTAAATGTAATAAAGCAATTATATTTTATACTGTTTTAAAAGAATGTTAAAAAAAATGTATAAAAATAAAGGTATTCCTTATATTACTGACTGTGTTATTGCTGAATTAGAAAAATTAGGTCACAAATATAGACTTGCTTTAAAGTAATTAATTTAAGAAACAAACAAGTTCTAGTTTGAAAATATTCATTTTTAATCCAAAAAGGTTAATGAAAGATCCCAGATTTGAAAAGTTAAAATGTGACCACAAGGGCACATATGCTGATGATTGTATTATAAACAGAGTTAGAGGAGTAATTTTATTATATATGAAAAAATAATTATAATTTTTTAATCAGGTTTTAATTGTTTTTGTTTATAAAATAATAGTCAAGAGTGTATATTGTTGCAACTTGTGATAAGGATCTCAGAAGAAGAATCAGAAAGATTCCAGGTGTTCCTATTATGTACATATAATCTCACAAATACAATATTGAAAGAATGGCTGAAGCCTATGGTGCTCCTCGTTGAGTAATCAACATAAAGCAAGCACATAATTAACAAAAAAAAACTACAAAATACTTAATATAAATAAAAAACTTAATTTAATTGTCGATCAATAAAAGCAGGACAAGCAAACAAACAAACATCTTTTAATTAAATAGCTAGCTAATAAATATATAATAAAATTTATTCTTTTCTTCTATTATATGTTTCTTGTAAATTTATTAGATTTTATAAATCAAAATACGATCTATTTTTTATTTTTATCTTTAATAAAAACCAATAAAAATACATTATTTTAATAAAAAATTATTTAAATCTTTAATTTGCTAGTTGAAATTATTTTTTAAAGTGACTTAACGATTAAAAAGTTTTAATGCATCTTTGTTATTTATTTTTTTACTCACAAAAATTTAGATTTTTAGAAAAATTTCTTTATATTTTTGAAGTTTAATCTACTGTTGTTATCTGCTAATTTAATTTATCTTTGAATGATTTATTTAAAAGCTAATTTTAAAATTTTAAGTAAATCTTAATTTTAAAATTTTGCTAATATTTCTCTAAATTACTTTTTTTATTGATTTGAAAAATTTTTTTTTGCAACTTAGCTCTATAATGAAAGAATTAAAGAATAAAAACAGACATTTCAATTAATATTTTATGTGTTTAACTCAATTAAAAGACAATAAAACAGTTATTTAATTGTATTAAGTAAGTAAGTTATGTTTTGTATATATAAAAAGTTAGTGAGTAAAGAAATGAATGAAGCTAAGTTTTGGACTAATGTAGGTAGATAGAAAATAATGACATAAAGACTAGGTAAACATATATATTATGCCAATGAGCTTATAAAATAAATGATGTTCTAGCTAACTAAGCACTACTAACTAAATTAATTTGTTGATTGTTTTTAATACGTAGCAGAATGCTTGAGCAAGTAATATAATTTTTTTATTATTATTATTCTTTCTCAGATTCTAATATCATCAGCAGCAGCTCCAGAACCACTCTTGGGCTTAATGAAATCAGGTTGGTTATAAATATTGTACTAAGTATTTTTGGGATACCAGTTTTCATTAACCATGAGTTCTTCTTCTTGTAAAGCATCTTGACTTCTCCATAATTCCTTTCTGCAGTGAGGATTTCTAGGAGTATTGTAAGGTCTTTCATCTTCAGGAAGATTGAATTGATCTTCTTAGATGCAAGATTCCATCCACCATTCTTATTCGTATTCGAACCAAGTGCAAGGAACGTTCAAGTCGAAATCGTTGTTAGGCTTGATGGGAGGATCAGCCCACAAGAAGATTTCCCAATGGTAATCAACACTTTCCAAAACAGGAGCGAAACCTATTCATTAAATTTAAAACATTAATTATTTTCTCAAAGAATATTTCAATAAAAAACATTAAGCTTTTTCTTATAAAATAATTTTCAAATTTTTAATTTTTATTTAATTTAATCTAATTATTTGCTTTTGCATTTAATTTCCTTGTAGTTATTTAAAAAAAATAATTTTAAATCAAATTATTTCATCTTAATCTAACGTTTATCTCAATTTTAAAATCATTCTTTATTTATTCCTAAATTTAATATTTAAATAAGCACTGCTTATTATTAGATTCTCCTTTTATTACTTTTTATTCATACTTATTTTTAAAATATTTCTTAATTTTGCTTTTTTTCATCAATTCATTTTAATTTTGCTAAATTTTTGTTTTTAAAAAACTTTAGATTTAAAAATATATTTGCTTTAAAAACCTAAGTCATACATAAAATAAATCCTTTTTCAATTGAATTTTCATTTCTGTTTTATAAAATATTATTTGAGTAAAAACTATTTAGTCATTTTATGGTATGGTCTTGGAAGTATTTGCTTAGTTAGCTAGAAGGTTTTCTAAAAATAAAATCAATGTTGATTATTTTAATAGAAACAATAATAATATCTTTATTAGTTTATTTAATTATTTGTTTTTTATTAGCTCAAGTGAAATTAAAAGGCAAATCTTCAAAGGCAACGATTTTGAAATTTTTAGGTCTTGGTTAAATTATGAGCTTTTAAACTAAATCTATGTTGTTATTCTTTTCAGTATTTTCAATAAAACTATTAAATTGGTATTTCATTTTATAGAGTTGAGTTTATTTAAACGCTAATTTTATAGTTTTTGACTTGTTTGAATGCTTGTTCATCGTATTTGCTACAGAATTTTAACATTAATAATAATCAATTATTATTGCGATATGCCTAGTTATCTAAAAGATCAAAGAGAAGGATATTATAATAAAGATAGTATATCTTACCAACATTTAATTAAGCAATATCTTCATAGCATTGGGCATTCCATAGAACTTCGACTTTTTCACCCTTGGAATTGGTGACAACTTGTCTGGCTACGAACATTTAGTTGGTGAAATAGAAGATATCCAAACCAATGTTATAAGCAATATATGCAAAATCGACTTATTCTTGAGGAGATAAACCCAACTTGGTAATGAATTCAGCTTCCTTTCTGGTGATACCAGGGACTCTTCTCATGATTTCTTCAGGGTCCATTTGGCAATAGCAGTAATCTCTACCAACGGTGGTGTTGTAGAAAACGGCTCTAATATCTTCCATTGTGTAGGTACCATCATAAGAAGGTAAAGGACCAGATTCTCTGACGGGATTGATGTGTCTTTGATTTCTGATAGGAGAAGCAGGGACGGAGTGCTAGCTCTAAACGAATTCAACAATTTCTTCATTCTTGGGTAAAGTTCTTGGGATGTAGTAATCTTTATATCTGTTGGGGTTGTATGGGCCAGCTTTTAATATTATTCATTTTAGGGTTATTTATCACTTAACTTTTGCTTGATAATCTATGATCATTTGTTTGATCACAGTTATAAATAAATCGAATAAATAAAGGATTTCGTATTCAAGATGATCTCCCTCCTTCGTTATATCCTTCTTCACTTTTTCGCAATTCTTATTTTCTATTCTATGTGGGTATTTTAGTATGTTCTAATAACCTTCCAACTAAATAAATTGCAAAATTGTAAGATATTTATTTGTTGTTTGCATTTGCACTTTTTAGATATTAATGAATGACTGCTAGTTGCTTAAATTTTCTTTTGCTAAGTGTTTGCTTGAGAAGATATGATTGAAGGTCGGTCGTCTTCATCTTAAATAAGAACTCCCTTTCTCTATTAAATGAAAATATTTTCTTACCACGAGCGAAGTTGTTCTAGGCCATAGAAAACAAACGCTTAGCCTTTGAGGTTTCCTTAACTAATCTATTTAAGAACATGATCCTCTTTAATTAAATAATTTAATAAGTATTTTTTGTATATTTTAATTAAAATTAATTATCTTTTCCTTTGTCTTTTTATTTTGTTTTGGTTTAGCTCATGTTAAATTCTTGATATCTCTTTTCTTTCTTCCTGCATTTTTATTTCCTTTATCTTTCTTTCCCATTTATTTATTCACTTTTCTTTTCTCCATTTTTCATTTAGATTGACAACCGCATACAATCAAACAAGCAAACATACATGCATTCAGATTTACTTCTCATTCATTTTTGCATTCAATCTGAATTCACATTCAATAATTCCAATGTAAAATCATCTTTCTTTCTTTCTATCTATCTATTTATTTATCATTCTATCTATCTGTATTGCTAATATAATAAAGCTTTAAATAAAAATATAAGGAATCTTTATTTATTTATTGTTTTATTGTTTATTTTATTTGCATGTAATATTGCACTATTTTATTATTTCAATGCCATTTTACTTCATTTTGTTTATTTATCATTTCTCTTTGTTTGTTTTCCTGCATTTTCTTTTTTATATTCGAAATAAATAAATGAGTTTTCTTTTTTATACAGAATAAATATTGAGTTTATCATTATAAAGTTGACTGCTTTATAAAAAATAAGCTATATTGCATTCATTTTTTATTAGAATTGAATTTATATTTTGAAAAGTATCTTTTTTAAATCATTGCTTCATATCTTTGCAAACGATATCTTTTAATTTAAATATCTTCAATTCAAATATACTCTTTTAAGTGTTGCAAATAAATTCTTACTTAATTTGATTAAATTAAATATAATCAATGACTTTGTTAATATTGTTAAATTTTTCACAAAAATTAACAAAAAAATTAATTAATTTTATAAAATAATTTTAAAATTAAGATTTTGAAAAATTAAAATAATAATAAATTTTTAAGAAATAATATTTATGATCAATTTTATATCTGTAATTTTATGTACAAATTGTTAATATTTAATATATAATATTTACAAGGTGAAGAGGAATTATACATACATAATTATGTTTATATACAATAAAATGAAAATTATTTAGTTAATAGTTTTGTTAAGTAAGTATTTATATAAAAGGATTTTGTCAAATGATTAATTTATTTTGTTTTCATACATGAGTTTCTTAGATGTGGTGTCTTCTTATGTGTTTCTCTAAATCACAGTATTAGACAAGTTTATTACATAACTTGTGGCATTCATTACTTGTTTTATTTGTGCATAAGATTGTTCTGAATTTGCATCTGCTCATATGCTTTTCTTTTTAGGTATATTAGAATTTTCTCATGCAGCCTTTATTAGAACACTAAATAGTGAATAAATCAAATATCATCTCTATTTAAATAGAACAATCTAAGAATCCTTCATTCTTATTACTTTTACAATTCATGCATCCCTTATTTTGTTTTTTTAAGATTTACCTTAATGCGCAATCAAAGCAGTAAATTTGGTTACATACTTAGCAACATTCTATTAATAATAATTCATAAATACTAATTTATTTTCAGAAAAAATTTACTTGGATTTTCAGCTATTTTTTTACAATAAGTACATGTTACTTATTCGATTAATTCTTACATCTCTTCAAAATCACAAACTTAGTTGACTCTAATTTTGTTATTATCAATGAGACATTCTTCAAAATTTTTCATCAATCTCGGAATATCATTTTATTAGTGCATTTTAGGACTTCTCTCTTTACTTTCTGTCAAACCTTTAAGTAACAACAAGGTATTTGAGGATTACTCATTTATAATATTATTCTAAGGCATAGATTCCCTTATTTTGTTACTAGAGAAAGCATGATTGTTTAATTAAGTCTATTCATTTAGAAATTCCTCTAAGTCTGTCAAATTGTATTCTTAGTCAAGATAATTAGGATTCATGGATAGTTATTGATTTTTTTTTACACAAAAACCAAATATTTCAAGTTTTTGAATTTATTTTTATTAAATTGTTTATAATATTAGTTGAAATTCAAAATAAACCACATTAAAACAAAAGAATTATTATATTTACAGCTAGTAAGTAATAGGCATTTAATTCTTTAAAATCATGAACAGTTAAAGATTTACATAAATTTTTTACTATCCAATTAATTTGATCACCGACTACTTGTAAAAACTTGATCATATAAATATAACAAATTTATAGGATATTAACACATTTAGATTAATTAAATTTACCTTAAAATAAGTAGTAAAATAGAAAGAACTATTCTTTAAGAACAGTTTTAATTTCCTCATATACCTATTACCTGAATTACAAAACTGACCATCCATAAATGTTAGCAAACGCGCTTTTAACTTAGTATTTTATATTAATCATTTCTACGAAAATACTTTTAGGAAAAGAATTATCCCTTAAACCCAATAATATTTGCTATCAATTCTCAGAACCTAATATTTTTATAAAAATTTTATTCAATCCTTTTTTTGATTACTCTACTTCTGGTTCTAGCTTTTTAAATCAGTATATTTTAATGTAAATTCAATTAAGCTGTATAATATTTTTAATTTACTATAGGGGTAAAAAGATGTTTGAATTCTTAATTTATAGTATTTATACATATTTTAAGGATTTTTACTATAATTTATTTTATAAAAAAAATTGGAAAAGAAACCAGCCTTAGAAAATGTAAAATTTTTCAATTATTTTTTAGTAAGAAAATTTCTTAAAACTGAAAAAAAATGATTGTTAAAATAGTAACCAACTAATTTGTTAGATAAATGAAATTATAGCCACTAGGCAATTAATTAATCAATAAACGTAATTTCTTTGATGATTGTAAAGATTAAATCAAAAAATTAATGTTCTTACAGTTGTTGTTAAATAATTAATAAAAATATAAACGTAACAAAATGAAGAAGTAAAGTATTCGCTAAAATCTAAGAAAGTATTTTTGAAGATACCTTGAAGATATTTTAATAACTTTTAAAATGCCATAGTTTTATTTCATATTCAAGTAAGCTCTATATCTATATATAGTATATAGAAAATCTGTAATATAAATTAATATCTAAAACATTAGAAAATTAAACAAAATAAAAACAAATAAATAAATAAATTTGATTGGATATCTGTGAAATAGTTACATGCTCATTTAAATTGTAAATAATTTGAGTAAAATTGCTTAACATATAGAATTTTTTATGTTTCTCTATTTGGAAAGTAATAGTTAAATTTTAGCTATAATGTTCTACTTTTATATGACTATCTTAGATAGCATTTAAGCAAATAACAAAATACCATCAAATCTTATCAAATTATTGTAATTTAATAAAGATATAACTATATTAATTTTTTATAAGCATAAAATATAAATATCTATTTTTATTCAAAAATTTTTTATGATAAAATTATGAAAAAAATGATATGAAAATAGAAGTATTTGGGCAGCACTTATAAAAAAATATTTAAATTTATTTCAGTTCAATCAGTTCAATCTATAAAACAATAATTCAACAAAATTATAATAATAAATAAACAGTAATTGTTAATTAATTTTGTTATTACTTATCTAATTTGATAAATTATTATGTCTGTTATTCTTGTTATTATTAAAATCAAAATTGATCTAAAAGAATTTATCAAAAATTTTTAATTTTAAGGTAAAAAATCTTCCTTTAAATTTATTTTATTGAGAATTTATTATTTTGTTTGTATATAATTGAGTGGAGATCATTTTGATTATTACAAAGTGAAAAAATTGTTTGTTTGTTTGTACTTGAATTTGAATTTACTTTTTACTGTAATTTTTTTTAATCAGTAAAGCTATTCAAGATTTTGATCAATGAAGTATTTAAATAAATTCCTTTGATTATTACAAGTAATTACTAACTAAATTTATTAGTTTTTAACTTAATTTGATAAATTTTAATATTCCTTATTATTTTGTTTTAAATAACAATTAAAAATCAAATAAAATTTAATTCAATTAATTATTACATGAAATTTACTCATATTTCTTTTATTTTCTCAACAAACTAAAAAACAAACTTTTATTATTTATCTGCCTAAATTAAATAATATTCTATTCATAAATTGCTTATATATTTTTATAATAATCCTATTATTTGAAGTTTTTAATAGCAATATTTAACTTTTAATTTATATTACTAATTACTTTTAATATAATAATAAATGACAGTCTTAATTTGTTGATCTTAGATAATTTAAGAGATTGAAATCATAGAGTAGTAGTAATTTAATAAATTTAATTTTTTGCTAGTACTATTTAGTGATAGATTAAATGGATTGTAAATAGATTATTCTCAAAATAATATACTTATTTCATATTAAAAATTTAAAATAACTTCTTAGATTATATTTAACTCATCAATCATTTAAGTTTAAATTTTATTTTTAAAATGATAATAATTAGAATTTTATAAATAATTCTAAAAACACTTTTAATCTAACAAATTTTTATGAAATATTGAAATATTAATTTTGAGCTAAGCTCTAAAGCAGCTAAATAAAATACAAAGATTTATTTATTGTTAATTTACTAGAAAGTAAAGTATTTATTGATTTTAATTTCACTATACTTCTAAAATTTAATGATTAATAACCAAACCATTAATTATAATATAAATTAATTATGATCTAGTTTTAAATGTTTTTTTGTTAAATTAATTACCTAGTAATACTTACTATTTTTAACTTTTAGAAGATAAAAAACTAAAAAGAAAAAGATACGATAATTTAATTAATATAAAAGCTATAAATTATACTAATATAAATAATCATATTTTGATAAATTTGGCATTAAAGTCTTATTTATTAATTTTAAAATTAAGTTTAGCAAAATGCACTAACCTCTTAAATTTGGCACTTTATCTAACTAAAAATAATTTATTTGTTTTGGATTGTGATCTGTTTTAATATAAAAATGAATTTAAAATAATATAAAATTTTAATTTGTTTATTAAATTTTTATTTAATTTCTTTTTCTTTTTTATTGTATGTGTGTTTTTTATTTTTTTCCCTATCTTTATTAAATTAATTCAATTTTTTATTTTCAACAAAATAACTAACTAATTAATTATTTTTTTTTCTTTCTTCAATATTTAAAAAGTAATAAATTCTGTGCATCAGGATTAGGTACTGCTTAAACAAAATGCAATAATCCCTTAAAACTGACACTTTATCTTGGGTAAAAACAGTTTATTTGTTTTTGAGTATGATATTTTTAATAAAAATGAATTTAAAGCAATAAAACTCTTTTATTTATTTGTTAGCTTTTTGTTTGATTTGTTTTTCTTTTTTATTCTGCTAATACTTTTTTTATTTATTTATAAATTATAAATATAATTTTTAACTTAAAAAATTTATTCTGCTTAATTTTTTTAGTAATTTATTTTAATTTATTATAATAATTAAAGCGAAATCAAAGAATAACAATAATAATTAAAAGTAAAAATCAAATGTCTAAAATAAAAAAAAATATTAGTTGTATTTAAAATTTTCTGGTGATAAACAAGTGGTTAAAAATGGGTGAATAAATATTAAATATTTGAATAATAAATAGTATATTATTTTTATATCTAAGATTATATATATATATTTTGGTAAGTTAATAAATTGCTTTTTAAATATAAAGAAATTTATAAATTAAATTACTTTAATAAGTTAATTTCTCTTTAATAAGCCCTCGGTTTTCAACAAAAACAATTAAAGCTATTAAAAATTCGTAAAAATTTTTAAATTTATTTTATTTTAATAAAGAAAGAAATTTAAGAAAATATAAAATTTACAGTATTAAAATTTTTTAATTACTATTTTTGAATAATTAAAAAAAAAAATTAATAATGAGCAAAACATTTCTGATATTGTCTATCATTTATCAACAGATAATATTTAACTTTTTCTTTTTAAATCACATGCAGAGCATATCTTTTCTGGTTAAAAAATATCTAGATTCTTTTTAATACAAACAAATTGTACATATTTTGTAAATAAATTAAAGATTTTTTTGATTAATTAATAAAAAAACAAATTAATTAATAAAGTATTTGTAAAATATTCCAAATTTTCAATTTAAAATAATTAAAAAATGATTAATTTTGCAGAAGAACTTGAAAAGTAGATCAAAGCTAGTGAAGATTAAGGAGCTAATCAAACAGTAGTGAAAGAGTATAAATTAGCAGAAGGAATTTACTTTACAGATTTCCGCCAACCCAAAGCTTAAGCTTAAGCTTAATCTTCATGTTTTGAAATTTAAGAAAACTAGTAACTTGATTATTAATTTGCATTTTTAAATAATAATAATGATTTAAATTAACTAGAAAAAAGAATTATGTCCCTCCAAAGGAACCTATTATCCTTGAGGCAGACTTTAAAGAATTTTAAAAGAGAATTGATAAAATGAAAGAATCAATTGAAGGTAATTTATATTTTAGGTGTAATTAGTTAGTTATAGTTATTAAAAATGATAATTAGAAATAAAATAAATAGATGATTGGTAAAGCGATAGGGATTTTAGAGATGCTGTTGAAGAAAATTATGCTGCAATAAGTAGTAACTATAATAAATAATTAGCAATATTACAAAAGTTTAAAGAGATTGATCCTTGTTGTGATGTTTTAAAGAAAAATGCTCAATAAGATATTGAAGAGGCTCTTAAAGAAAATAAGTTATAAGAAACTGCATTTTTATAAGAAATATATGGATTAAAATCTAAGAATTCTTAGGATATGGAAATAGAGTAATTAAATAATAAATAAAATGAAGCTAAAACAAGCTAAAAGGAGGATCCCTAAAAATAATAAAAAGAAAAGTAAGAAAATTAAGAAGAAGGTGATGATGATATTTTAAGTATTCAAGACCAGCTAAATAAATAAAAATTAGATTCTACTAAGGAAAAGAAAGATAAAGACGAAGAAGATGAAGGTGTTTTCTTATGAGTAAAATGCTAAATATAAAAAATGATCAAGTATTTCAGCTTCAATATTATTTTAAATGTCAAATATTAGTAAATATAAAATTAATATTTTATAAGGAATTTTGAATGTATAAATGAAAATATTTTTTTAACTTAATTTGATTTCAAATAAAAAACTTAAACATTAAAATTTCAAGCACATTTACATTGGTTTAATCAAAGTATTACTTTCAAATAAATAAATAAATTAAAATTAAGCTATTTTTTCATTAAATAAAATGTATTAATTTTACAAATAAATATATTTATAAAGTATTTTCATTTTTGTAAATATTCAAATTTTTTTGTACATCATTTACATAATTTATATCTCCCATTAACTCCCTAACTTAGGAAAAGAATTAATTAACTAATTAATATTTTTATTTAGTCAAATAAATAATTTCTATACTAATTTTAATAAACATTTTTATTTTTTAATAAAATGTGAACTCTTTTCTATTTTTATCATTTTATAAAAGATAAGAATAATAAAATAAATATGTAAAAAATAGAAAAAAATTTAGATAATTGCATATAAAAATAAGCTTATTATATTGTTTGAAATTATTTAATTATATTAAGTTTGAAAAAGAAACAGAAACGCATAGTAATACTTAACAAGAAAGATGCTTTATTAAAATTGAAATAATATAAATTGATAATATTAAATATCTATGAAAAGAAATAAAAGGAGAAAACACAAAAAGAAGAGAACAAATGGGAGAGATCGGATAAAATGAGAAGAAATATAATTAAAATGGTTATAAAACATTAATAGGTATTATATTACAATTAGATAATTAATTGATTGATGAAATAATTGGATTATCTTTAATTTTTTTCATTTGATTGCTATTTCTACGTAATTAAAAAAGAGTTAAAAAGTGAATAGTTTCAGTTTAATAATATTTTATTTTTTAAATCTATCTGTAGTAGTAATTTCAGATATTTCTTAAAAGAATTTCATTTATTCTTTTATTTCCTTCTTTCAGTGAATTAAGTTAGGGAATTCTTATTTCATTTTTTGATATAAGTTAGGATGTGATATTCTCAAAATATCAGATACTGTTTGGTTAAGCTATATTTATTTAAAATATCATTAATTAACTTGATGAAAGAAAGACTGAATGAAATACAAATAATTTATTTATTTATAAAATTAAAAATCTTCTCAAATATTATTTCTATTTTAATAATTTGCTTACACATAAATTAATGCTTGCTTCTTTTTAACTTATCTGAAATACACTTAAATTTTTAATAACCTTATTGTATCAATCTATCTGAAATTAATAAATTGTTTATTTATTTATTTTTGAGCTAAGACTATTTATTTAATTTTTTATCTAATAAATTTACAAGTTATTTATTGTTTGGATTTATTGATAGATGTAGATTATTATATTAAAAAGCAAATTATTTCAAAATTTAACAATTCATGCTTAGTTGATTTTTTTAATATAAAAACATTAAAACAAAGGCCTAGCAGATCCATAAGCTATTATTGTTTAATTGCTTGATTGAAATATATTTTATTATGTAAAAATGTGAAATTTTAATTGTGCTTTTTTTTTGACATTAAATTGTTTTTCTATATTAAAATATTAGATTGACATTTATTTGGTTTAAAAATAAATGAAGTAGAGATTGAGAGTAAGTAACTCATTAGAATAGAAAGATACTGAGAAAATTTATTTAAATTTAAGAATAGGAATTGATTAGGTTGAGAATATTACTGAATTTTTGATGTTGGTGTTGGCATTATGTTAAAGAAGGAAAGATACTGCTTTTTGCTAATTAAATTGAGCTGCTTTCATCAAAGGAGTTTCATTACCCTATTTAGAAATAAAATGCATTAAATCATTAAAATTTATTCTAATATTTCATTGTTCTTTGTTGTTTTTTCTTCTCTTTATTTTTTATTCTAAAGTATTTCGTTTTTATTTTTTCAATGGCTTTATAAAATTTCCTTTTAGATTTTATACTAATAATGAAAGAGTTTGAAATGTTTTTATCAGCTTATTGCTATTCTAATTTATAATGTTATCATCTTGTAAGTTTAAAAACTTTTATCTAATTTGTTAAATACTGAATGGTGGTGAGAAGGAAATTATAATATGCTAATTGTTTAGATTTATTGATTGATGGTTGGAAGAATAAGATCAGAAATTATTCTGGCAAACAACAAAGAAGAGGTAAAGATAGTTAAATAGAAATCATACCAAAGTAACAGCATTTATATTTGCACCATTTTGAATAAGAACCTTTATTGTATCTACATTACCACTCATAGCTGCATAATGCAAAGGAGTTCTATCGTTCTGTTTTGTAATTATGAAAATTTTTAAAAAATGATCAAAAATAGTTGTAGAATGAAAGTAAAGATCAGAAAAGCAATGTGAAAGTCGAATGAAAAATTACAATGTCTTTGATATCTACTTATGGCTTTTATTGGAAAAGACCCTAAACAATATTTGATCTACCAAATTGTGAGTTGATGTGCAATAGGGACAACTTCAAGTAGGGATTTACGTAATTGTTTATGTCATAATTAGGAAAGTTTTAATAAAGTTAGTTGATCAATTTAGCCACATTCTGCTCTGTGGTTTCAGCTTTGCTTAAATGTTCCCAGATGGTTTTATTAACGTTCTAAATTTTAAATAAAAAAGCTCATTTTAAATAAGCCTTTTAAAAGAATAAATCATATTTAAGTTTAATAATCTCTCTTTTCAGTAAAATAAGCAAATTATGCATGCATCTTTAAATGTGTTTATTTGCATACAAATCACTCACTGTTCGTTTTATCTTTATCAAATATGTTTTAACGCAAAATAAAATTGCTTAGTAAATGAGAATAATTTGCCTAAAAAATGTTTTTTTTACTAATATTCTTGCTCTTTTAGCTCAAAAAAGGGCCCTCAAATAAATGCTACTAAATCCGCTTACCATTAGAGGGGGTAACCATTTTGAAAAAATGAAATTTTCTATTAAAAAATTACCTTTAATTGCTAAGGATCCATAATTTTTTAATGCCGCTTTTGCCTTATTATTTATTTGCTGCTTGTTATTTATTTCTTATATATAAAAAGCTTAAAAATAATGATTTTTCTCTGTTTCTTGTTTAATTGCTTATTAATTTTTTTCTTTGAAATTTAATTAATTATCTTTATTTTATTACTTTTTATTTTTGAAACAAGCTCATCTATTTATCAATCAATTAATTAATCATGTAAATAAACAAAAAAACAAACAAACAATCAATAAATATATCTTACAAACGAATGAGTGAATGAATGAATCGATCTTTATATCTATTTATCTATCAATCTTATTTATTAATGATCAAATTATTGCGCATTAAAATATATTCATAGCCAGATAATAAACAATTAATATAATAGCAACCAACTTTATTTCGATATTTAAAACATCAAAATCCCACTATAAATATGCGTCTATTCTCATAATTTAATTTAATATTGATTCAGTCAAAATACATTAATAAATACTCAATTATTATCAGAACGATCGATTCAATTACTCAAAAATTCAGCCAAATTATTTTTTATTTATTTATTTGTTAGTTGGTTAGTTTGTTTGTATGTATGCTCACTCAAATATTATTTAGATTTAAGTCATTCAATAATTCATAAAACTTCAATCTAAATAAAAAAACTGATGTAATAAAATATAATAAATATTTATTTACATTTAAAATGTATGGTTGATTCATCAAATTAATTAGTCCATCATGTAAATTTACACACAAAAAATTATGCCAGTCATATAAACTAATTTGTAAAATTTTTTAAATTTTAGAAATTGCGTTTAAGAAAATACTTTAATTTTTACATGTTAAATAATAATCAGTAATAATCATATTTTTTTTATTATTGCAAACATTCTATTTTATATTTTTTTGGAAGATTTCACAATAAATTTAATTTATTTTACTCGCACCAGCTTTCTATTTTAAATAGATACCAACTTTAAACTAATTTTATTGACATATACTCCTCAAATCTGATAGCTGAATTCTATACATTAAGACTTATAATATCTTAATTATATGTTCTAACATATAAATATGTAAAGCAAGAACAGCAATGAACTCCTATTAACTATTTTAACTAATTGTTAAGAATAAAATATTAATTTATCTCTTGTAATTTTACTAGTATCTTTCACCTTTTTTGTATTTTATTAAACAAATTTTTATATTGAGGTTGATTCTAACAAAAATAAGTTAAAATAGTATTTGAAATCAATATATTTTGATTAATACCGAAAAGGAATTTTCAACTTTTTTATATCAAAATACCAAAATACACAAAACAGATAAATAAACACATAAAAATAAAACATAACCAAGAAAGTTACTTCTAATAAACATTAATATCAATAAGAATGACTCAAATATCAGATATAATTATTTTAATCACTGGAGATTTCTAATATAAAGAAGCGTTTTTATGAGAATTTTTATCTGCTTAAATTCAAAAAATCAAAATAGAAACCGCATATTAACATTAACCTTAAAATAGAAAACCAAAAAGATAGACAAGTGGACTATTTTTATTATTATCTAACATATTTTTAAATATCTTTCAAATTTTATCTATTCTATTTATAGTTTCCTTTCACACTCTATATTTCAAAAATAGATCATTTTTATTAGTTTCTATGAAATATTTTAACTTTATCATGCTTTAATTTCTTAAAATTCAATCTAAAAATATAGAATATATTAAACCTAATTCAAAGAATACTGATTCTATTAATAATTTTGTCTAATCAATCTTAAAAAATAGAGTGTTGATATTTTTTTTAAATATAATTAAATATAATTTTTAAAATCTAAATTCTAAAACACGTAAAAAGAGCATAAATAAAAAAATTAAAGTATTATTCAAAGCACATAATAATAAGAAAATTTTGACTACCAGATTATGATTTATTTTAACTTGATGATAACTGGTGTATTAAATTATTTTTCTTTTACTATCAAGTATTTCAAGAATTCACTTAACTCTTAATTAAATTACAATTAAATTAATTATTTTTTGAAAATTAATTATGTAGTTGTTGAGGAAATGAATTTATCGAAATATTAAAGTTAGTTTGCTTCTGATATTTTAAATTCTAAGATTAGAAAAAAATTTTATTTGCCTTTCATTTCATTTGATTAAAATAGTTATTTCTTTTATTTAATATTTTAAATATTTAACAGTAGAATGTTAAAATGAGATTTAAATCTTTAACAAATAAATATATTTTGATTCAAAATTCTTTTAAATAACACTTTAATTTTTATCTCATTTATAAAATTATTAAGAAAAAGTAGAGATTGAGATATATTTTTATTTTTCAATAGTTATATTTACTAATTCAAAATGGAACTTTGAATTAAATTTTACCTTAGTTTTTTATTACAAATAAAGTTAAATACTAGAGATAGATTTTACAATCGGGGCTTTTAAGGCAAATAGGGTAAAATGAAGAAATATTTTGCCAATTTTTAACCAATCAAATATTTTTAAAATTTTACTAGCATATCAATAAGTAATGGGCAATTTTAATACCCCTAGTTTGTTTTATTAATAAGATTTTACAGAATTTTTTATTTATGAAGTATGATTAATTTTGTTTAAAATAATTTTCTTTTGTTAACTATTTGTAATAAATTTAATTTACTTTTTTCTTTCATAATAACTTTTCTGTAATAATAACTATTAGGTGTTTGTTTTTTTTTGTAAGTTGAGAAGGTAACTATTTATTTTTTAATTAAATAACACTTTTTTTAGTAGTTAGATTTATAATCAAAAATGAATAAAATAATTAATTTTTAAAGCCCTTTTTATCTAAAATTTACTGAATTTTTGTAATTTGAAATCAATTAAGCAAAGATTAAATTTAGACATACTCATAAATATTTCAATTTTTCAGTTAAAAAATAGCTATAAATCAAATTAACTTTTGAATTTAGTGTATATTTTTGTCTGGTTGATTTTATCAAATAATAAAATAAAATTGAGTAAGTAAGAAAAATAAATTCATAATAAATTTTGATTTAGCGAAGTAATTAGTATGTGTAAAAAGGTTTTTATTCTTATGCAATTCTTTTAATTTTAATATAGTTAATTATATTGATTGAAATTTTTAATTGATTGTAAAACTGTCGATCCCAGTATTAATTTCTAAAAAAATTTACAGTTTCTTTTGAATAATATTATTAAATTTGGTAGAATACATACATATTTTTTATAATTAAGAAGATAAATTTAGAAAAACTATTCAGAATTAATTTTGATTTGCTTGTCATTTATTTATTTAATACTCTTAAAAATTTTAATGAGAGAGAAGCTAAATTTGTTAGATTTGATTGAAAAATTAAATAATATTATTCAAATATATTTTGTTGGATTCGAATTAATTTTCATATATATTTTTAGGAATGCGCTTGTATCGATTAGCCTGAAAAAAGTTTGAATAGAAATCGATGTTTAAAAGAACTTGAAACAAAATTAAAGATTTTTTTTAATCAATAATAAATAAATTAAATATTGATTAGTAAGCATAATCAACCAAAATTCTTTGACTTATATACTGACTGCGATTAAAATAAATATATAATCAAATATTAAAAATAAATAAGAAAATAGAAATTTAATTCTTAATACTATAAATTTTCATTAAATTAAGTTAACATTTAAGCAAGCAAGCAAACAAATTAATCATATAAACTTAAACTTCAAGCAAATATTAAAGTCAAAAAAAGTTAGAATTCGAAAACTAAACTCACTAGAAACAAAAAAATATCAAAAAATCTACTATTAAAATTCCAAGAACATATAAATCTTATATCTTTTCCTATAATTTTACCTTTTAAAGCACTAGTCCTAGCTAAAAATTTTGTAAATTTAAAGTCTGAAGCATAATTTGATTAGAAATGAAACATTAATAATTTGACGTAGAGACCCCAGCTATTCATGAACAAGAAGATCATCATGTAGGAATTACAAATGGAAGTCACGATAGTCCTATATTGCACTTCTAAAATAGAAATGAATCAATTAATTCCTAATCAACTAGGGATTCGATTAACGAAAATTTAGCTAAACAATAATTAATTGTTGAAAATAGAAGGGTTTATTGGGCAATCAAAATGATAGTTATTGGATTGATGATGAGCGCTGTGTGGCTTGGAAAAAATTATGCTACAGTAAAATAAACAAACACATTTTTTTAAAAATAGTTGAAGTTTTGGCAGATTTATTATTAAATTAAAAGAAAAAAATGCCTTATAATATTATATACTTATTTATTATTGATAAAAAATTCTTTTCAAAAAACTAAACTTTTGAGTTTGGTTTAAATTTTTTGACTTTGAGATAAAAACATTCATAACATAGAATAGAAAAAGCTAAATTCATAATAAATCGCAACTTTCCTTCTTAGCTTTAGTTACAATATTTACTCATGTGTTATTATTATATAATAGCCCTCTATAGAAGTTCCAAAGTTATCTGATCCAATCCACGATGCCACTTCTTATTTAAACAATTTGGTTAATAAACATAAAGAAATTGCAATGTTCTTCTAAATTTCTGCCTCAATCATTATGGATTTTAGTTTCTTCGCTCTATGCTTTTACTGGTAATACTAATTACTATTATATATTTTTTTGATTTGAAGTAGATATAAATGAAATAAGCTAAATGAGTAGTTTGTATAGATTGAAGATACTTTAATTATCAAAATAATTTCCAAATTTAATTTGTGCGCATTTGCTTATGATGATGATATCCAACTCTTTATTTTAAAAATTTGGTTTTAATGTGCTTAAATAATTCATAACGAGATAATTTTGTTTGCCAATTTAAAAATGAAATCAAATGCTTACTATTAATAGAAAATTAGCTTTGATATTGCATTCAAGTAAATAACTACTCAAATGATAAAAAAAATATATATATCTCAATAAAGAAGTGTAAAAAATAAGTATAAGCTAGATAAGTATCTTATTAATTAAATTATTTGTAATTTGATAAAGAAACAATAAAGATAATTGTGAGCTAAAAAATAAGCATTCAAAAACTAATTTTCATACAATCTTTTGTTACATTTAATGCTTATATTTCTTATTTGTAAATATAGGGTTATAAAAATTAATTCTGTTAGAGCAATATTTGCCATGGCTTGTTTTTACATATTCAGAGGACTCAATTAGGCTTTGATTATATTCCCCTTCCCTGAAGGATATTATTGGGAATATCCCAATTTCCCTTCCTATGTAACTCCCTATGGAAAAACTTCTGATTTCTTCTACTCAGGTATCAGTTTTAAATATTTATATTCATTTCAAATTACTCATTTTATATTTACTCAAATTTAGGTCATGTTGGCTTCTTAAATATTGTCGCACTTGAATGGTATAAACAAAAAAATTATTTCATGTTCTACCTCACTTGCGCCTTTAATGTTTATGTTGCATTTGTCATGGTAGTATTCAGAATTCATTACGTAGTTGGTAAATTAAATATTATTCTATTTCACACAGCATTTATTGTTAATAGGCATCAATCATATACATTATACAATAACTAGCTAATTAATTATCCAGAAATTAGAAAAATCATTTAAAATAGATAAATTAATTATTTGTTTTTATAATAAATAACATAGATATTACTACTGGATTGGTTGTTTCTCACTACATCTTCATGCTTGTCTGCAAATATAATGATAAAATAGATTATTTATTTTAAAAAGTATTCCATTGTACTGAAAGATGCTTCAGTTCTAATTCTAAAAATGATAAAAGTTGTGATGAAGAGCTTTAAATCAACCACCATTGATTGAATTAATTAATTCATAATTTAACAAAATATATTAAAGAATTAAATAATAAATTCCTCAAGAGTAGTAAAAAAAAAAACATTTCTCGGTAGAAAAAATAAATATAATAATTTATCTATCAATCTATTTCAATGAAAAATATACAATTAAGTAAATTAACAAATATGTTTCTTTCTTCATCTATGTTGGTTGCCTATTTGTTTGTTTGTTTACAGTATAAATATATAATTTATTAATTCTTGAATATTTATAAAATTTTATTTAATATCTAATTATAACAAATAAATTGTTTTTAATAAATAATCTTTTTAGTAAGTTTAACTAGCTCAATATTATCATTAAACTATCTCTTTTTTGGACGGTTTCAATATGTCGGGCAAAAACTTTGGTCCCCTCAATCATAATAATGTATTCATTTTACATTCAATTCTATTTCAAAATAATAGCCATTAAATTATCTTTTAATTAAGTTAAAGTTAATTATTTTTTCAATATTTTGGGCTTATGGAATAAAAAACCAAGCAAAATATAAAAATAAATATAACAGTATTAAGACTTAATTACTATTATACTGATATTAAAAAACAGAACTATTTAAAAATCCAAAAAAACACATAAAATAAATTCATAAATTTGTTAAATTAGTTTTTAAATGTTTATTTAATTTGTTAAATAAAATTTTATTTATATTTTTTAAAATTGACTAAAGAATAGAACAATCAAGAAATTTTTATTTTAAAATAGAATGATTTTTTGAAACTTTAATTAAAAAAAATATTTAAATTAGTTTTCTTTTTTTGAATAATTTAATATAGAATGAATGCTTTTAGAGAGTAGAGTAAATAAGTAAGTAATATTATAGTTTTTAAGATTATCAATAAATTATATTGATAACTTTATTATTTTATTGTAGATTTAGTTAAATTAAAAATTTAATTAGTTCTAATATAATTTTAGAAGTTGTATATTTAAATTTTCAGATTATTCTAGAATCATATTATTTATTTGTATATGCAGCAATATACAAACAAATATTTATTCATTTGCTTTTCTATTTTAGATTTGAAAGAAAGTATTTTTGTATTGCTTTTTTTTTTAAGTTTTTGGAAAATTATTTTATGATTTTAACGATTTATTTGTTTTTTCTTCACTTTATATTTTTGTTGCTGCGAAATTTAGGCATTTTGGATTTTAAATATTCTTCTAATTTATCCATTTTATCCTTTACTGTTTCTCCATCTTCAAATCTAAAATCTTCTTTTTACATAACTTCTCTTTTTCCCTCTAGCATATTTTAAACAGCTTCATGATATAACTTAACATATCCTAGAAGAATTTCATTAATTTTAGAATGATAGTACTAATATAATAGAATCAACTCTTTAGGATCTAAATACTTTTTTAGTTAGTTTTTGTCCTTCAACTTAAGCATTTGTTAGTCTACAAAATCTTAAAAAGATTTTTCTGAAAGAGCAAATAAGTTACTTTAATAAGATTTTAAATCCTCAGTAAAATGCTTTATTTCGTCAGTTGTCCCTTCTATTTTACGATTTAGAACTCTTCTTTTAACGATTTCTTAATATTCCTGCATTAGTTTGTTATTCTTACGCAAAATAATATTCTGATGATATTAACTTGCCAAACTATCAATGTATCCTAAATTATATTTTTTTATAATTTAACTGTGGTGGAATTTTAGATCTTTTGCTTAATTGTAAGCAGAAATATAAGCCTAAAATCTGCTTTTATTATTCATAACAACTTCTTTTTCAGCCAATTCTTGCACTATTCTAAAATACCTATGCATTTATTTACCTAAGAATCTATCTATCTTTTTATGTATTTATAAAATAAACTTTTGAAAGTTATTTATTTAGTTGCTATTAGATATATATAGAGCTGATGAATTCTTTTAATTATAATTTTTTATTACTTTCTCTTAGCAAACAGAAAATGATGTAATCAATAATTTCTTTATAAAATTAGCATAAAAAATATTTTGAATTAATATTAGTAATCTTACATAATAATTTTAAGTAATTTACTATTGAAATATATCTGGAGAATTAAGTATAAGTTTAATAGAAATATGTTTTAAGGCATTTTAATAAATACTCTGCAATAATTTGTCAATATCTTCTCAAAACTTTGTAATATTTTCTAAATTAATTTAAAAAATTTTTAATTTCTTTAGAACTATATTTCTTATCGAATTTACAATTTAAATGTAAGATAACTTTATTTAAGTCAATTAAATTGCTTGTGTATTAAAAAGGAATAAAATTTATTTTTAGATTGGAGATTTAGGTTTGTATAAATGTTTAAAAGAATATTGTAATTAACTCGCAATCTTAAAAATAAATATGTAAATTTGTAAGTAAAGAAAAAATAAATAAATTTGCATGTTAAAAATATTTATTTATTTATCTTTTTTCAAATTTTTTTTGTTTATTTAATTAAAAATATTAAATTTACATTTAATTGAAAATTAATTTGATAATTTTGATCTTAGTTAAAAACACTTAGTTCTATGAGCATAAAATTTTTTCTAACAATCTCAATTTAAATTAGTGCTTGTAACTAAATTATTTATTATAAGTGTTTTAGTAACTGTGTAATAGTTAATTACTTTTGCGTAGAAATAAAGAAATGGTATTCAATGTAGAATAATTTAATAGTAAATATCAGTTTGGATTATAATACAAATAGCATAAGAGGGTATCTTTTTAGAATAAATATCGAAATGTAAATTAATGAAAATCAATTTTTATTATGTTAAGATACATACTTATACTAATTAAAGTAAGCATAATCATTAAATTTGTTCAAAAAAAATATAATTAATCAAAATTTAAAGATTAAACAAATAATTGGAAAATATCAAATTTGATCTTTTTAAACTCTCCAAATAAACAAAATATACCATTTTTCTTTTACTATTTTTAAAAACTCAAATAAGTAATATAGCTTTTTAGCTGTTAGAATATTAGTCAAAAGCTATGAAATAGTCAACAGAAAATAATTAAAATGATGAACATGGTTAACAAAGTAAATAAATTAATTTCATATTAGTATAGATTAGAAATGATGTTAAAATTACAAAAAATATAGAGTCTAGTAAATGGATTTAAAAGTTGAAGACAATATTTGAAAATGAGCTTCCATCTAGCTCTAAAAAGAAATAAAAAATTAAGGATAAAAAAGTGATATTATAGACATAAGATTCTTAGACTGATGATTACGAGGAGAATTCAGACGATGTTAATTCATAGGACATGTCATTTTTGTAAAATAAAAAAGACAAAAAAAAGGTAATAAGCAGCATAAACTTAATCATATTTTAGGACTAAGATAATATTTAAACGCAAAAATAATAAATATTTTATGAAATCGAATGATAAAAGTTAAAATTATATTTCATAAAATAAATTTAATAGGAATAGCTTAAATTTTTATATGAGCAGATTGCAGCTGAGATGAATTAAAAAGATGATGGAAATAATCACGATGAAGAGGATTTGTGGGATTGGATGAGAAATTAGAATAAATATGAAGAAAAGGATAGTGATGAATAATTAATTCATTCCTTTTAAGAATAAGAAGCAGAATTCTTAGCTCTAAAAGAAAAAGAAGAATAAAATAAATTTTTAGATATAGTAGAAATGAATGAGTACTAAAAAATACAAAAATTCAATGCAGACACTCTTCCCAGAAAAATTTTTAAGCAAATATGGTCAATAAAAAAGTAAGTTACGATTGTATCATTAAATTAATAGAAAAAATAAATAAGTTTGTTTCTTTTGGCTAAAAATTAGAAAATCAATAAAATATCTCACAAGCAATAAAAATGGAGTTTATTTATTTGCTTTTCATATTTCTAAAAATAGATTTAAATGAATAAAAAACTCTATATCAATCAATATCTTTATTGAAAATAATTGATTTTCAATAACATTACAATCTTAATTTTACTTTATGAAATAGATAGTTTCACTTAAAATCTATCTCAAAAATATTATTTGTTCTAATTGAATTAGCCCCACCTTACGTTAGTCACAAATTACTTTGCAAATTAATAATTTTAGTGGGATTTGATTGATGTCTAACTTAGATCATAAAAAATAAAGGTTTAAAATGTCTTAGAAAAAATTTAATTTTAAAAATATTTTTGTTTTTTTTGAAAATAAACTCATAAATGGCTTAAAATGAAAGTATTCAAAATAAAATTAAGATAAAACGCATCTATTCTGCTTAAACTCACACAAAAATAAGCTATGATTTTAGATATTATTTACATTTTTGCTAATTAAACACTTAAACTTATTTTTAGTATTTTACAATTAAAATATTAAAGTTAATGGTTTTTATTAAAAATAATTAGTGCGATTTCATAAATTTGCAATATTATCATAAACAGCAAACCCTTCGAATATGCTACACTATGTGTTATTTTATTTAATTGCGTAATATTAGCTATGGATGATCCTACAACTAATGCTGATGATTAATAGAGATTATAAATTGATTTAATCCTACTTATTTTGTACACTGTTGAAATGGGCTTTAAGATTTTAGCTTTAGGTTTTATTTTTAATAAAGGTTCCTATATGAGGGACATGTGGAATATTTTAGATATAACTATTATTATAACTGGTTATTTACCATATGTTGTTAATACTAGTTAAGTTAATTTATCTGCAGTAAGGTCTTTGAGAGTTCTAAGGCCCTTAAGAACAATTTCAAGAATTAAAGCTTTAAAATAAATTCTTAACACTCTCTTCAGCTCTTTTTCTCTGCTTAAAGATGCCATCATTATTATAATTTTTTTCTACCTTGTTTTTGCTATTGCTGGGTAGCAACTCTTCACAGGCTGCTTAAAAAAGAGATGTTTTGATTCTAGTAATGGCATTCAATTTGGAGACAATGATCAGAATGTTTTTCTTTGCATCGAAGATATTGATTGTTATTAATATGCAGAAAGCAATTCCAAAATTCACTATATATGTGGAAAAGGAATGGTAAGTCCTTTCTGGGATACTGAAAATTTTGATACTTTCGGATGGGCCTTGTTAAATGTTTATGTTGTAGTCTCTCAAGAAGGTTGGTCAACCATTTAGGCATAGGTTTAGTAAACTTTTGGAGTAAATAATTTTGATTACAAAAAGAAATTTGTTTTTATATATTTATTTTTTAAAAAAGTATCCTTCATTCATATATTTTATGATATGCGTTTTAGTCGGGAATATGTTTTTAGAAAATCTTTTGATGGCTATTATTTAAATTAAATACGAAGAAAGTGAGCGTTTGCTCAAAAAAAGATAAAAAGCTATCGAAGATGTTCAATCTTTCAATTTAGCAGATTTCATACGATGGGGAATTTACAAATCAAATAAGTAGGTTTACAAAGAATTAGAGGAAAAAAAAATAAAAAAAGTGTCCACTTTAAGCGAAATTATAAGCTTTTTTAAGCAAGGAGCTCAAATTAAAAAGTTATTCACAATTACAAAGTCAAAATCTAACAGTGGAAGTCCAAACAATAAAGATAAATAGATAGAAGAGAATATACATAACTTCAAGTCAATTGAAGAATTAGAAAATTAATCAGCTGATAAAAATTAAGCTGAAAAACTTGGAAAGGAATAGAAAGTACAGCAGTAACCAGCTAATCTTGGTACTCAATTTGAATAGAGTAAACCTCTTATTGAATAAGAGTTATAAGAAATTCATGATTAAAATCTAAATACTTTTAAATCACAAGAAACTAATCTTAATTTGCTTTTAAAAATACCTATGATAGGTTTAAAAGAATCTTAATTATCTGTATTTAATAATTATAATTCTAACTTTTCCCCTACTTACAGTGTTGCACATTTTTCTCATAATATTAAGCAGAACTAAGAGTTAGCTAATTTTACATATGAAGATCAAAATCTCAACTTAAATAAGCTCTAAAAGTCGATTCACATTAAAGACCTTGACCAGATGGCTAACAATTAATAATCTCAATTCCCTAAATTTAACCCAATTATGAAAAGACAGCCTCAATATCTAAAAAGTATTTTCTATTTATAAAATAATTTAAAAATTATTTATTTATTTTTAATTTCCTAAAAATAAATTAAAAATTTTAAAAATCTTAAGTTTAAATAAAAAATTTGAGTTTTTTTAAAATTTAAAATAATATTTAGTATTTTAACATAATATTTAAAGTATATTAAACAATTCATAATTTATTTTTAGAATCTTCAATTAGAGAGAAGTCTCCAAAAAGAGGTTATTAAAGGAAAAACTCAAGAAAAATGACTACAAAAAAAACAATGATTATTAAACCTTTAGAAGGGACATAAACATAAATAAGAAACAGCGTTAGTAATAATAATAATACTTAAATTCGTTTAACAGTTGCCAAAAATATGAACTCTTCACATTAAAGTAAATTTAGCTTTTATTAAAAGTGTTATTAAATTTTATAACAAACAACTTAGGTAGAAATCCGAGTGAAATCCATTAAAACTCTTAATTAAATTAAACAAATTTCTAAAGAGATAAAAGTGTCAATCAAAATACATACATTTCTAATAATACTTATCACTAAGGCTCTAATTAACAAACAATCATGTTACAACCAAGTGTCATTTTAAAATCTAAATAAAATAGAAATTCAAATGTTTTGAATATTCTAAATTCCTAGATAATTCCTGCCAGAAAAGTAGAATCAGATGAAGGAAGTAGCATTGATAGTCACTAAAACAAAGATTTTGATGAAGAGGAATAATTCTTTAAAGAAATAGAAAAAACATACGAAATAAATTAAAAGTTAAATCGTTAACTTGAACTAAAAGAGACTGAAGATAATTAATATATAGAGAATATTATTAAAGATAGATAAATCGAAAGAAATTACAGATAAAAAACTGTTACATTAGACAATTTAATTAATAATCAAATTAATAAACAACCTTTGCATCATGATTAATTATCCTTAAGTAGCATTTAAGAAAGCTACCAAAAAGATACACCAGAAGAATAAAACCTAATGTTTTAATCTATTTAAAAGAGATCTTTTAAGAAAAAAAGAGAAGTTTCAATTTAGGGATAATTATAAAGTTCAGAAATAAGCAGGCCATATGATCCTGAATCACCTAAGAAAGCAATGTCCAGCAAAAGAATAAAATAATTGCCTAATATACCATCTGCCAGTTTAAATACATCTTCTAAAATTTAAAAGAGCAGTCACGTTTCTATCATTTTAGAAAATTCTCTTAACAATTCAAAGTAAAAATAAATCAGATCTGCTTCATAAACTGATTTTAAAGTCGATTCTAAATAGAGTATTTTAGAATAACGTAAAAATAGCTATTTCTATGATGGTCTTTTTTCTGATGAAGATTTTGACAATGTGAAATAATTTAGGAAATAAATTTCTAAGAAAACTAGCATTGCAAGCAAAACAGGAAATAACAAAAATAAGAAAGAAGTATTTTTTATTTTAAAAATATATCAGAATTTATTTATTGACAATTTATTAGTTATAAAAAAAGAAATCTGTCAAGGATAAAAACGTTGTTGATGAAAACCCAAAGGTAAGCATCATAAATTAAGTTTTAAGCAAAGACGAAGGTCAATTATACAGAAAGTTATTTCTAAAGAAAGATGTGATAGCCAGAGTTTTATACAAAGAACCAACCAACTACGATGATGATATCTTACCTAAAGAAAAATTGATCAAAAAAGAAAAGAAAAAGCAAGATAGATTAGATAAACTCAAAAAGATGAAATTCTCAATCTCATATCAAGCTGAAAAGAGAGTTAAATTAAGAAGCTAAGTTGTTGAGGAGAAAAAAAAGAAAAGTAACTTAAAATATTTTTTATTTAACTAATTGATTTTAGTCAAGAAAATTGTTCCTTAAAAATAATCATTAATTTTAAAAATTTTATTAAATTTGTATTTATTTATTTTTCTTGATTTATATTGAAAATTTATCTCAATCTTTTTTTCCTCTTGAGCTTATGTTTATGAAATAATTTTTTTTAATTTATTTTTAAAAGTGGAGAAGATGAAATTTTTACCTATTAAGGCGAATAGAACAGCTTTAGCTTTAATTCATTAATAACCATAAGTTTATCCAGGTGGAGTTAATCCTTTAGATCTTGCTGCTGCATAAAACAAAATAAAATCACAAACTTTAATCGGTCAGTAAAATACTTAAAAAAACAATCATGAAAATATGAGCTAAGGGACATACAATAGAGCACCTAGCATAGTGTAATAGCTATTAAAGCAATAAACTTTAATTTTATAGAAAGGCAAAATTGATGATGAGAAAGTTAGACTGTAAGGCGATGCATCTTAAAAAAATAATTTGATTCCTTAGAGTGCTTTGTCATTAGAATATTTTGAAAACTAAGAAAAGATAAAAAAGGGATTGAATTTAATAATTCCTGATTCTGATAAAAACAGTTAGTCAAATACTGGATCTTAATAAGTAATAGAAGCTAATTTGATTTAAAAAAAAGGAACTTTAGGAAATAATGATTAGTCTGATTAGTTATTAAAAGCAAATTTAACACCTAAAACTGCTAAGGGAATATTGAAAATTAAATCAATAACAGGCAATGAAAATTCTAATTTAAACACAGAATTAAACAGATCTTAGACAAATAAATAGCTTGACGAAAGTCTTCTTAATAAAAAGAAAACAAGTGGTTATACTGGCAACACTGGCAGACATCAAGGTGATAACCCTGCCTTTGAATGGGACCTAATTAAAGCACGGGAAATGCTTTTCCCAACTGATCACGAAGAAGAAGAAAAATCTCAAAGAGAGAGCGAGTTTAGTTAAGTTTTTGGAGATAATGCGAGTATTTTTAATAGTATTTTAGATGAAAGTAAATCGAAAAATAGTTTTAATTCATCCAGCTTTCATTAAAGTTATGGAACTTCCAGTAAATTTGAAAGCAGTAGCATGAATAGTTATTCTATGAAAAGTCAGTCTAAAGAAGGCAAAAGTGCTTTTGATGAAACAAATGCTGATACAGCAAGTAAAAGGTCAAAATACTCTAAAAATAAAGATGACACAAATTCAAAAGCATAAGATTCAAATAAATCAAAAGATGGTAAAGAAGACAAAGGTAATGGAGAAAATTAAGATTATTTTCAAAAGCCTCAAACTTTGGAGTAATTCCTAAAAGAGCCTCTAGAAAAAGAATATGTTCAAGTCGTTAAGTAACAAGTTAATAATTTGATACAGAAAGGGCAAAATAAAATAAAATCATATTGGTCAGGAGATGATGTATTGGTGGCAACTAAAGTTTATAAACAGCAATAGGCTATTAAAACCCTAATGAAATGTTTAAATTATCCAAATACAATTACTGAATAAAATGAAGGAGGATTTATGGGAATCGTAAATGCATTTAGAAGAAGAGTAAGAATGCTTGTCTAAACTCCTCTATACGAGAATCTGATTATGATTGCTGTTGTAATGAATACAGTTATTCTTTCACTAGATGGTAGTGTTGATAGTAAATTATTTTTACTTATTTTTTAAATACAATATAATTTATTTTATTTTATTTCACCTTCCCCAAAAAATTATCTTTTATTTTATTTTATTTTAATATCTTCTTAATGGTATTTTTAATTAGTAACTTTCTATATTCTAATTTAAATATTTAAGGTGTATATTAAATTGTTTAAATTCTTTTCAAAATTGAATACGAAAATTAGAAATAAATATTATTTAAAATAGATCAATCAATACTAGATTAATTTAATTAAGCTTTTACTTACATTTTTGCAATTGACATGGGATTAAAATTGATAGGCTTAGGTTTTGCCTTATATTGCGCAGATAGGATGAATATTTTTGATGGTTTAATTGTTATACTCTCAATATTTGATATAATATTTCTATCGGGATCTTCAGGTGGCAGCTCATTTAGTGCTTTTAGATCTTTAAGAATATTAAGAGTGTTTAGAGTTCTGAGAGTTACACGTCTTTTGCGTTCTTTGAAATTTATGAAAATATTGATAAAAGTTATTTCATCAATATTAGATAAGCTATTTTATATTATTTTACTGCTAATTTTATACATTTTTATTTATACTTTGATTGGTATGTAACTATATGGAGGTTCTTTCTTAAGTGTCTCAAGGAGTAACAGAATGGTCTTTGATTCCTTTTTATAAGCCAGTTTTTCTGTATACGATTTACTAACAATAGAAAATTGGAATAATATTCTTTATGTAGCACTCAGAACTTAAGTAAATGTAGGTATTACCTGTATCTACCTTATTAGCTGTATTTTTATAGGTAATTTTATCATTATGAACCTTGTGTTAGCAACAATGATTGGAGCTTTTAATTCAAGCTAATTTGATAAGGAAAAAGAAGAGATAGCTAACACTGTAGAGATTGTTGAAGATTTAGATCTTGGTCATACCACTACCCTTAACTCTACTACATTTATGAACATGTCCAACTCTCAGTCTAGATTGGGTTCTAGCACTCACAGCTTCTCAGTTAAAAATAGATAAAGAATGCTCAGCAGCGGAGGTTCTTCTTAGGGTTATTCAGATGAACATTCTTAAAATAATCATTCTTAACATAGTTTCTCTAAAAAATCGTAGCAAATTTAAAAAGAATCTTTTTCTCGTGAGTACAAAGAAAAAGCAAGCAGCATCAGCGATTCACATAATTAGAGTTTAGATAACAAATCTAGTCATAATTTGGAACTCTAAATTGTTTCTGAATAAGAATAAAACAATGATAAAAATAATCAAAAAAATATGTTTAAATAGCAGGCTGTTGTAAAAAAAGATGAAGATGATGAGAAAGAAGAGATATTTTTGTTTTTTGATAATATCAAATGCTAAAAATCTCTTTACATCTTTTCTATGCAAAACAAAATAAGAAGAGCCTTCTATTTCATAGTCAAAAACCCGCTGTTTGATAATATAATATTAGCGTAAAATTAATTTAATAAACTATCTATAAATTTTTATTTATTTTTTGATTGTTTAATTAGAGGTATTATACTCAACTCAGTTAAGTTAGTTTCTGACACATATGATACAGGTTCGGATTCATAAAAACAAGCAAGTTAAATTTTAGACATCATGTTTACTGTATTCTTTTCGATTGAATCCTGCTTAAAAATAGTTTCTTATGGATTTTTCTTTGATGAAAACTCATATCTTAGAGATAATTGGTCAAAACTCGATTTCTTTGTTGTAGTTACGAGTATTATAGATGTATCTTTATAAAATGGAAATTTTGCCTCTCTAAAAATTCTAAGATTGCTCAGAACTCTCCGTCCTTTGAGGGTTTTGCACCACAATAAGAGCATGAAATTAATTGTAACCACTCTTCTTGAGTCTATTGTTGGTATTTTGAACATGCTTCTTGTTATTTTCTTAGTTTGGTAGAATTAATTTTTTTTAATATCTTGAATTTAAAAAAAACATTTCTTAAATTTAAAAATTATTAAAACGATAAATTTATATTTAAAAATGAACTTTTTCTTAAAAATAATAAGGTTAATGTTTGCCATATTGGGTGTAAGCTTAATGGGTGGAAAGCTATAATATTGCAATTTTCCAAATAATGGAATCAGTTATAATATTTACAAATATAACTAATCTTAAGTAAATATTTATCTAATTACTGACATATAATTAATATTCTTTTAAATTATAAAAATATTAATAGTGTAGTAGAGTAGGAGGAAGCTGGTAAACTTACGATTTGAATTTCGATAATGTTCCAGCAGCTTTGTTAAATTTATTTGTAATATCTACTTTTGAAGGATGGCCTGCATATGTTTTTAACTACTTGGATGGATCTTCTGATGGTCCAGTTTATTTTGGAAGTGCTTACTTCTCAATTTATATAGTCTTTTTCATATTAGTTGGCAGCTTTTTCTCAATAGATCTTTTTGGTGCAGTGCTATCATTTCATTATGATATAGCATTACAAAAAAGTAAAAATAAATATCTTTCAAGCGAGTAAACACAATGGATAGAACTTTAGAGATTGATTCTTTAGTCGAAACCAGATTACAACTCTATCTCTCTCCCAACAAATAAATTTAGAAAATTCGTAATATTTTTTGATAAAATTTTAGTTTTAAAAATTTAAATAAAATAAATAAGATTTGGAACATTTGCGAATCATAGAAGCTCGAAATATTTATAATGATCTGTATTATAGGTAACATAGTATCTATGGCTCTAAGCTATGATACATCTCCTTCTTCCTACGATACAATCCTGTAGGATATCAATCTTGGTTTCTCAATAGTTTTTATCACTGAATGCTTATTAAAATTAATAGCGTATGGGTTCAATGGGTATTTTTATAAGTCATCTAATTAGTTTGATTTCTTTGTGGTTTCTGTTTCAGTGATAGATATTATTTTTACTTATTCTGGAAATTAATTTATAAAATTCTTATCTGCTGGACCACAAATTGCTAGAATTTTCAGAGTCTTTAGAGTGACTCGTTTGCTGCGTCTTATAAAATAATTTGAAGGGTTATAAAAGCTTATGTCAACTCTTATTTATGCTTTACCATCTCTTACTAATGCAACTGCTTTACTATTTTTAATTTATTTTATCTTTGCTATTTTGGCTTGCTATTTATACTCTCCATACTAGTAAATATTTTGAATTAAAAATTTCAATTTCAACAAACTAATAGCTTTACTTGTCATTTTTATTTTAAATTATAATAAAACTTTTTAATTTCATACATTCTTTGATCAACATTTTCCAAATTTAAATATTCAATAAATATTAAAAAAATGAATTAAAATGTTTTAGAAAATAATTTTTAAAGACTAAGTAATTTTTATTGCATATTATATTATTTAATTTAATAAAATAGAACAGGAAACAGTTTGAATTCATTTTAGAATTTCTCAACATTTCATAGATCTTATTTGTTGCTATTTAGGATGAGCACTGGTGAGGATTGGTATTTAATTATGTTTGATATAATTCACCATACTAACATGTGGAGTGCTTTTTTCTTTGTTGTATTTATAATTATTCAGTAATATATTATGATGAGCTTATTTATCTTGATTATTATTGAACAATTTGAAAACAACTATATCAATCCTGACAATCCAATTAACGACTTCTAGTATTCAGAGGAGGATTTCAAAAAATAATGGGTTCAATTTACTAGAAATAGCTATGGAATTAAAATACATGAGAGATTTATTACAGATTTCTACTTCTCTATATTAAGACCACTTGGTTTTGGTATTAAAATTTATTTATTATTTACAATCTAATTGAAATCTTAAAAAAAGATTACAAGTCTAAGCTAAAAGAGTTCGTGGAATAAGTTAAGACAATTAACTAACAAGTAAGTGAATAAGATTTAGAGCTAATCACTGGTAAATTTAGAATCAAATAAAAGCAGTTAGCTGAGAAGGAGATTATGAAAATGAATATAAGATGTGATTATGATGGTTATATATTCTATAATGAATTGCTTTACTATTTTTTCAAACACTCACTTTATGATAGTGTGTTTGGCAGAATAGACAATGCTTCTACTAAATCCGAATATGAAAAATGTATCAAGGCTGAAGAGATTCTATACAAAGAAGAACACATTACACGTAGAAAACTCAGAATATTAAAAAAGAAAGTAAAAATCTATTTTTTTTTGAAATTTCTGTTTTTAAAAACATTTATTTTATAACAGCAAGCTGCCTTGACCAAATAAAAATTTATCTCCAGCAGATAAAAAGAAGTAAATCCTATGGTTAGAAGATTATTTGTTGGCATGTGCTTTAAAAGCTGGTTAAAGTATAGTTAGAAAATTTAAAACAATATTATGCAAGACTATGATGATATTTCGAGCTAAACAGATTCTGATGAGGAGTATGATTAACTTCAGGTTGACCCTGAAGATTTATAAAATGCTTTAGCTATTGATAAATTCTACACTTCACAGGATAAAGAGGAGAATATCATAGAAGTTTTAAAAAATAGAAGATTTATTATACCTCGTCTTCACACAATAAAATTGAGAAAGTAAGATTAAAAGGAATAAATAGCTGATGGTTTTTTCAATGGAAAATATTTTGAATTTCCAAACCCAGATGAAATTTATAAAGCAGAGTTAGAAAATGAATAAAATATTAATGAATTTGAAGAAAGGATTAATGAGTAATAAAAATAGTTGTAAATAATAAAAAATAATGAATAAAATAATAAATAAATGCTCTCTTCAGTTAACTCAAACTATCAAGAAAGGACAAAATCAATCCAAAGAAGTTAACTAAATAATTAAAGAAATAACACACTTAAACTTTCTCATGCTTTTAATATTCCAAGCAAACGCACTTCAATTGATGTAAACAATCTAAATTTAATTCATAGCAACAATTTGTTATCAATCTAGAATGTATAATCTAACAACCAGCTAGTGCCTAAAGACTAAACTAAACTTAAGCTATCTCTTGTTGAATCTTCAAATTCTCTTGGAATGAGTGTAAGAAAAGAATCCATTGTAAAAAAAGACTCCCATAATGTTTCAACTCCTAAATCTCAATTAAATCTAAGTTAAGTAAAAAAATTAACCCTCTAAAAAAATAACTCTAATTCTCCAAGACTTTAAGTGCCTCTTGAAAATAATCGTCAGAGAAAGGACAGTAAGTCGATTTTCTCAATGACCCCATAGAATAGAGCTAATGAAAATGAGAACATAGAAGATAAACTTAATTCTCAGCATTTGATGCATCTCCAAGCAACTCCTATCACATTTACTTAATTTGTCAACTCAAAGAATTTCATGAGCAGTCCAGAAAATGAATCTGATGATGAACATAAATAATAAATTAGATTAGATTTAACAAAATAATAATCCAGCTAAATAAAATCTCCTAAAAAAGAAATCAGCAGATTTGGCGAGTCTTCTTCAATTATAAATTAATTAAAATAAGATTTTAATATAAATGGTCATGAAAAAAATAATGAAAGTAATGATAAACACTCGTCAATAATGAACATGCCAAATCTTTAATAAAAATCATATTCTCAGTAGTCTGATAAGCATCAAGCAAAAATTCCTATTGATAACTAGGAGCATAAAAAGCCAAATTTAAATAAAAATATTCCTTAAATTAGAATAAATTTTGAAGAAGATTGAAAATTTAAAAAGCTTTAACAAAATAATAAATACCATTAAAATTTAATAGTAAATTAAAAAATATAAACTAATTAGTAAACTAATGAATAAATGTATTTAATATTTATATTAATATCTCAATTTTAAAATTTACATAATTTTATTTACTTTGTAAAAAAATTATTAATTTAATTTAAAAGATTTAAATAAAACATTATTAATTATCTTCTTTCTTCAAAAAATTCAAAAATATTTTTAAATATAAAGAAAAAAAAGTTTCAACTAACAACTCAATTAATAACTCTTTTTAATTTTTAAATTCAACTTTTTTATTTTCTTGAAAAAATCCTTCTAATTTTAAATAAAACTAAATAATGAATATTCTAGAAATTAAAAATTAAAAATTGGAGATATTAAAAAAAAATAATGTTAGAAAAAACAAATCTGAACTTTGAATTAATAATGTCAGATTGTTAACCTTCATTAACCTTACTTTTTATCATTCTTAATATCCATCAAAATTAAAAAATGCAAACTAATTAGCTAATATTTAAATTAATTTATTTAATTTTTATTTTATTATTAAAATTTTTAATTATTTTATTTTTTTTATTAAATTAAATTTAATAATAAAATTTTCTATCTTTATTTCTTTCTTTCTTTTAAGCTAATTACATTTTTAATAGCAAATTAAAAATAATTTTCATTTTATAAAATAAATAAAATATGGATAAAAATAAACTTTTTTATTTTTTTATTGGATAAATAAATTTAAATTTATTTATAAATCAATATTTTAAATAGAATAAATTTTAAATGAAATAAATTAAGGAAGGTAGGTAGGTAGGAAGGCTATCAGGAGAATCTATTTATGGATTAATTAATTAATATTTTTGATGTTTCTTTGCTATTTGTTAGCATTCATTAGGAAATCTAAAAGAATATTAATTTCATTTCTAGAAAAAAATTTAATTTTATTAATAATTTTGAAGAACAGTAGAATAAAAAGTAAGATACATACATAGATATTTTAATCATTCATTAGGTAGTTAAAAATGTAAAATATTTTCAAAATTCAACCACTTTGCAACAATTAATTTTATTAGGGAACCAAATCTCAATTATATCTTTTTAATAAAAAGTGTTTTATTTATTTTTTAGCATTAATTTAAAACTACTACTGGATCATAAATAATCATTTTGCAAAAAGCTTTTTAATGATAACATAGCAATTACTTTTAATTTATAATAATTGGTTTGAGCAAATGGAAAATATCTTTTTATATTTAATTATATGAAAATTAAAGCTAATTTGTTTTTATTTAAAGTAGATTAAATGATGCTGCTTAACGCCTCTAAAAATAATAGCTAGAAGATAATCAGGGCAATTAAGAATCAATTAAATGTTTTGCAAATTTAACCAAATTAAAACTTAAAATATAATTTTTGCTCTAAAAATAATTAAAATGCTACTGATAAATAAAATATTTAAGTCAAATTGCAGGAAGTTTAAAAGATTGATTAATAAATGCACTAAAAGTTAATGGAGTTAGAGAAAAAAATTATAGCAAATTAATTTGATGAAAAAAAGTTTGTGATATAATTTTAATCATTGTTCAATAATTATAACTTAAACAAAGAGGAATAAGCTACCAAGCTTATTAACTAGCTTAAAATTTCTATTGATCATGTACAGAAGCTATAGACTATTGTAGGAGTTATTGATAAGGCAGCAAAATACAATATCTTTTTATCAAAGGAGTTTGAAATAAAGCTCTTAAACCGTGGCTTATATCTTATAAAGAACGAAAAATATTACAATATTAAAAGCGATGAAGGTGATTTAATTAGGGCTTTAACACTTGTTGCTGGATTAAAGAAAATAAGACACCTCAGCTTTTATGAAAGTATAATTGATATTATTAAAAATGAAGAAATATCAAAGAAAAATTTACTTACAATTATTGAGACTCTCACTTACAATAAATTGCTCCCTCAATTAAAAAACGGTAACGATATAACTGACTGCCTTGCAAAGTTATCTCGACTAACTCCTAACGATTTAGAAATATTTTCTCCTGTTTCTAATTTAATTTGCTATTATTTGAAGAACAAACAAACTATATCTTTATTCAACTAAAATACCAAGTTCTCAACTGTAAGCGAAGAAATCTTTAAAAGCATTCATAATTGTTTGTTTACTTTGCTTTCTTAATAAACTCCCGATAAACTAGATGTTTTCTTAATAGCAGAAATTTAAAATCACTTAGAAATGTTTGCCAAATTATCACAAAAGGAAGAAGCTCTATTTATCTAAAGAAAGTTTAACAATTTATTCAATCAGTATATGACAAGAAACTTTGCTTAAAAGCAATACTACGATTACGAAAAGGTTTTAAGATATGTAAAGAAATTCATAGCAGCTCCTCCAATTGTTTTAAATCCCATAATCGTTAAACTAATTGGATAAACATATCAAACTGTCAACCCCAATAACATTTCTGAAATTGTACCCTTCCTTTATTTCCTCTCAAAGACTGTCCAAAATTTCAAAGTACCTTACGAAAGGTAGAATTATTATTTTACTATCATTGAAGGATCAATATTTATTTTTATTCAAAATTTTAACATTTATTAATTTAACTTTCAAAAATTAAAATGAACTTAAAAAACCTTTTGCTATCTATAATTTAACATAGAGATTAAATAAATATTTTAAAGTATTTCTCAATGATTTTAATATTCTTAATAAAATAGTTCAAATATTTTAAATAAACTATTTAATTTTATTCTGGATGGTTTTAATATTCTTAAAAAAATAGCTGAAATATTTTAAATAAATTATTAAATTTTATTCTGAATGATCTTAACATTCTTAATAAAATAATTTAATTATTAGAAATAAATTATTAAATTTTAATCATGAGTTTCTTTGAAGTTGATATTTTATTTAAAATTTTTTATATATTAAAAGTTAATAGGTGATTGAAAAGAATTTGCAATAAGAGAAAAATATAATTATGCTTAGTAAGTTGATGGAGATTTATGCTACTACTCATTATTCAAATGATTAAAATATTTAAGATTTAGAGTAGAGAATCATTTAGCTTAGTAGTTACAGTGCTAACCCTACTTCTCCTTTGCTGATTTTGTTTTAATCATTAGCAAACATGCATAGAGGTTAGACTCAATCTCTTCGTTATATTGTTGACTACTTTAAATATCCTGGAGTGCTCGATAAAATTGAATTCTTTGATTTGATTGTTAAGTTTATTCCTTCTTTAGCTATTAAAACAAAAGAGCTTTACAAATTTGCAACTAATATGGGATTTTAATCTTAAACCAACTTAATAGATGACACAAACAGAATAGATTTAGATTTCTAAAACAGTAAGCATTTTATTTACTAAAATTTCTATTTTATATATTTTATAGGCAATTTTAAATAATTTTTTTACAAATAAAGGTTTGGAATAATTATGGGATAAGGTTGAATCTTTAGTCATTTCAAGGATAGATGAAATTTATTACGATAAATACCCTACTCTTTTATTACATTTTATGTATGCAAACTTAATGAAGAACAAGTATAAGCGCATATTTTTCATTCTACAATAAAGAGTTACTCAGTATTTAGACAAGTATACTCCTAAATAAGTTAGTGAGATAATTTATTCCTATGCAAGAATGCATGAAAAAAACAATGAGTTATTCTTTAAATCAATACCAATTATTTTAAAGAACATAGATTAATTCAACACTATCGAATTAATCAATATTTATTGGGGATATGCTAATGTGCGTATATATGATAACTAGCTTTGCACTGCATTAGAAGAAAGCATTATGAAAGAATAAACTAAGGTTAATCCTGAAGGATATATTCAATTTTTCCATGCCATAGGTATTTTCAGTAGACAAATAAATTCTGGTTCTAAGTTAGACGAGTTTATTCGCTCTAAGATATACAATCTAGATTAGTTGAAGATAAACGTTCAACAACAATTTGCTTTGGCCTATGCTATTTTGCTCTTCAACAACAGAAGCTAATATTCTCTCTTTTGGGAAAATATAATCAACCTAATCTTGTAAAACCAATCCAATTTCATATCAAGTCCTCTATACATGAATTATTTGTATCAAATCTACATACATCTTAGATACTCTGACTCAATATTCTTACCCTGTATGTAGATTCTTCTCTAAGTGTTAATTAAAAATAGAGATTCACTTATCCGTTTTTACAAAGTCAATAAAAGATACACTAGCTCCGATCTTGAGAAAAAAATTACCTAAGTAATTGATGAAAAAATAGCTGCTCCTTAAAATGACCAAAAAGTCTTTGTAGTCTAAATCAAAGTAATTTTTTAAATTATCTATCATTTTTTCTCATATAATTCAGATTATTTTCTTCATTAAATTTTCTAATAAAAAATTATTCTAACTTAATAAAATAAAAAAAAATTTTATTAAAAATTAAATTTTTAGATTAAGAAATAATACAATATATTTTTTTAAAATTTACTTATTTAATTATAAATAAAATTAAATAATAAAAAGAATGATATTCCATTAATTTTCTATGATGACTTAAGAGAGCTGGAGTAAAATCCTAAATTCCCTGAACATGAATTGATAATACCTTATACTCTGGATTGTAGAAAGGGTGCTTTATGTTTCGAAGTAAATGGACCATAACATTATTTGAGTGATATATAAAATTAATCTAGTCTTGATGGCGTTACATTGCTTAAGAAAAATTTCCTTGAGTAACTCGGCTTTAAGTATATTGAAATAAAATACACAGAATTTGTTCCTGGTATAGTAAAAGAAGACAGCTTGCTTACTTAAAAAGTAATGGATATTGTAAAAGAATAAATGAAAGACGTTAACACAAAAAAAGTTTAGTAATGAACAAAATTAAAAATGATTTTAAATAAAAAGTAAATTTGATTAAAAAAGTAAGAAAGATATGTAATATTTATATACAATTTGTAATAAATTAAATAGTTAATTTTTTTGTTCTAAATTTAGTTAATTATTTTTTATTTATCTATATATTCGATATTGTTATTATTATTAGTTCTTAGTAGAGTTTTGTAATTAATTTTTAGTTATTGTTTTTATATAACAACTATTTTTAGATTTTCAGCTACATTTTTATGTTTAATTAATAAATACTTTGTAATTAAATTTTTATATTCAGTATTAATTCATCCACTTATTTATTTAATTGTTCATCCATTCATTTTTTAGATTACATTTAATATTATATTGTGTTTTTTTTTGTATTTCATCAAATCATTTAAATAAATTCTAGCTGAATAATAAATATAATGTCTTTTTTATTCATTAAAATTATAAATTTTTAAATATTTGTTTTACTTTGTTATTTTTTTCAATATTTTCTTTTGTCATATTTTTTCAGTTAGGCTATGATTTCTATATCGTTATAGGCTTCTTTTAAGAAGTTAATCATTGCTAAATGAGCTTCTATGTCATGAACTTTACTTTATTCTAGCCAAAAGTCAGAAAGTTATTTAAGGAAATACTCAAAAACTTCTCCGTAATTTGGATGCTAAATTAGTAATTTAATTGTGTAATGGTTAAATTTTTTCTTTACAATATATTTTAAAAATTTGCTTTGCATTTCGTCAAATGATTCATAAATTTTTTTAGTTTTATTGTAATATGAGAGTGCAGATTCAATTTGTTATTAAGAATACCCAAATTTAGTTGGGTTTGAAATGAAATTCTTAAATGCGGTCATAATGTTTTTAGCAACATTTTTCTTTTTGTGTTTTTGTAATTGTTGGATACAGTGCCATTGTTCTGATGTTAAGTTACTCGATTTCACAAAAGACTCATCTTCTTCTACATTGCTTCTGGACATGTCTCTATCTTATTATTAATTAGAATCTAAGTCTTTGCAATAGCCATATTCTTAGTCCATCTGAATATATCTAGAATCTTCTTATGAATTCAAGCCAGATAGACAAAGATTATTATCTTAGTCTTATTTCATTTGAGTCTATTAACTAATTACAGATTAAACCAGTAATTCATTTCCTAACTTTATTCTAATTTTTGAATTTAAGGGTGCTACTGGAATCTTTTCATTAGATTTTTTATTTAATTATTAAGAAAATCTTTGAAAATGATCGCTCTTATTGCTTCTCTTGTAGTCCCAATCATTATATATTGTTTTAGCTTAGCAAATCTAGTAATTGGTAGAATTCAAATTTTCTCTAATACTTTTATCATTCTCGAAAGAACTTATTTGATGATCATATTGCTTCTAAGTTGCTTGGTAAAGCTAACTTGGGCTATTATTAATAAAAAAATTATTAACATTTTGAAAATTGATTAAAAGAAGGAAGTATTTATTTATTATTCCAAAAGCAATATTAATGATTTTATTTAGAAATTTAAAAAAACAATTAATGAATTAGAAATTAGTAGATAAATATCTACAATTATTTCTTTTTATTTTTACTTGAAATAGTTGAGAAAAATTGATTAATTTGCTGGGCAGATTCAACTTGTTACATCAAACACAATAACAAGATTGAGTAAAGTATAAAAAAATTAATAATTTTGGGGAGATAATGTAACATTACTGTTGATTGATAAAAATATCAAATATAATTTTTAATACAATTGCTCCTAAATCTCACAAATTAATTTAAAATTTTGCGATAACAAAAAGAAAAAAAGGAAGATGTATTTACCTAGATTTGAAGTGTAGACCATTATGATTTAAAGTGAGATTTTGTATCTTAAATTTTGTTGATTAAATAATATTCTGTAATTCTTTATCAGTTCTTCCTCTGAAGTGAATTCTTTAGAGGACATCATTTCCATTCAAAAAGACATAATCAGCTATGTTTATTTACTGTTCCGTGTGTAAGAGGTGGTTTTACTTGGTAAGCAAGTTAGACTCAAAATGTTATTAATTCATTCTAGCTATTCCTTTAATTGATAGCTATGGCTAGCGCATTTATTATTGCTATTATTATTCTGATTATTATAATTAAGAATTCTATTTTGGTATAATAATTTATTATTATAATTATAGAGATTCATCCATTATTTAATCAGTATTTTAATTTATATGAGGAAATATTGTTTATAATTAATTATCATAAGGGAATGAAGAAACAGGGCAACAAAATTTTTGGTCACTATATTAATGGGACTGCTCAATGCTAGTCTTAAAAGAGTTGTCCATCATCGCGCGTTGTTCAGAGGAATTATTTTACCATGAATAATCTTTATGTTATTAAAATGGTTAATCTGATTGAGAGGTGGATTTAGTCATTTCAGGTTTGCAGCAAATTGAAGATATTTAATTATCTTACTTTGGGATTTATGGAATGTTTTGAAAATCAATTTATTAGTAATGAAATGAAGGAGTGACATTTGAATTTATTTGAGAGAAATTTTAATTATTATTTTAAAAGAGAGTCTAGCTATTATTTAAATCTGAATTATCTGCTGGATTATTTAATTTGTAATTTACTTGATGTGAAGTCTTCTAAGCCAAGCTGATATCGTTATCACTGTTTGAAGTACTATTGTTAGGCTTTTGAAAGTTAAATAGAAAATCTTCTTCTTCTTCTTCTTCTTTTTGTGTTTATGTGTATTATATCTCACTATTCTTGTATTTTTTTAATTAATCGACTTCTTAATCGTTAATATTGTTATTTTCATTACACACATTAATCTAATTTTAGCTTTTTTCAATTTATAAATCTTCTTAATTAATTTGAAAAGCGCGATCCTATTTTTAGAACTCGTCTATTTTTATCAAAAAATTTTCTTCTATTTTATCTTTTAATTAAGATTATTATAATTATTATTATTACTAAATTTTTTCCTGCTCACTTTAATACCCATTTTCTTCATTTATAAATAACTATTATTAAGGTTATTCTATACAATTTTGCAAATAATTTTTCTCGCTTTTCAACTAAAATAATTACTGAATTTCCTAATCTTTTTACAAATTCAAAACTCTTAAATGCTCATTCTCAAATACATTTAGGTCATTCATTTTGTGTATTTTTTCACTAACGTCAGCTTAGTTTCCATCAGTTAAAGACAAAGCATTATATTACACTCTCTAAAAGCTAGGTTATTCTGCTTTTTCTTTGAAATTTTGCTGAACATCTTCATATTTTTACAGAGCTATCAAGCTGTAATTTTCAAGTTGTTGAGGAGCACTATTATTAAAGCTATTTAAATTTTTTTCTTCATCGTATTCATTATTGTTTGTTATGATTTTATTCCAGAATTAATCGGTATCAGTGCTAATCAACGAATTGTTCTTGCAGAACTAAGGAGCCTGCGCTGCAAAGACATTACCAATCAAAGACTCACTTTCAACATTTGGCTGTAGCTACTGTGAATTTTATTAAATATCCTCATTATTATTAAATTAGCTACGATTATTAATATTTGAAGAAGGTTCTATTACCAAATAATCAAGATTATTGTGCTCTTTTTCATTATTAATGCTGCTATTAAAAGGACTGGATTTTTATAAAAATCTAGAATTTGCTATTTGGTGATTTTGAGCATTTTAATAGTAGTTGTTGTAAATTTAGGGACTGACTGTATTACTTTAGTATGAATCAAAGTTTATATTATTATTATATTAAATTTTGTGCCGAGGAGATTCATAACAACTATTTTAATTATGACTTTGATGTGTTTTCATTTGGTTTTTCTCTGTTAACATATACTGTGGAGTATCCATTTATAATTATTAAGATTTTTATAATAACTATGGACTAGTAACTTCTGTAATCATCTAGGACATCATTTATCAATCAGTCAATATAGGATATGATGTTTCAATAAATGAATAATAATATTAAAGTCTGAAAATGAACAAGTTCAATAATATTTTAAAATCAATTTATTAATATAGATTGACTTTGATTGTATTTATTTGTATAACTCAACAATAACAGATAAAGATATGTATTTAGTGTAGTTATTAAATTAGTTAGATAGAATTTGTTATCGAAATTGTTAATAAGGTTATAATTTTCAGTGTTTTTTTTCTCAAAATATAAAGAAAAACCAGATTGATTGATTCTCGTTATTAATAAATACTCTGTAATTAATTAAAGAAAGAATTAATTTTTTTTTCTTAAATGATTTTTGTTTATCTTTGCTTGTTTATTTATTATAAATAAAAGTGAAATACTCTTTTTGAATTATTATCTTTTTTCTTTTCTAAAAATAGCAACAAACAACATATTAAATTTTTTGCCACAATTTCAATTAAATAAATATCTATAGTTCTATTTAAATTGTTTTTATTTTAATTCCTTCTTCCTTAATGCAAGGTTAAGCCTTAAATTTAAAAAAAATAACTAGTTTGTATTTTCATTATATTTTTAGTAATAAACTTCATAGCCACTAACAAATTAAAATACAAATAAATTATTTCATAAATAATTAGCAGATAAGCTATTTGAAAAAGAATAACTAATACACTTAATCCAAAACGCTTGACATATCTAAAATTAACAAGCACTTTTTCAAACAAAAGTATGTGTAATCACTAGATTTGATAGACAAACTCATTTAATTAACAAAAATACAATTATATTCACAGAATTTAATAAAATAAAAGTTTAAAATAGACAATAAGAGAGAGGTAACAAATCCACATATAATATTTATTAATTATTAATATTTGATAGACAATTAAAATAGATAAGTAAATTGTAACTCATTATCAAATAACAAATTTACTAATTGTAAGTTAAGAAATTTCAATCAATCACTACTGTACAGCTTTGAAAATTACATTTTTTACTTTTTATTTTCAAAAAAACAAAGCAGAATACTAATATAAAATCATTTTTACTAACAAATTAAAAACAAGTTATCAAAAGATTAATAAATATTGATCAAGCAAGAGTAATCTAAATAAGAAAGTCTTTTATTTTACAAGACATTTTAATTTTTGATAAAAATTTTAACTTAATTGATAGATAAATTTTTGCCTAACGTGAAAGATATATATACGTATGTATACTAATTTTCTTTTATTATTTTTATAACTTGTGAGTTTTTTCTATAAATCCAAATTTAATTCTAAATATAAATAAATTAATAATTGCATTAAGTTTCAATCAATCACTATTGAAGAGTTTTGAAAATTACGTGTTTTTCATTTTTATTTTCAAAAAAATAAAACAGAATACTAAAATAAAAAATGATATTTACTACCAAATTTAAAACGAGATATCAAAAGATTAATAAAAATTTGTCAAGCAAGAGTAATGTAAATAAAAAAATCTTTTATTTTACAAGACACTTTAATTTATGATAAAAATTTTAACTTAATTCATTGATAAACTTCTTATCTAATGTGAAAGATATTTTTCTAATTTTCATTTATTATTTATATTGCTTGTGAATTTTTTTATATAAATCCAAATTTAATTCTAAACATGAACAAATTAATAATTGTATTAAGAAATTTCAATCAATTAATATTGTACAACTTTGAAAATTACATGATTTTCATTTTTATTTTAAAAAAAACAAAGCAGAAAACTAATATTAAATTATTTTTACTACCAAATTAATAACATGCTATCTAAAGATTAATAAATATTGGCCAAGTAAGAGTAATCTATCTAAAAAAATCTTTAATTTTACAAGAATTTAATTTATAATCAAATTTTTAACTTAATTCATTGATAAACTTCTTACCTAATGTGATAGATACATACATATAAGTATATATTCTAAATTTTTTTTATTAGTTTTCTTGTTTGTGAGTTTTTTAAATAAATCCAAATTTAATTCTAAACAAAAATAAATTGATCCTTATTTATAAATTTTAGAACTAAATCTTCTTTTTTGATTTTAGAAATTAAAATCTAATATTTTATCTTTTATTTTAAAAATTATTTTATTTACGTTTAATAATAATTTGTTTTGTTTTTTTTTTTCAATAATAAAAACTTAATCAATCTTCATGCCTCATTTTAAATAAATTTATATCTAAATTTTTCTCCTTAATTATTTAAATCACTTATGCATTTTACCAATCCAATAAATCTTTATTTTATTTTAAAGAATAAATTATTATTTTTAAATTTTTAATTTAAAGCTTTCATATAATAGACTTCCAGAACATGAACCCACTAAATTTTTTTCTTGGCACTTTTTCAATTTTACACACAATTAATCTTAAAAAGAGGTCTTGGTATAAAGAAACATAATTGATTGATAAATGAGGATTGATGGTATGTATATTTAAACTCTAACTCAATATTTTTAATAACAAAAAATATAAGTGATTTAATTTATTCAAACAAAAGTTATTGATTGATTCTACTTTGGTTTCATAAAAATAGATAAAAAGAAAAATCAAAGCAAATTTAAATCAAACTCCTAACAATTAAAAAAAGATAAAGAATTTTTTATATATTCATAATGTTTATTTAGTATTTTTCAGTAACTTTAATCCTATCTCTGCTAGTAAGTCTTGTAAATAGCATAGTTTCAAGTTCTTATGATTTTATTTTTCAGCAGTATCATTTTCCTCCTTATTTACTTTTACAATAATCATAGATAGCTTCTATAACCTCCAACAAAGATTATACTGTAGTTGCTTTCTAAAAAGATGGTATCAAATGGATTGACAACATTAAATGTATCCCTATAGAAAATGCTTTTGTTTCATTGAATGGTACTATTATTAGCGCTATAGCAATTAGTTAAGATAGCAAATTTTTATTCACTTCAAGTGATAACAGGCTGTCAATTTATTCTGTCTCAACAGATAATAAATTTGCATTAACATATTTAAAATAAAGTGCTGAATAATATGGAGTAATCACAAATATATACCTCATTTAAGATGATAAAATAGCAATTATTCTCGGAGATAGAATAGAATAGAAATACTCGCACATATAAATGCACTCAGAATACGACTTAAAATTAATTTTATTTTTAATGTTTATATATATATTTAATTATGTATTTATAAGGTGTACAATCATTTTCGTTCTCATAATTAATAATGAAAAGACTAAAGATAAATTTAAGATTTATTTTTTTTTTGTTTTTTTGATTATTTTGCATACACCCAGTTTCCTCACTTTTTAAAGAGCCTGAAAATTTGATAAAAATAAAATGTAAAATCATGAAGATCTTCTCTTCTTATTTTGCCAAGTCCAAAAATATCATGGGATTTGTAAGAATTACAGATAATTTACAATGGATTTATGTTGCAGACTTAGATAAGGGTGTCTATGTTCTTAAATTAACAATTGAGCTAGATTATAGCTAGTAAGTAAGTAAAGTAAGTATTGTTTAAGCAGGTTGGGCTTATGCTCGCTATTGTAATTAAGTAGAAGTAAACAAAGAATTAACCTATATGATCATTTTAGAATCATGGAGAGGATTAAGGATAGCTCCTTTAGCAAATTTATATGCAGCAGATCCGAAAGAATATCCTATTACTCTTCCTTAAAATGATATTTGGTGGTATAATCTTCTCCAATAACCAGTTTTCTATGGATCTTACTTATCTAAGGACTCTAAATATTTAATTACAGCTATCCGCTCTCAAGGAATTATGATCTTCGATATTAGTGAACCTTTAAATCCTGCTCTATATTACTAGGTAAAAATATCTGGTTGTCCTACTATTATTGAAATGGTGAGTACATAAGATCTTTTATTCTATACTGATGGTTTATCGTTGCTTGTATTTAAGAGAGTTAAACCAAATATGAATGATGAATTTCCTAACTTATTTAATGGTCACCAATCTAAACTTTTTAGTTATTCCACTTCTTTTGCTTAGTGGCGGTGCTATGTCTCAGAAGAGCAAACTTTCATAATAAATGCTTAGTGCGGAGATGTTGACTTCCTTTAAATGAAAAACGGGGATCCCTATAATATATCTCTATTCAAGCGAATTAATGCATAATAGAATACTAGAACTTGAACTATGGCTTTTTCATAAAATAATCGCTACATGTATAGGCCAGTTAGAGAAAATAACTATTTTATGTACATTTATGATATTTATGATATATCTAACTATACAGACTTAGAATTCCCAATAGTAGGGAATATTACTGATGCTAACCCTCCAAGAGGAGAAGATTTAGTTTTCTCTAAAGATGAAACTCTTTTAGTTGTTAACTATGGGTAAGGAATAGTAATTTATGATTCATAGGACAAGTTTAACTTAAGAGCTTTAAGCTATTGGTTTATCCCTATTAATTTGAATGGATGGCCTTCATCAATAGTATTATCAGATGATAACAAGTATTGTATCGTTGCATCAAGAACGATTGGAACATTTTTTTTACTTGACCTATCAGATATTATGAAGCCAAGATTGGTAAATCAAACTTACACAAATGGGGCTGAGTTACTATTAAAATCTAGCGTATACACTAATATAGCATATGTCTGCGATGGTACTTCAGGTTTCGCTATTTTGGATTTTTAAGCTCTCCCATAATTCAAATTTATCAGCAGAATACCTGTTGATGGATGGGCCAATCACATGACATTAATCTCTAATGAAAAGTATGCTATTGTTTCTTCTATGGATTATAATGGTATGATAAGCGTTATAGATCTCAGCAATTTATATAATCCTGTTATTATAAGTAAATACATTGAAAATAATGAATAATCAATTGCTAATTGCGTCCTTAAAAGCTTAGAATATGGTTTTTCAACTAGCAACAAAGGTCTTAGAATTTTTCCTCTCAGAAGCTAAATTGCTATACACTCTTCATTTTACTTACTGACAGAAGATTCTTCCGTTAAAGCTATTTCAAATAATCTCTTAATCGGTTAAAGTGTATTAATCTAGCTTCTCCTTTTATATGCGACAGACGGAATGTAGATCTTGGATGTCTTTTATTACAAAAATTTTTAAAAAAGCAATCTTCCAAGTTGGATAGAATTTATAAAAGTTGATAATTCTATAAAAATGCTAGTCGATAAATAAGCATCTTCATCATCTTCTACTTCTACTTAAAATATTCTGATTATTTAAACTGCAGTGCCTTTTTAAAGTAATAGCTTTGTCTATGATGAAGTCCCTACAAATCTTACAGATAGTTAGTTAATATTTAATCTCCTGAAAGAAAAGGGTATTATTATGAATAATAATTTATTATCAGTAACATTTGATCCTAATAGCATTTCTATTAGTTTATCATAACTAGATTTACCATAAACAAATCGCTTGGTAGAACTAGTAATTCTCACCCTTTAAAGAGGTATTTACTATAATCCTATATCCTTCTCTGTCTCAAGCTCTTTACTTTTTTAACCTGATAATTTAGAAATGATAAATTCACTATCTTAAGAAGTTAGAGTGCAGATGACGATTGAATTAAACTCAGGAGGGACTTTTGTAGAAAAATAATATTCAGGAGTTATTACATCCATTTCTGAAGACGGTTAATCTATTCTAATTTATGGAACTCTTGATGCAGTGAATAAAGTACTGAAATAAAAGATATTTTATTTCTTAAGCCCTTTAATTACAGATGAAGTTAAATAAGCCTTAAAAGTAAATTTAGTAATTGTTGATGGTCTAAATGAAAATTTAATCATTAACTAAAACTTTATTGAAGCCACTAAATACTACCTACGTTAGAAATCTTACATACAACAAACATCCTCCCTTTAAAGTCAAATTAATGAGTAATTCAGTGGTTCAGAGATGACTGTAATAGAGTAAAATACAATTAATATTCAATTTAATACATTTTAAGATTCAGATAATTTTCCTATATCGTACGAAGTCAAGTTGATGTCTAATGAATAAGGAGTAGGTTTTATAGTATTCCCAATCGACTATTGGTTAAAATTCTAGCCTACTTCTCTGCAGTTTAGTGGAATAGCTCCTATATTTCTTTTAAATACAAAAATTACTATAAAAATGATAGCTACTGATGGATATTCTATTACTTCAGATATATTTACTATCAAGCTCACTAAACTACCATTTACATACGTGCTTAGCTTATTGCTTTAGATCTTAACTCCCTTAGTTAGTATTGTATAAATTTATAAATACAGATATTTAATAATCAATCTATTCTGTCATAAGAAGATAATTAGTTCAAAAGAGTGTGTTCATCCTAACCAACTATATATTAAATTTATCCTTCTATTAGGTAAGAATGTATTGTATGCCAATTAAATTGTTTAACTATACATAAAAGAAATTTAGAAAAAGAGAAAAAGTTCAATAAGGTTTTCTAATCTAAGTCTAAAATAAAGTGAAATCGCTCAAGGCGAAACTCAAAAATAAATTCAGCGTTCTCAAAATACTTTAAATATTAATAATAAAACTGAAAATAGGTTGTAATATGAACAAAATAGTTAATTTAAAGAAGCTTTTCCAGTTTTACAAAACAAATTGCCTGAAATATATGAAACTTATTGCACTAAAGATGGAAGAATAGACATGAACAGAGTTTTTAAAAATATTTAAAATAATAAAATACTTGATTAGTATATGGGTTCTAAGAATCTTTTTAGGAGTGGATGCTTGTAAAAAAACGAAATATTTATATTTGAAGGAGTAAGAGTTTTTCTTTCTAGGTTTGTTCTTGAAAAAGATGAAAAATTAAAAAACTTTTACTTGTTTTTAAAAAAATTATCTTTAAAATCTCAAAAATATTCGAACAATGATTGGTACAAAGACTATGTTGGAATATGCTTAAATCAAGGAGGAGATTCAAAATATATTGAAAATATAACTTTGGATCAAGTAATAAAAACTTATTAAGTAAAGTAGGATAAAATTATTTAAATTTTTGGTATATACTAAAAATCTGAGAATTTAGAAAATAAATTGGAAAAACTATAAACTCACTAATTAAATATTTTGAAACAAGTTTTGATAGGTGATTCTCTTGGAATAGTGAATCAAGAAATTGGATTTTTTAAAAAATGTTTTGGAGAATCCTTATGGTTAAGAAAATAAAAAATAAAGAGAATATAAGCCTATTTATAAGATACAGAGAGCTGCTTATTTAAAATAAAGAATTTATTTAATTGCGGATTTACACCTTATGGCATTCAAAAAAATTTGAATTTACCTAATTGGCTATTTTTTGAGCTTAAAAGAGGCTATATTATATTTAAAGGAACTCCTACCGAACAAGATATAGAAAAATTTTAAGTTCGAATCTCTGACACGTCCCACTACACAGTAAAGAAATTTGACATAGAAGTTACATAGATGTAAGAAGTTTAAGAAAATCGGTAAAAAGAGCATTCTATGAATATAACTAAATAATACCCATATTAATAAATGTAAACAGATTCTAATTTAATAAATAATAATAAATCTTTTAACTTGCTATAACAATAATAATATCTTATATAAAACGCCAAAATCAATATGCCATAAAATAATTGTGTTGATGATTTGAGCTTTAATCAATAACATCAAAAAGAATTAGCGAGAGAAGAATAATTTTAAATTAAGAAATAATAACAATATGAAGAGGAAGAGAAAGACGATGTAATGGAATATACTAATTATGGTTAGTCTCCATCATCTTAGAACCAAAATTATTTATTTTAGAGTAAGCCACATGATTTAAAATTTTTAGATTGGAGTAATATAAATATGTGAATAAGCAATTTTTTCAACCAAAAATTTGATGTTCTATTGTGTAAACTAAATAAAATTACAAAAAATTATTTTATTAAAAATTTTTTTAAATAAAATAAATATTTGAATTTATAATTAAATGGATTTAAATTTATTATTAATTTTTTTAAAAATTTAATTGTAGTAATCACTCGTTAATTCAGTTTTAAAAATAAAAATTATGTATTTTATAAAGTGAATATATCTTATTAATAAAAACTGTCAATTTTATCTAATCAAATATAAAAAACAATTTATTTAATTTTATTATTGATTTTTTTTTTAAGTTTTGTTTAATTTGTTTATAAAAATATATCACACATTTAAAATTTTAGCATTTTTAAATAATAAAATAATTAAGATAAATGAAGTGCTTTTTTTTGTTGTTGAAGATTTATGTGATAAAAAAACATATTCTTAAATAATTTTACAAAATAAATTTTAATAAATATTTTAATATAAATTAATTTTATCAATAAATAATAATTATGGTTTTTATTATTTTAGAAATTTTATTATTTCTATTTAAACATTAAGTATAATTAATTAGAGAGTTAAATATAATGTTATATATTGGTTTGTTATCATAAAAAGCTTATTTATATTATTTTTTTTAAATGAAAAATTAATATGAAGTCTTATAAATATCTAAACTTTTAGTTATATCCTTTGTTTAGTTTGCTTGTATGTTTAGTAATATCAGTAAAATTTTAAAGAATATTTATTAATAATTTCTATATTTCTATCTATCTAGATTTACTAGAATCAAATTTTACCAATGTCTCTAGATCTAAAATGTAATCCATCGTGATCTAAATTAAGATCATTTGATCTACTTCTAGTTTGCTCTATTATTAGTTAAGCTTCTGAAACTTAAAATGAAGAAGGGAATTTGATCCTATTGAGAACTTAATCACCGTTTAGATATGCATAATCAGAAATATTTATTAATACTTCTTTTTGTTTATTTATATTAAATTTATTTAACTAGCTTTTATAGAAGTCGCATTAATTATATTAGTTAGTTTCATTTTTGTTTACGCATATTTATAAAACTTTTTTTTATTTTTTGTGATTTTTTGATTAAATATTTTCTAAATAATTAGTTTATAATTCTTAATCTTAAATCAAATATTCTGCTTGAATGTTTTATTAAGTTTATTTTGAATTTATATTGTAATTTAGGTGGTTTTAGTTAGCAGATATTGAATATTTTTCATAATAGCTTAAAAAAAAATATAAAATGTAAAATATTAAATTTTAGTTATTATTTTATAATAGCTATGGTTATTATTCCTCATTGTTTAATTAAATTTATAAATTATTTTTATAATCAAATTCTTTATTTGAGTATTAATTGAATATCAATTACATTTAGTTTTATGATTAGAATATAATTGAAGAAGGCTCCATTTACTATCGATTTTATTCAGTCATTGTTTTATTGATCTTTTTTAAATTTTGTTTTAATATATTGAATTATAATTTTTTAATTGCTGATTCTTTTTTAAATTTAATGAAAAACATAGAATCTTAATTACTATATTTAGATTTTTTATTTATTTAGTCTAATTATAGGTTTTTATTAACTCTCGTGCTTGAATAGTAAAAGAATGCTTTGATACGTGAAAGTAAATTTTAACAACTAACTAATTAATTAATATCTTTATTATTTTAATATCACTAAATAACATCAATACTCAATTCTAGTTACTATATTTAGTTATTATGTATATTATTTAAGAAATCCTCTATCTTACTTAGTTTTTTTCTATTTGATAATTTATTATTATTAAAACTATAAAAAAAATTAATTAATTTTATATTTCCTAAAACAGTTCTAGCACTATTTTTAACTTATTTATTTAATATTGATATAAATAATAATATTATTTATTAAAATTCATTAATTTTATTAATGTTGATATAAACAATAATTTAAATTTATTCTATTTAATAAATTTCAAATATTTATCGTTTCGCTTCTTTAATTTCTATTAAATTGTGGCCCATAAATATTAAATAAATTTTTTCTTTTGTGCTTACAAAAATCTTAAAATTAAATATGTTTAGAAAATATTTCTAAAATTATTTTAAGTCTCTTTGATGAAAGTAAAAGCTTATAAAATTAAACTTGAGCTGAAAATGCTGTTTTATTATAAATTCCAATATAATTTATTTTTCCCTTTTGTATTGAGAATAACCTTTAATTAATCTTAAAGGGTATTCAGCTTTATTCTACTCTTTAATTAACATTTTTAATTCCTATTCTTTTATAAAAGAAAATTCTATTATTACTCTACCATCTCAAATGCATTCTTTTCCTATCCTTTTTATTCATTTTATCAAAATACTTCTTTTATTTGATGATTAACATTTTCATTATTCATAAATTATTAGAAACTAATAATTGAATAATTATGATGGTTAATATAAGAAAGATATTAAAGGTAATCAATCATCTATTAATTTACTCATTTTTAAATTTTTTATTTTTTTAATGCCTTTTTTAATTATATTAATATACTCCAAATATAGTTGTAAATTACTATATCTACTATACTAAATCTATTTTCACAATCCAATATAAAATTAAACTTAGATAGTTTAAAAAGGCTTAAATAAAAGTTATTTTTTACAAATTTAATAAGATTGTATTAATAAATGAGAAATTAAAATATATTTAAAATACAAAAAACATTTTACAAAATAGATATGAAATTATAATTTATTGATTTTATTCATAATATAATTAAAATCATATTTTTATATTAAATGCTACTATTCTTTTAGTCTTATAAATGTTCTAAATTATTTACTTGATGAACTATCTTTTGATGCCATTTAATCTATTTTAAAATTAAATAGTTCTTCATTAATATATTTATTTAGCAAACAAAATATTTACTTAAAGAAAATAGTTGCAAAATTTAAATTTTAGCACCTGCTAACTCCGTTTACTATATTTTACGCTAGAAGATTTCCAACTCTATTTTATCTTTTATTGAAATATATTTTTTTTAAAAATTAAAAACTCATACTTGCATATATCATTAAAATATAATAATTTTATTATTTAAATTTAAGTATTTAATTTCTAATATAAATTAAAGTTGATCTTATTATTGAACTAATATTTTTCATGATAAATAGATAAGGAATTTTGCTTTTTCTTCACTAGAATATAAAATTGATAGCTAAAAATATGCTTGAATTTTATAAAAATATATTTAGCTGCAATTTAAAAAATTATTTATTTAGTTTGTTTGTTTGGTTGTTCTCATAGTGGATTGAAATTAAGCAGCATTAATTGTTTAATATTAATATTTACTTTATACTAATTGTCAATTGCTTAAGATTAATACAAGAATTCAAATCAAGCTATAATTAGTTATTATTTTAAGCCCCAATATGGTTATCGCTTTTTATTAATATTAAAATATCATAAATTACAAATTTATATGTTTGTTTTAAGTGAAAAAAATGTATATTTTATTGTAAGCAATTATTTTCAGATTAATTAATTACCCAAGATTTATTTCTAGGTTCTCAATTTTCTAACATTTTCCAATTCCGTTGCAAAGCTCAAAGAAACCCTCTTCTTTTATTTGATTAAATCTTTTAATTTAAAAATTTACAAATAAAATGTCTAACTAAAAATTAACTAAAATAACTTAAAATAAGCTAAAAAATTTGATTAAGTAATGAAATATTTAAAATCAAAATTACTTCAAGTAAAGAGTTAAGCTAATCAAATTTTAACATTTTCCTACTCCTATACCTAAATTAGATTCATTTTCATTTCTAATTGTGTTTCGACTTTATCATATTCAAACAAGAAAATGATATTAAATATATAAATGTGAGTAAAAACATGTAACTTAAAGTTTAATTTTACTTTAAGTCTAAAATTAAATTTTCAAGTTTTTAGCAGTATCCTATTGATGAAAATAGGCATGAAGCTCCTCTATCAGAAACATCATTTTCACTTAATTATTTTAATAAAGTCTTTAAAATTTTTAGCAATCAATCAAATGAAATACCTTAAATTGATAATAACAGAATTCAAGCTTAGGCATTAAGCTATTCCTTAACCTAAATCTATTGTACCTTCATCTCCAATTTTATTTTTGCTAAGTATTAATTTTAAATTTGCTCAGATTTTTATCTCCATATAATAATATTTATTTAATTTTACAATAAGTTCAGTTCTAAATTGTATAAATTTTAGCACTAAGCTAATCCTTTTCCTATAAAATAAGCACCTAGCTACTTTATTCTATTGACTCTTTTAATATATACAAGTTTATATGCATAATAATGTAATAAAATAGCTATTTATAAATTAAAACCTCTTAAAATAATATCAAAAAGATTTTAAGTTTGCTTTAAATTAGAATAACATACCTTAAATCGATGTTAAGAAAAATTAAGTTTGTTAAATTTTCTAAAGCCAACCCTATACCTGAGGATTCTTCTTCCTCAATTTTATTCTATCTTTTAAGAAATAAATTAAAATTTTAATATGATATTTAAATAAAATTGAACTTACTTCAAATCAAGAACTAAATATTAAAGATTTACAAAATCTTTTATATCTAATAATCCACTTCCTTCAATTTTGTTATTTCTATAATTTTAAAAAATTTTCTTTAAATTATTTTTTTATCAAATTTTTTCAAATTATTTTTGAAAAACTTTTTGATTATATAAAATAAATAAAAGTTGGTATTAATTTTGGAGAAACTATAAAAATTAAATAGTTTTAATTATTTACGATAAGTACAATGTTAGATTTTTAAGGTTTTTGCAATTATGCAATTCTGATAGACTAGAAACAAAATCATCATTAATATTACCTTTACTTTAATTATATTAAATTTATTGTTGATTTAGAGTAATTAAAAGTTTTACCTTATTTCTAACTTTAAACTGCTTAAATTAATACAGTTTGATAAACCTTTACTAAATTCAGAAACATATTTACCAATTATTTAGTTTTCACTAGAATATATTAAAATGAAATAATTTAGATAAAAAATTAATTTATGCTTTATTACTGTAAGAATAAAATTAATTTTTTTAAATTAGTGCATTTGCCTAATTCAGTTCCCAATAAGCACAAACCATAATGACCGATTTGATTTTATCTTTTAATTTAAAACATATTGTATAAAACTAATATTATCAATGAATATTTTACCTCAAGTCAATCATAAGATCTTCTAATTATTTGCATTAGCCAATACCAATACCAATCTAATGAATACCATCTTCCCCAATATTATTATTCCTGTTTTTGTTTTATAAAATTAAAAACAAAATTACAATCAAATTTAATTATAATAGTGAAAATAAATAATAGAGTAAAGTTTATTTTTTCAAAGATAAGCAGCAGGATATAAATAAAATAAAAATCTGTTGAAATGATTCTACTTTAAATTAAGTTTTAAAGATTTTATGTTTGAACACTTTTAGAGAGCTTCTGAGAGTTCATATGTTGCTTTATCCCCAATTTTGTTAAAACTTTTTTAATAATAGAAAATAAATAGATAAAATTTACTTATGAAAGAATAAATAAATTACTTTAAGTTTAACTATAGGTTTTAGTGATCCGATAATTCAGAAGAAATAAACTTTTTAGTATTAAATTTGTAAAATGATTTGGATAAACAATTTTAAATAAATATTACCTTATTTAAACTTGTAATTATCATTTTATGTTATAAAACTTTTTGCTTTTCTAATCTTGGAAATGGAAATGTACTTTTTCTAATTAATTAATATAAAAAATTCAAAATTTTGTTTATTTAAAAAGCAGATTTTTATTAATAAATATTCAAGAGTAAACTTAAAATAATATTGATTTATATTCAATCACTTTATAGAAATTAAATAACTCTTCATTGACAAATAAAATTAAAAAAATTAATTTTTAGAGTTTCACAATTATTTATCTCTATAATTACCCTAATTTTAAATATTGAACTTTTAAATTTTTGAGGAAAGTTTTTTTGTTTTGATTGCTTAATTTGTTGATAGATTAATTCAGTTTATGTTATTATTTTTAATTTATAAAATATATTCAAAGTGAAACTACATTTTTAAATGAATATTTTTGTAAAATTAAGTAAGAATAAGAACATTTACTAAAAACAATTAAAATGCCATTTGTAAGAATAAATAATGAAAATATAAATGAAAAGTAAAATAAAATTTAATTAAGGTTTTGAATGAGCAAATAAGATAATTAATTAATGAATGAGCAGTGGATGTGTCAATTTATTTTATGTTGTGTTAATTTTGATGACAATTATTGTTAGATTTACTGATATAAAAAATAAATTACTGTTGATTGTTGAATTTAATTGAAGATAATAGTATTTTAATATAAAAATTAATAAAATATTAAGATTATAGTTGTTATTAATTCTAATCAATTTAGTATATATTAGATATAGTATTTATTTATTTATTAGCTTGTTCTTCGATAATCGGAATCTCTTAAAGCAGGTTACTTGGATGTGCTTTTTTCTGTATTTGATACATCAATAACCTTTATTATGAGAGGTTTAAATTAACTTTTAGGAATCTAAAGAGAATTTCTATTTATATATTTTTTTGTTTATTATTTTAATTAAAATTGTAAAAGTCTGTTGCATTTGTTATGCTGAGTGACAAGAGAAACATAATCTATGCATTTGTTGGACTTTTTTAGGCTTTGATTTATATAATTAATTTAGTTACTAAGATAAATGATTATCGGTAGAGTTTAATTGATGATTCGTTTTTTGTTATTAAGTTGATGCATTTTTGAGATTTAATAAACCTACAGCAAGATTATCTTGTTTCTTGACTACTTGAAGTGGGTTTAATCAATCTAATTATTGATTGTAATTTGGTAAATATTTCATATTGCTCATCATTTACGGATGCTTTGCTTTGATGGTATATTTGTTTCTTTTTAAAACTAACTAAAATTTGATTGATTGATTGATTGAAGTCTTCTTTATATTTTAATTTAATATATTATTTATTAAATTATTAAAATAGATTATTTATTTATTTATTTACTTGTTTATTATTTATTTTATTTTTGAAATTATAAGTTAAATTAATTTAATTAGTTACACCCATTTATTTTTAAGGGTTTAAGATATTATTTTTCTCATAGTCTTTAGCTGAATCAGTCGTCGTTTTATTCTTCTTTTGGGTTGTTTTCAGAGTTGATGTAATCTGTGAAGTTATCATCATCTTCTTGCTCCATAGGTTCTTCGTTGTTACACATATTGTTGTTATTATCAACTTCTTCTAAATTCATGCAATGTTCAGTGGCTTTTTCTTCGTAGTTAGAGTTTTCAATTTTGAATTGTTGGCTTTGGCTATAGTTTTAAATGGTAAATTAATTTGATTTGATGACATCTTTTTGCTATTGCAAAGTTTAAGGGATGCTAATAATATTCTATGAGTAGCTAGTTGGTTCAATTTTCACTTAGTTGAAGAGTGATTGAGGTTGTTGTTATTGAGGAGTCGAAATTGCATGCTTTAAGGGGATTGAAGTCTAGCGAGACAAGTCTAAGTTGTTTTCAGAGTATTTGCGAGCGTTGGAAGGATGTCCGACAGACATTGATAACTCTTGCTTGATTATATCTGAGGGGATAGAGGGCTTAAGTTGAGGAGTATTGAAATTGCTCTTAGAGCTGGTATTATTATCAGTGTCTAGGGATTCATCATCTCCTGCGTTGACGTCTTTTTCTGACATCTTTTTGACGTACTTTCTAAGTGTACCCATCTTCTCAGAAGAATTTGTGTCAAAATCAAAACCATATTTTTGAGCCTTACGCAATTAGGCATAATAATCATCTAAAGTTTTTCTTGAGAGACCAACAATTTAAGCTGCTACGTCTAAATTCACTTTTTCATTTTCCCCACGAGGATTAATGAAGCCATGTTCATAGAGATTACGCCACTCATCAACTTTTCCTTTGACATAGCTGATTTATCTCTCTTTAACTCTCTTCTCGCGTGGAATGTGTTTGTGATTTTCTAGAAGATTATTAAAAAAAATTTAAAATCTGCTGAATGATAAAAGAATTAATTTTTTGAAAAAGACTGATGATTATTGATTGTAGATGAAAAAAATCAAAAAATTTTAACAAAGTCTATCAGTTTTTATTTATTTATTTTTTTTTTAGAAAATAATTGCTTCAAATAAGAATTTTCATTAAAAGAAACTAAGTGGAAAAAAGCATTAACTCCTTGTAAATTATTGATCTAAAAGTCGATCAAAAATTAACTTTATAAAATTTTTTTCTTCTTTTTGCAAATTTTTGGTAAATAAATAATTAGTTTGAGAAATCTTTCCCTCTAATAAATGTGAATGTTTAACAATAATAGTTATAGCAAATAAATTTATATCTATTTGAATTAAAAGTATTCAAAAATCTATTTAGACTTTCAAGTAAACAATTAAAGCTAATTTAACTGCGGTAAAACTTAAAATGTTAATATTTGATCTGAATTGCTGGCTTTTGTAAACAAAAAAGGTCAATAAAAGCCAGAATATTGTATAAAATTCTCAAAAAAAAGTGAATTTTTTAATTAATATTATAAAGAGGATATATGATCAATTCTGAAAAATACAGCAAATTCTTTTCAAATTCATTAAAATCGATCAAAAATTTTTCTATTATTTCAGCTAATGTTTTTATTAGAATATTGATCAATTTGCTGTTTTACGCATTAACAAATAATTATAAGTTAAGCTTTTGATCAAACATCTTAAGGCAGTTAGCTAAATATGCTTAAATAAGGCTCACCTTTTAACCTATTTTTTTATTGCTGGTTTAAAAACTAATATTTCATGTATTTAATCTTTAAATTGAATTTGTACATTTCATTATATCAAGCTTTTACTTTATATTATGTTATTATCAATTTAAACCTTTGTTTAATCTCAATATTATTGTATTTTTAAGTAGATGTCATTAAAATAAATGTAAAAGCTATAGAATTTGTTTAAGTTAAGTAAGATATGTAAAGATAAATATTAAAAAAATTTTATGTTTTTTTTAACTCTTTTAAGCAAAATTCTACCAAAAATAACTTCTCTCATTTAATGTCTATCTTTTATTGCTTGATTAAAAAGGATTATTCATTGCTTTACATTATTTCGCCAATATAAATAAATTATCCTTGCTTTAGATTTATTTTAGATGTAAAATGAAGATATATTTAGCAATTAAAATAGAAAAATATTTGTATTTTCTCAAAAATAATATGAAATCTCAATTATAATGTGTAAAAATTATGCAATAACCTATATTATTTATAAATATATACAATATTTGCATTATCTTTATTGTGTCTATTACTATTTAATATTGGATTACAGTCTCTATTTATTGCTATAAATGGGATTTAATTATTTATATCTCTGAAAAGTATATAGCTTCTTTACACTTTATTTTTAAATAAATCTAAAGTTGTATAAAATGATATTAGTAAAATTATGCTTAGATTTATAATTTGCAGCAAGAAAATGAATAAAGTTACAAGTGAGTGAGTGTGTGAGTGGATTTTAAATAATAGTTGAGAAAAATAATTAATTTGCAACTATTGAAGAGTAAAGTAAAATTTTCTTGGTTTGTGGTTTTTAACTAATAGAAAAGCTGATCGATCTATAAAGATAAATTGAAGTTGCGTTTGTTCAACTTTTAAAAATTTTTCTTATTTACCTTTTTATGCCTAAAATTAGTTATTTATTTGTATTGAAATGTTAAGCGAGTCTTAAATATTTTATTCTTTGCAGGCAGAAATTGATAGAAAAATAAGGGATGGTGGTTTATAGTACATAAATAATTTTTATATTAAAAATGAACTGCTTTTGTTGTATTTTCTGCTTTGTTTGCTACTTGCTACTTTTCTTCTAAATCCCATTCAATTTTGAGTTTTATTTTTAATCTATTTATTTTCTTTTCCCACCCTTAAAATTTTGGTGAAAAACAGAACTCGCATTAATAATAGGCTTTTGAGTTTGTTTTGACGTAATATGCGAATTTAAGAATATTTCAATATAATCCAATTTTGTTCATCCAAAGCCTATATATTATTTTAAATTTATTGAAAGAAAAAGAGTTTTTTATTGATGAAATATCTCACTAAATTTTTTAAATTTGCTATAATAGTCTATTTTTGACTTAAATCTTTCATTTTCCAATTGTCTGTCGCAAGTAGCAAACAATTTTTTTTAGTAATTTGTTTAAATATTATAATTTTTGTAAGCTTATTCTAATTTTGCTTCAAATTTAGCAGTATTTAGGTATTGCCAATAGGCTTAATAGCATGTACGCAGAAGATTTGAGTGATATTTTTAGATTTATTATTGCTTTATTCGTAAATATTGGCTACATTCTAAAATTGTGAATGCCATATGATTGGAATAGAGATTTGCAAAACGGATTAAAGAAAAATCGATCATTTAAAATTATAAAATTTAGATGGGATTCAAGAGTATTTATTTATTTATTTTTAGGATATTGCTGCGAACAGAAAGCAAGGAATTAAGCTTAAAAAGATAGATAGATAAATAGAAATAAAGAAAGAAAGAAGCAGAGAGGAAATAAGATTTGAAGAAAATATCAAATAAAAATTTAGAATTTGTATTTAGATTTTTGAAGGTGAGTTAATATTTATTATAAAAGTTAGATATCAATTTTACTTGATTTGTTAATTTATTTGCTAATTTATCATTCATTCATTCATTAATTGATTAATTGATTGCATTTATTTTTTGTTTGTTTGTTTATAAAAAGAGAGTTAGTTAATTTGCAAACAATAAGGCAGAGAAATTAAAAAAATGCCCTTAAAATTAATATTTGCAACTTTATGTATGTGGAAGTAAGTATGACTAAACTTGATAGATTTTATATGTAATTCTTAAAAATAATATGAAAATTACTTGTTTATTATTCATTTTACTGAGGAGTGGAGCACATATCTTTTTATGACAATTAATCAGAATCTTTATGTTTTGTCTTACCATTCGATTATTTATTTGAACAAGTAGAGTTATTGACAACATTATTCTAAATTCCATTCAATTCCCCGCTAGCTTGCATATTGTCAGAAGATTCATGAATATATTCTTTCTTTAAGTTCAGCTGGATAGATTTACTAGTGTACCCATTACCTGTACCTATATTTATAGTAGAAGCAAAGGAACTTCCTTAATCTTCCATTTTTAAATTTTTCATCACATTTTCATCATGATCTATTATTGGTGATGAGGAATTAGCTTCTTACTTTAATTAATCGATAAGTCTTCTTGGATTGTGTAAATTTTCAGAATTAACCATCTTCTCATTTTTAGCTACTGTATTATGGACGCTGCTATTTGTAAAAGCATTATTTGTTAGGCTGCTTTTGCTATTGCTAGACTCAGATACCATTGATTATCTTTTAGGTCTAATACTAGAGTTACTTGTTGATGCTGTAGAATTGTTTGAACCTGCATCTGAGTTTGTACGCTGGTAGCTTTAGTTACTTAGAGTTTTGCTACTTGATTTGGCATTGTTGAAGGTACCATGAAAGTTATTTACTTAGAATGAAGAAGAAGTACTTTGCTATTATATGTTGTACCAGTTATTTGTATTCTATATAGAAGATGATTATTACAAGGAGTTATTAAATAAGTTGTTTTATTGACTATTTTAATACAAAGGATTTTCAATATGATAATTGCAAGACATATTTTCGTCAATCATCGATTAGTAGTTAGCATGGGGAGGCACAGCATGCTCCTAGTTAGGAAGATACCTCAAATAAATTGGCTAGGCTTGCTTGAAATTGTAGCAAGGAATGGAGCGAATGCGAGTTATGTCAATGTAGTGATTTTCTACTGGATCCCAAATGTTGATATATTAAGCCTGCTTGAGAGGAATACCATATTCCAAGTAAATATTGTCAAGCCAATCAAGGATTTGAATGCAATCATCGTTGATAGGAATCTTCATCTGTTCAAGCATTTAAGATTGATTGCTGCTATCATGGTAGACTTAAACGTCCTTACTCAGAAATCCCTAGTAAACGCTCTATCTGCTGCGAAAATTGATGTTGATATCAGACTAGTGAGACTGCAAATGGTTGTTGTATTGATTATGACTGTCTAACATTTCTGCTTAATTTTGAACAATTTATTTTCAACTAATAAGATATTGGTTGACGCTACAACAGATATTCTAAAAGAAAATTTATTGACAGGTAAACTAGTAAGTTAGTAGATGGACTGATTATTAGTGTTTTTTTGTTTAGTTTTTTTGTGCCTATACTTGCTTGCTTGCTTGTTAGCGAATATCTGTTATTATCCAATTAGATATAATTTGTTTTTTTGTTTATTTAATTATTTCTTAATTATATTATTTATAAATTAATTAATTAATTCACGAAATGAATTACTTATCAAAAACTATTTAAGTATGTAAGATTTAATACAATACTAATCCTTTCAAGACTCTTTCTTTCTCTTTCCTTTTTATCTTTTTGATTGTTTATTAATCTATTTATTTCTTTGTCTTTGTATTTATGTATGTATGTCTATTATGCAGTCAATATTTTAGGTATTTCTAATTGTATTGATTTTAGTGTGTTTTTAATAACTAAAGACTTTTCCTTCTTCTTTCTCTTATTAATGATAAATTAATTGTCTTTTTATAATGAAATATGTGTTAGCCAGATTTTTATTTATTTATATATTTATTATTTTTTTTTGCGATTGATTTATTTTATTTTTGAGTATCTATCATAAAACAAATAAATAAATAAGAAGCTATTAGTAATTTACTTTATTAATTGAATGAACTTTAAGCAACAACAATCAATAAAATCTCTTTTTAAAAATTAAAAAGCAATTTCGATTGATATTTTTATGATCAAAACTTAATGTTGATGAATTTGCTTCTTTTTTTCTTGTTTCTTTTTTTTTTTTTGATAAGCTTGATTGATTTTGCCCCTTTTTTTGATTAATAATATTTATAAATAAATATTACATTAATCGTCCTTTCTTTTTTTATAACACACTATTTATTATACAAAATCTAACAAAAATTCTAAGTTAAAAAAGTAACACTTTTATTTGTACAGCTAACAACCCATGCTACAAATTCAATTAGATTTCATTAGACGAGGATTTAGGTATTTAAAAGTTTGAATTCACAAGTATAAAATAAGATAATAATTTGAATTATTTATGATTATACTGTTTTTAAATTTTTTAACAGTTTTTAAACCATTTTTATTTAGTTAATTTGGAGGGATGTTCATGAATACTAGTAAAAGACGAGCTAAATGTTATTTTAATCAGCCAGTTTTATTTATTTTCTTTTAAATTTATCTATTTTTTTTAAGTGGCAATTTAAAACAAAGAAAATATATTAAGCTCAAAAAAGATACAAACAAAATGCTCGCACTAAATTAATTTATAAGCATCTCCAAATAAACTCAGTTTACTATAAATATAAATTTAATGAGCTTTGACAAAGTAAAATGAGGAGAGACGCCTCCAAAAGTTTTTAGAAGCTCTTGGTACTTTTGTGAAGTAAAACAAAATAAAATATGTAAAAGAGAAATGAAATCAACAAATTATTTGAACTATAAAAGATTTCAGAAGTTGAAAGAAAGCTGGAGTCAAAAAACTAATTTATAATTATTATTATTATAAATTTATTGACCGTCTGTCTGTCTGTCTTTCTTGATTACTTCTAAAAAAAATCAAATCTTCTTCCAAAATTAAAAAATTTTTGGGTTGAAAGAATAATAAATAAATTTTAGTGTGATTTTTATAATTAAAAATAAGATTTTCTTTAATTGCAAAAGTAGCAGTAAGTAGTCTTTCATTCATTGTTTTCCCCATTTCATTTTCTTTTTTAATTAAACTTCGTCTCAATTTTCACAAATTTTTTTTTCATCTACCAGTTTTCATACATTCTTTTACTACTTGAATTGCTTGTTCTATTTATTTCTTGGATGGATTCAAAATTTTAATATTTATTTTAACAATTTTTAACACTTTTTTGATTTAAAAAGTTAAGTCTTTTCTGATAGACCTCTCAATATTTATAGCTTAAATATTTTAAATAATGTTTTAAGTTACCGCTTAACGAATACAAGACAAGTACTCTATCTCATCATAGTATAGAGAAAATTTAATTATCAAAATACTTAAATTATTGCAAAAAAAAATCCCTTTTTATTAATTTTCAAAAAAACATTCAAAAAGCTAAACAAATTCAAAACACTATTTTTAATAAAAATTTTGCTATTCCACCAAACAAAGCAAAACACCTATTTTATTTGTTCACTTTTTTATTGAAACCTAAGCAAACAAAAATTAATCTATCAATTCATATCAAACATCAATGGGTTTGTATAAAAATGCTCCTTTTCATTTCTTCTTCCTTACAAATTTATAATAAATTGCTATATTTTAACCTTTCCTGTATTTATATTCTTTTCCCTATTTTTATTACGATTACCGCTAACTTAATAGCTTATTTTCTGCATTTTAATTTTAAAATCTATCTGTAATTATTTCTTAATATAAATGCTATTAATGTCTCTCCAAAATAAAGAAAATCAAAAATATGAAGTGTAAATTTTGAAATATTTATTTGCTTATTCATAGCAATCATACTGGAGATGAGCTTGCTATTCAAATTTCAAAAAAAAAACTATGCTTAAAGTAAAATTCTTAAAAAATTAATGTCTTTTTTGTCTCCAAGTTAAAAAGGAGATATTGAGTTATAATAAATAGTGTAGCTAATTGAATAAAAATAGAATAACAAAAATATAAAAATAATATTGATACATTAGAGTAGTTAATACTCACACACATATCAACTCCTCTTTTGTTTATAATTATATAGTTTTCTTTTTAATTTAAGCAAATTCGTATTTCCCCCAAGTTTTTATGCATATTTATGATCCAAAAAATAAACCATTATTATTATGCATATTTATTTTGGTAAGTATAAATTCTCAGCCAAGTAAATACCTTTGAATACTTAATTGACGAATACACTGAAAAAAAAAAATCAAGCTAAAATTTAAATAATCTTTCTTAGCTTTTTTTAAGATTAATTGATTGATTTTCTTAATATTTAATAAATAAATAACGAAACATACTCCACCACTCCACTGGCAAAAATTAATTATAATTATTGTTATAATTTCTTTTCATATTACACTTTTATTCTGAATTCAAAAGCCAAAAAAGACAATTAACTTTTTATGTCCTTTTAAAGCGTCATAAAAAACTTTTATGCCAAATTTCTTGTTAATTTTAAAATCAAATAACTTCTATAATCCAAAATAAAAACTATTATTTTTATAAAAAAGATATTATCAAACAATACAAATTTTGATGAAATATTTACTTTAAATGGATTGTAATCTGTCTTCAAAATATAAACTAAGTTAAATTTCTTTTTGCACTTAATAATTAATCCTTACTTTGCTTCTCTAAAAGCTATTTATTTGATCATTTTTTTGTTTGCAATAGTTTAAATAAATTTATTCTTAAAAGAAATCATATAATTAATTACATTTAATCTTACAATGAAAATAAATTTTTAAAATCTAAGTAATTTATTTTTTTAAATCTTTTTTTTATTCTATTAAGGATTGATACCATTTATAATGTTTAATTAAAATCATGTTTATAAGTGTAGTAGGTAGACCTCAATGAAAAAAAATTAAGTAAATATTGATGCAGATTTGAAAATCTACTCTAAATTTAATGAAAAAATTAAGTACATGAAATGATTAATATGATTTGAAAATCTATTATAATAAAATTTTCATAAAATGATTCTAAAATAAAAAAGTCTACTTAATATATGAGGATTTGCAGTATTTACAAATTAATAAATAAAATTGCTAATTTTTTTAGATAGATAGAAATTAATCTCAGACAAAATTTAAATACAAAGAATAAAACAAACTTAATGTTTAAATTCAAATTATAATTTATCATGAATAATCTTTTTTCACCAGTTTCTTTTAATTTTTCAAAGCTACTGATTCTCTATCTTTACTCTTTTATTTCTCTGGATACTAAAATTTTATTTACAAAAATTATATTTAAAAATAAAAATTTTTTTAGCTAATAATAAATTCATTATTTTATTTATTTACTTTTTAATTACATCTATTTGGTTCATCTTCTTACTCACTTTCTTAGCTATCTTTATCATTCACAGACTCTTCATCTAATTTATTTTCATTATATGAATAGATCATGTAATTGCTTTCATCACTGTTTTAATCTTCGTCATAGCTATTTTAATCATCATTATCCGATTCTTCATTTTCTGAAGAGCTATCACTTTCTTATTAGGGAAAATACTATTTATAATATTTTCCATACTATTATTTTCTATATTATTTCTATTTCTTTTTGTGATTCTTATATGTTTCATCTTTATTGGTATATGGCTACTAAAATGTATCAGTTGAATTATAAATAAATCCATTTTTAAACATATCAATAGATAGTTTAATCCCTTCGGTTTACATTTTAAATAAAATCTAAGGAAGTCTAAATGTATTTAGTTTTTTAGTACGAAAAAGCATAACATCTTCTTCATATATTTCTTGCTCACAATTACAAGATGCAAAATTAATTGAATTTTAGATATTGAGTTGGTTAGAAAATATTATCTTACCTGAAGATAAACCATTTCGCTCATTATTTGAATTTAATTCGGTTTTAATTTCATCAAGATTAATTTTAATCAAATTATCAAATATCAAAACAGAATTTTAATTCAAAATATTTTTTAAATTTTTAACTGCATTTATTTTTTCTATTTTAAATAATTACTTTGCCTATGTCATATCATCTTTATGTAGAAGACCACATCCACATTAGTAAAAAGTAAAATTCTCACAGAGGGTTTTGGGAACATAATCTTCTAAATCTTATAAAAATTGGGCTCTGCTTTCTGTTATCTCTTCATCTTCAAAATTTTATTGGTTAACAATATCAAAAATAAATTTATCTATTTCTTCTTCATTTTTTGAGTTGTCAATATTTTTGATAAGTTTTGTCTAAATTTTAATATTTTTAAGACTATACACTTTACCACTAAAGTAATCTAATACAATCAAAGTGCCAATTAGTTCTAATGGGACATATAGAGGAAACCAGTAATAATTACCATCCGTCACATATACTATATCTAGATTTCTTTTAAATAAGTAAACTTTTTTTAGTTCTTCTTTTTCATCTGGAATATTGTATCTCATTTTTACACATTTATTAAACAAATCTGCAGAATATTATTGCTAATCAATCTCTTTAGTCATATAACAAGCCATATTAAACATCTATGCTACTTTTTCATTATAATTCAATCCATCTATTTTGTAAATTAATTCTGTTCTAATGAATATCTTATTATTATCAAAATAAGCATTTCCTTCATGCTAAAGTTATTAGTCGAAAATTATGCAGCTGTTTTCTGATATTTTTTTGAATGAGATGTTTTCAATCGCTAAAGGAGGTTATTCGTTTTAAACTTCTTTGTTTCCTGTTAAGTAAATAAGCATAGTATATTTAGAGTACAATCCTTATGATTTGTCTGCAAATGGAGTGTCATAATGAGATTTGAATTTTTTATCTCCTGGTGCGAAATTGTTTAGTCTAAATACATTATTGACCTTCATAAATTATTTTTTGTCAAAAAAATTGCTCTTTTCAATCATTTCTGTTAAACAATAAGACAATTAATTTGAGTGAAAAATCAATCTTTTTCCTCCTCTCTGTGTAGCATTTAAAGGCTGTGTATAGTAATTCAACTTATCTAATAAAAGGAGATTTTCAGTTGATCCTTAGATAATAAATGTTTAAATTTTATCTGTAACTATCTTGCTACTTTTTAACTTGAATTCTACATTACCAAAAAGGTGATCTAAGTTCAAAATATTTTCAAAATTATGATAAGAAAGATCATCAATATTAACAAATATGACTGAATAATTGTTAATTTCGATAAAATTATTTTTATCAAGGAACTACTAAAGTAAAGAAGTCTCAATATATTTCATAACTTTCCTAGATTCTGTTGGGAATGGACTTACTTCAATATTTTATAATGTAAAGCTCTGAAGATCATCAGAAAATACTAAATCTTAATCCTCTAAATCCAAAGAATCGAATACTAAATTTCGAGTATAATTCAACGCTTTCTATATTTTTTATTACTCAGAAAGATTGTTAAACTCCTGTTATTTTAAACTACTCATTCCAAATAAGTTTTGATTATCTTACATTATTCTAATGATTTAATTTTTTATTAAACATTATTTAATTTATGCTTTTATGTTTATAGCAGTATTTATAGTTCAATTATATCAGTTTTTCTGATATTTTTTATTTTCTTTTTGAAAAGCGCCAAAAAAAAAATTTCATCCACTTAAATAATAAAAAATAATTTTAGTTTTTCTTTTAATATTTTTGAAAAGTATCAAAATATATTTATATACGTATTTACACTCAAATACGTGTAAGCAACCAAAATAGTATAATCAAATAAATAAATAACTACAATCTTAAGTTTGAAAATAAAATTTAAATTATTGATGAATGTAAAATATTTTTTTTGGATAAATTATTTGTAATAAATTAAATATGTCAATTAATAGAATTAAAATTTTCTATTTTGATTTAAAATAGCTAATTATATCGATAGTAAAATTAAAAAGCCTCTTTATAATAATTAAATAGCTTTTATTAATATTTTGGTTTTAGTTATTAATCAAATTTTAATTTTATTTTAATTAGAATAAACTTTATGCATTTATTTTGATGATTATAAAAAATTCTAAAAAAATAAAAAAATTATTTTTTATTTAAAAAAAATATTTTTAAAATTATCATAATATAGGTCTTAAATAGTAAATTCTTTTATATATTAAAATTTGCATATTATAAAAATTAAAAATTAATTTGCTAAATGCTTTAGATAGAAATTAGTCTGAGCCAAAATATAAATATAATTAATAAAACAAACTTAATATTTAAACTCAAGATATATTTTATCACGAATAATCTTTAAACACCAGTTTCTTTTAATTTTTCAAAACTTCTGATTATTTATCTTTACACTTTTATTTCTCTGGATACTAAAATTTTATTTACAAAAAATTATTTTTAAAAATAAAAAAGTAATTAAGTTAATAAAACATTTATTTATTATTAAATTTACTTACTTTTTAATTACATCTATTTGGTTCATCTTCTTACTCACTTTCTTAGCTCTCTTTATCATTCTCAGACTCATTTTCTAATTTATTTTCATTAAATGAGTAGATCATGTAATTGTTTTCATCTCCATCACTGTTTTAATCTTCATCATAGCTATATTAATTATTGTTATCAGATTCTTCATTTTCTGAAGAGCTATCACTTTCATATTATTTACCATATTCTTTTCTATATTTTTTTCTATAGTATTTCTCCATATTTTCCTGATTCTTGTAAGCTGCATCTTTATTGGTATATGGCTACTAAAAAGTCTCAGTTGAATAATAAATAAATCCATTTTTAAACATATCTATTGATAATTTAATCCCTTCGGTTTACATTTTAAATAAAATCTAAGGGAGTCTAAATGTATTTAGTTTTTTAGTATGAAAAAGCATAACATATTCTCTACTTATATCTTGCTCACAATTACAGGATGCAAAATTAATTGAATTTTAGATATTTAGTTGGTTAGAAAATATTATCTTACCTGAAGATAAACCATTTCGCTCGTTATTGGAATTTAATTCGATTTTAATTTCATCAAGATTAATTTTAATCAAATTATCAAGTATCAAAACAGAATTTTAATCCAATATATTTTTTAAATTTTTAACTGCATTTATTTTTTCTCTGTAAAATAATTACTTTGCCTATGTCAAGGTATCTTCATATATAAGACCACATTCACATTTATAAAAAGTAAAATTCTCACAGAGGGTTTTTGGAACATAATCTTCTAAATCTTATAAAAATTGGGCTCTGCTTTCTGTTATCTCTTCATCTTCAAAATTTTATTGGTTAACAATATCAAAAATAAATTTATCTATTTCTTCTTCATTTTTTGAGTTGTCAATATTTTTAATAAGTTTTGTCTAAATTTTAATATTTTTAAGACTATACACTTTTCCGCTAAAGTAATCTAATACAATCAAAGTGCCAATTAATTTTAACGGGACATATAGAGGAAACCAGTAATAATTACCGTCCGTCACATAGGTTATGTCTAGATTTCTTTTCAATAAGTAAACCTTTTTTAGTTCTTCTTTTTCATCTGGAATATTGTATCTCATTTTTACACATTTATTAAACAAATCTGCAGAATATTGTTGCTAATCAATCTCTTTAGTCATATAACAAGCCATATTAAACATCTATGCTACTTTTTCATTATAATTCAATCCATCCATTTTGTAAATTAATTCTGTTCTAATGAATATCTTATTATTGTCAAAATAAGCATTTCCTTCATGCTAAAGTTATTAGTCGAAAATTATGCAGCTGTTTTCTGATATTTTTTTGAATGAGATGTTTTCAAAGGCTAAAGGAGGTTATTTGTTTTAAGCTTCTTTGTTTCCTGTTAAGTAAATAAGCATAGTATATTTAGAGTACAATCCTAATGATTTGTCTGCAAATGGAGTGTCATAATGAGATTTGAATTTTTTATCTCCTGGTGCGAAATTGTTTAGTCTAAATACATTATTGACCTTCATAAATTATTTTTTGTCAAAAAAATTACTCCTATTAATCATTTCTGTTAAACAATAAGACAATTAATTTGAGTGAAAAATCAATCTTTTTCCTCCTCTTTGTGTAGCATTTAAAGGCTGTGTATAGTAATTCAACTTATCTAATAAAAGGAGATTTTCAGTTGATCCTTAGATAATAAATGTTTAAATTTTATCTGTAACTATCTTGCTACTTTTTAACTTGAATTCTACATGACCAAAAAGGTGATCTAAGTTCAAAATATTTTCAAAATTATGATAAGAAAGATCATCAATATTAACAAATATGACTGAATAATTATTAATTTCGATAAAATTATTTTTATCAAGGAACTACTAAAGTAAAGAAGTCTCAATATATTTCATAACTTTCCTAGACTCTGTTGGGAATGGACTTACTTCAATATTTTATAATGTAAAGCTCTGAAGATCATCAGAAAATACTAAATCTTAATCCTCTAAAGCCAAAGAGTCAAATACTAAATTTCGAGTATAATTCAACGCTTTCTTTATTTTTTATTACTCAGAAAGATTGTTAAACTCCTGTTATTTTAAACTACTCATTCCAAATAAGTTTTGATTATCTTACATTATTCAAATGATTTACTTTTTTATTAATCAATATTTAATGAATGCTTTTATGTTATTAGAATTATTTATAGCTAAATTATATCAGTTTTTCTGATATTTTTTATTATCATTTTGAAAAGCGCCAAAACAAAATTTACATTAATTTAAATAATAAAGGATAGTTTAATATAATATATTTGAAAATTATCAAAATAAATTTATATACTTTTATACTTTCAAATAAGTGTAAGTAACCAAAATAATATTAGTAAATAAAAAAAATCATAACTTTGAAAATAAAAATCAAATTATTCATGAATCTAAAATATTTTTTTTTTGGATAAATTATCTGTTATAAACTAAATATATAACTTAATAAAATTAAAATTTTCTATTTTGATTTAATATAGCTGATTCTATCTAAAGAAAAATAAAAAAACATTTTTATCATAATTAAATAGCTTTTATTCATATTTTGATTTTAGTTATTTATTAAATTTTAATTATAGATTAATTAGAATAAACTTTATGTATTTATTGCTAATTAAGGTATTGAAATTTGAAAGCTAAGTAGCCTTCTTGCTTTTTTTATTTTAATTTGTCAGAGTTTATCTGGTAGATCTACCTGTGATTTTATTAAAAAGAAAGGCCTTTTAATTTTTTATGAAAAACTAATTTTTTTGCTTTAAAACATTCATATTACAGGTCTAAAAAAATAAAAAAGTCTTTTTAATATATGAGGTTTTACAGTATATATATTAATACATAAAATTACTAAATGCTATAGATAGAAATTAGTTTGAGCTAAAATATAATATAATTAATAAAATAAACTTAATGTTTAAACTCAAAATATATTTTATCATGAATAATCTTTATACACCAGTTTCTTTTAATTTTTCAAAGCTTCTGATTATTTATCTTTACACTTTTATTTCTATGGATACTAAAATTTTATTTACAAAAAGTTTATTTTAAAAATAAAAAATTAACTAAGTTAATGATACATTTATTTAATTTATTTACTTTTTAATTGCATCTACTTGGCTCATCTTCTTGCTCACTTTCTTAGCTATGTTTATCATTCTCAGACTCTTTTTCTAATTTACCTTAATTATATGAGTAGATGATGTAATTGTTTTCAATACTATTTTAATCTTCATCACTGTTATTATCTTCATCACTGTTTTAATCTTCATCACTGTTTTAATCTTCGTCACTGTTATCATCTTCATCAAAGATATTATAATCACTATTATCAGATTCTTCATTTTTTGAAGAGTTATCAATTTCTTATTTGAACTTATTCTTGTAAACTGCAGCTTTATTTGTATATGGCTACTAAAAAGTCTCAGTTGAATTATAAATAAATCCATTTTTAAACATATCAATAGATAATTTAATACCTTCTGTTTACATTTCAAATAAAATTTAAGGAAGTCTGAATGTATTCAATTTTTTATTATGAAAAAGGATAACATCTTCTTCATCGATTTCTTGCTCACAGTTACAAGATGCAAAATTAATTGAATTTTTGATATTTAGTTGGTTAGAGAATATTATCTTACCTGAAGATAAATCATTTTGCTAATTATTAGAATCTAATTTAATTTTAATTTCATCGATATTAATTTTAATCAAATTATCAAATATCAAAACAGAATTTTAATTCAGAATTTTTTTTAAATTTTAAACTGCATTTTTTTTCTCTATCTTAAATAATTACTTTGCCTATGTAATGTTATCATCGTCTCTCAGACCACATCTACATTTGTAAAAAGTAAAATTCTCACATAGGGTTTTGGGAACATAATCCTCTAAATCTTATAAAAATTGGGCTCTGCTTTCTGTTATCTCTTCATCTTCAAAATTTTATTGGTTAACAATATCAAAAATAAATCTATCTATTTCTTCTTCATTTTTTGAGTTGTCAATGTTTTTAATTATTTTTGACTAAATTTTAATATTTTTAAGATTGTACACTTTTCCGTTAAAGTAATCTAAAACAATTAAAGTGCCAATTAATTCTAATGGAACATATAGAGGAAACCAGTAATAATTACCGTCTGTCACATATACAATTTCTAGATTCCTTTTCAATAAGTAAACCTTTTTTATTTCTTCTTTTTCATCTAGATTACTGTATCTCATTTTTACACATTTATTAAACAAATCTGCAGAATATTGTTGCTAATCAATATCTTTAGTCATATAACAAGCCATATTAAACATCTATGCTACTTTTTCATTATAATTCAATCCATCTATTTTGTAAATTAATTCTGTTCTAATGAATATCTTATTATTGTCAAAATAAGCATTTCCTTCATGCTAAAGTTATTAGTCGAAAATTATGCAGCTGTTTTCTGATATTTTTTAGAATGAGATGTTTTCAATCGCTAAAGGAGGTTATTCGTTTTAAACTTTTTTGTTTCCTGTTAAGTAAATAAGCATAGTATATTTAGAGTATAATCCTTATGATATGTCTGCAAAAGGAGTGTCATAATGAGATTTGAATTTTTTATCTCCTGGAGCAAAGTTGTTTAGTCTAAACACATTATTAATCTTTATAAATTCTTTTTTATCAAAAAAATTACTCTTTTCAATCATTTCTGTTAAACAATAAGACAATTAATTTGAGTGAAAAATTAATCTTTTTCCTCCTCTCTATGTAGCATTTAAAGGTTATGTATAGTAATTTAACTTATCTAATAAAAGAAGATTTTCAGTTGATCCTTAGATAATGAATGTTTAAATTTTGTCTGTAACTATCTTGCTACTTTTTAACTTGAATTCTACTTGATCAAAAAGGTGATCTAAGTTCAAAATATTTTCAAAATTATGATAAGAAAGATCGTCAATATTAACAAATATGACTGAATAATTGTTAATTTCGATAAAATTATTTTTATCAAGGAACTACTAAAGTAAAGAAGTCTCAATATATTTCATTACTTTCCTAGACTCTGTTGGGAATGGACTTACTTCAATATTTTATAATGTAAAGCTCTGAAGATCATCAGAAAATACTAAATCTTAATCTTCTAAATCCAAAGAATCAAATACTAAATTTCGAGTATAATTCAACGCTTTCTATATTTTTTATTGCTCAGAAAGATTGTTAAACTCCAGTTATTTTAAATTACTCAATCCACATAAGTTTTGATTATCTTACATTATTCTAATGATTTACTTTTTTATTAATCATTATATAATGAATGCTTTTATGTTTATAGAATTATTTATAGCTAAATTATATCAGTTTTTCTGATATTTTTTATTATCTTTTTGAAAAGCGCCAAAACAAAATTTATATTTAAACAACCTACCAAAAAAATAGAAAATAAATAAATATAATCATAAGTTTGAAAATAAAATTAAAATTATTCATAAATCTAAAATATTTTTTTATGATTAAATTATTTATATATCCTAAATAAGCCAATAAATAAAATTAAAAGTTTCTATTTTGATTTAAAATAGGTTATTATAAAAAATGCATCCTCATTAATTAATTAAAATATTTTGTTAAAAAATTACAAAAATTAATGGTGTATTTTCAATATAAGTTTTTTAATATAATTTATTATATAATTATTTTATGCTTAATTGATAGTCCTTTCAAAATTGAATAGATTTAATAAAAAGATAATTGAATTAACGTTATATTTGATATAAAAAATATTAATTTAGTTAGAATTGTCATTTAAAAATAAATAAGCTCATATATAATAGTAAATAAAAATGGAAAATCTTAAAATAAATTTCTCCTTTTCTATTTTTAATTCAATATTATAATATTTTAAATTAGTAATACAGAATATTCTGTTTTGATTGAATTAAGAATTAATATATTATATATGTTAATTGATTGTAAATTGAAATAATTCAATAGAAATACAGTAATTAATTATTTTTAAATCTCTTATTAAAACAATCTTAATTGCTTTTCAATTATAAAATTTTAAATTCAAAGTATGTAATATGATTTTAAAGGACTTTATTTAATGTAAATAAATTAAATAAAAATTAATCAAAAGAAAGAAAATTCTCAACATTATATATAAAATTTAATTTAAAATGTTTGCTTGATTCTTCATTTACAAATGCTTACTATGTAAATAAGATATTAAATGATAATTATGTATATATTTTAGATATGAGGATTTTACATATTAATTCATATTATTTTTTATTGTATTTATGAATGTATGTATGTATGTTTATATGCTCTTCCTATGAAACTTTGAATGTTTGTATATCTTTATGATAAATTCCTTATCAAGAAAATTAGAAGCATAAATAGATTGATAGATACATAGATACATATATATATATAGTAAAGAAAATTATAAAATAGAAATAATAAGTAAAAATAAATAATTATTTAGGGTAAATGCAAAGGATAGGGAAAGAATTCGTTAATTAATCAGTGTATAAATATCCTCAAACAAAACGATTATTAGAATGGCTTACTAAAGACGGATATTTTAAACTGCGTATGCATAAATCTATTGAATTAGATAAAGTTTATGATGATAAGTGGAAAGTAGATAAAGGATTCGGTTTAAGAGCAGCATAAAATATAAATGCAAATGAAGAAATATTTTTAGTTTCTACAGAGAATTGCATAACTGGTCTTGAGCTGATTGACTGCGATAGAATTAAGGCCTTCGAAATCAATAAGACTGTTAGCATGATTGCATCTAAATATTATGAAAAGAATTTACCATAGCTCTACTACACATAAAATATCTTAAAAATAATCTGCTAAATATTTGCTCACAGCTCAGGTGATTAAATGAAAATGTATCCGTTTGCAAACACCCTTTTAGAGCATTATAATAACCAGACCACTACAAAAAATCCTCTTTTTTGGGATAAAAACGCTATTAAAGGTAAAATCATGCTTAATAATTTTCAAAATCAAATATATTAAATCTGCATATCTTCTGCTTTTTTTGATAAAGATCTTCAGATCCAATATTTCTGCAATAAATAATCAATCAATCAATCAAACAAGCAATTTAATTTAGAAAAATGAAAGTAACTTTAATATTAATTTAAGAGTGAAAATTAATTAATAAAATAATTACTATAAAATAATAGTTAAGATTTGCATTTGTAATTAATAAAATTATCTATCATATTATTAAAAATAAATAAAAACTTCAGGGATAGTTAGTTAGTTAGATATAAAACGAATTAAAGTTCAAACAAATAAATTTTTGATGAAAAAGAAAAATGTTTTTTTGAAAATCAAATTAACATTTAATATTCTATTAAAAAATAACATCACAACAACAGATAGATATTTTAAATATGAAATATTAAAAGATAGCATCAAAACAACATATATTTTAAATATGAAATTATATTTTCAGGACTTAAGCAAAATTTAAAGAGAAACAATTAATTGAAAGGATTTTTATAAATGTCAAAGCAAGATATTGATTGATTGATTAAGATAACTTTTTTAATTAAGTAAACTTTATTTTAACTGTTTAATAGGTATTTACTCATCCAATTTGGCTAGCATTATTAGTTCAACTTAGTCTTAATTTGTCAGCATGAACGAAGATTTGCTCTAAAATAGAATGTTTGGATTTAACTTAAGTAAATTTATTGAAATGATGTCAGTAGTTAGAAGCAGAAATTTAAACTTTTGTCCTGAATAGCCAAAATTTTTTGATATAAATTCTGTCGTTATTATGTCACCAGTTGTAGATTGGATAAATCATTCGTTTGATCCAAATTGTAAATTGACAGGTGCTTATTATCAGCATGAAACAGAGAGTTTTGTGGTTGTCAAGGCTGCAAAAGATATCAAACAAGGAGAAGAACTCACAGTAAATTATGGAAATATGAATAATATGGATTATTTGATGCGTTATGGATTTGTAAACTAATCAAATCCTCACAATGAACTCTCTTTGACTTTAAACTTTGACGATTATCTTGAATACACATCCTAATTGTTTGATTTCAAGCAAAAAATTTTCAAAACCCAAGAAGATTTCTCACTAGATAGGTAAAATAAAGCAAAATTCTTTTGTTTAAATTCATAGAAAGTATCGTAAAAGCTATAATAATCCTTTAAATTTCTAATAGATTTATTTTGTTCGAGAACAGAATCAACAAAAACTTACTTAGAAGTTTAAGAATATACTTTTTAAAGAATGAAGATTTATTGACAAATCCAGAAATAGCTTCATATAGATATAAAGATTTTGATAAGTAAATCAGTACTGAAAATGAGCTGATTATTTGCAAATTCATGATAGAAACTTTGAAAAAAGAGTTAGAAAAGTACTAAAAAGCTAGAATAAATACATTAGACATGAATTAACTCATGCATCCAAATAAAAAGGACTAAATAATTAATCTTGATTCACATGAGGATTTGATCTATGTTTAAAATTAAAACTATCGTAACATGCTCCATATATGCATAGATGAGCAAACAAACATTTAAAAAAATATTAAATTCTTTGAAAAACAACTACAAAATCTTGTTTGAGTTATTCATTCATTCAGTTTGCCAGCTAATTAGCAAGCAAGCAAATAAACAAACAATTAAAAAAATAAACAAACTAATAATATTAAATTAGATATAATTTTAGCTAAATCGTAATAATTAAATGAATTTGGTTCATTATAATAGAGCAAAAGGCTAAAAATCAATTAAAAACGGCAAATCAATAAATAAGTAAATAAATAAATAGTAAAAATAATTGTAATAACTGCTTATTAGATATGATAGAATAAAATCAGTAGTAAAAGAAAGCACTATTTATTTTTATCATTTCTTATTAGAGTAGTTAATTAATAGTTTATTTATAACAAAGCAATTTATATTTATTTGCTTATTTATTTACTATTCTCCATATTATCTTTAATCTAAAAATATTCTTTTCAAACAAACAAACAAATCTAATTAATTAATTAACTCATAAATTAATTATTATTTACATTTTTATTAATAAAATATTTATTTTAAATGTTTGGTTTAATTATTACAAATAAAAATATCAATTTTTATCAACCTAAATTAATTTATAAATTTTTTTTAAAAGAAATTAAATATAAAATGAATCTAAAAATTAATTAGATTAAAAAGATTAAAATTTAAAATTAGTTGTTTAATTCCTTTTTTTCGCACAAAAATATTTACATTTTTTTAATAATTTTCAATAGAAATTAGATATATAAATAAATATAAAAGTCTTTATTTAATAGAATTAAAATCTATTATTTTTTGTTTAATTTTACTTAATTAATTATTTAAAGCTTTTTTAAAATAAATAAATAAATTATAAAAATATGTTTGTTAACTTTCTTGCTAAAACTTTCTCTCCAAAACATGTCCGAATGTGATTATGTAGATAAAAATTAGATTTAAAATCTTCACTATTAAATTGATTTATTTATTTAATTATTTTATTTTAAAACAAAGCAACACATTTAGAATAAGATTGATTTATGAATATTAATTGATGGAGGATATAAAAAAGAAGAGTACATACATTAAATTAATTGAAATAAATATTTAAAATATACAGAAAATAATTTTTTTAAAGAGTTGAAAAAGAAAAATTAAATGTTTGAAATGAGTAAAAAAGTTGTGTTTGTTTTGTTTTGTTTTGAGTTGCTTAGTTTGAAATAGATTTTTTAACTTAAAATATAAATAAATAAATACATACATACATAGCTGATAAACAAATTACTCATAAGTTTATAGTGTATTTTTCTCTAAAAAAGGAGAACTTTTTACTTGCTATATCGAATCCAAATTTTTTACTTTTTATAATGAGTTAAATTATTTTTACTTATTTTTTTAGATAAATAAATTTGTATTTACAGAATATTTTTGGTAAGTTCTTTTATTTCTTGCTTGTTCGGAGGTTGGTGAAATTTTGTTTTTGGCATTTCTTCTATGAATTCTAATTTTAAGTTTAAATAAAGCATTATAAACAGCTTTTTGGTTAAATTTTTAATTAAAAATGTTAAATTAAAAAGATTTGTTTTTGTAAGGAAATCAAGTCAATTGATGATTATTACATAATTATTTTAACGGATATTTTTTTTGCATTTTTATATAGAATTGATAGTCTGACTCAAGTTGCTTGTTGTCTAGCTTAAATCCCTTTTAAGATTCTTTCAACTTGTTTATTTCTTCCTAGTATATTTCAGGTGCCCACTTGTAATTTGTTTAACTTCTTGCAAGAGATTTTTAGAAATCTGGAGTTGAAACATATTTATCTGTTTGCTTAAAATTCATCAAGTGAGGATTTCCTTCAAAATTAGATGGACGTATCTTGTTAAAATGTTTATCTTTACCCTTTATAAAAATTCCATGTACTCTTGGTTCTATTAAATTATGAGTGACATTATAATATCCTATTGAAGGTACCTTGTTTTCCTATAGTAAATAATTACAAATAAATTAACATTAAATAAATCCTACAACTTTAATTAGTTCTTATCAAAAGTATATTAATCTATTTGCTTAGTTTATATTTAGCTTTTAACACTCATTTGTTATATTTTACTAAAATTCAAATTTAGAACATATTTATCAAAAAATGCCATAATATTATTAATCAATTTTCCAACTTTTTTAGATTAATATTTTATCTTAGCTTCATAAATAATCTGTGTTTTTTAAGATTTTATTTTAGCTAATTTAGATATTTCATAATTTGTTAGTGTTTTCTCTTTTATTTTTTGAATATTTTAACAGTAAAACTGCAATTAATAAATAAATAAATAATCAAAGCAAATTTCATATTAAATTTTGCTGCATTCTTATTATCATAAAAAGATTTATAAAAATTACATGATATTAATCATTAAAACCTAAACGAGGCTATTTTACTGTTCCTCCGCCTCCTCGAACATTTGAATGCTGAGAATTAGGTTTGGTGCTACCCTCTTTAGAAGGAGAAAACTAACTATGAGTTTCTCTTAATTTATTTGGCTAAATTGTTTTTATCTTAAATTCTTAATAATTAATGGATTTTGGCTTATTTTATTACTAAGCATCCTCATTAGTTTTGTTGAGCTCCAAATAGTTAGATCTTTAATATGTCCTTTTATCGTCCATAATTACTTATTACTTTTTTTCTTTTTATAAAGTGAATAAATATTTAAGTTAGAATTACTTTTTAATAGAAAATAAATAACACGAACAATTCTTATAAAGCATTTATTTCATAAGAATCTGAAACACACACACAATATATCTATCTATCTTTTTAGCTATTACAAAAAATTACTTCCATTAGAGCCTGGCATAATTATGGTATCAAAAAGGAGATGATTTAAACTCTATGTTCTGGATGCTAGCTGTAAATTCTTCTATGAAAACAAATTGGACTTGTCTAATCTATTATCAGTAGAATAATGTTTGCTATTTTTTCTAGATTAGCTATCTTGATCTAGATCATTTTCGTTATTTTAGTCAGAGTTTTCTTCCTATTTAAAGATTTAAACATTATTTACATGCTTTAAATGTATTTTTCTTGCAAATATTTGTTCATTTTCTCAACATTTTAAATATATTTGTTGATGTTGTTATTTTTTGAAACAACTTGCTATTTAATAAATATCTAATTATAATTAAAACACATACTCTTATTAATCTGCCGACGCTATCTCGTTCGTGGATAAATGGAATAAATTTATTTGAATGAAAAGTAGCCATTGGACTCAAGGCAGAAGTCATACCCATTTTTTATTCACTCTTTACCGTTTTATTAGGAGATTCAATTAAATTATTTTTGTCAGTGGAAACCCAATTAGTTTCTGTTAAAAAACCTCCTAACCACATTTGATGCCTCTTACTGACATCTTTCATTTTTTGCTTATCCTGCTAAATTGATTGCCTCAAATCGATGCTCATTTTTAATAAATAATGCTAAACGCTCCAATCTCCTAATTGTGATAAAACTATTAATTTGCTATCTAAATTTCTAAATAATTATTGTTAATTGCTTTTCAATCTTTTGATTACTTAATTTATTTAATTACTAAAACTGCTCTATTTTAAAAGCTAATCAATTAATTTACTAATTAATACCTACTTAGCCTTTCCACTATATCAAAACATAGTATTTCAGCATAATAATTAAAACATAAAAACTTCAAAAATATTAAGCAAATCTATTTTATTTATAAAGCTTTTAAAATCTCAAATAAGTAATTAATAAAATTAATAATATGTAAGTTATAATTGTTGAAAATCCTTCAAAGCTTAAACTTTTCTTTCTAACTAATAATAAATAAATAAATCAGTCATTAAAGAAACGTTAGTAGAAAAATATAATTTTGATAGCTTCTTTAAAAAAAAAATATAATTAATAATAAATAATTTATTTTATTGATTATTTAGTTATTTTTTTAAATTACTTCTTAATTAAGAAAAAGTACATACAAAAATTATTACATTTCCTTTCTATAAATAATTTTATGAAATCAGGGAAAAAAAATTCAATTTCAAAATACTTGTAACAATATTATCACCTACCTAAATATGATTTGAAATAATCTTCTATCTATCTAAAGTATTTATTTTATAAATATTTAAAATTGTAAATTATCCTAATTACATTTTTATATTGATTTTTTTCTTCAAAACATAATTAATTGAAAAGAAAATCATTCTTTACTATTTCAATAAATTTAGATAGATGAGCATCCAAATATGTCTATTCATTAAAAATTAATCAGTTAGCTAAAGACCGTCAAATTAAGAAGCTTTTTTTAAAATTTCGAAATAAAAAATTATATTTCATTTTCTTTGTTAATTTTCCTTTAATTTTCAAGTTATTACTATAAAAGCATTAATTTACTTTGAAAATTCAATCAAAAAAAACTAAAATGCTTTTTTCAATCTCAAAAATGTTTAGTTTTTTAATAAATTTTGTAAATATGATTATTAATCAATAAAACATCATCATTGTTTTAACTAAATATATATATATTAGAGCCTAATATTGTTTTATTTTCTTAAAAAAAATATCATTATAAAACAAAGCAGTGACCATAATACTCGTTTTATTATGAAAACTAAAAATTTTGCCTGTTTATAGCTATTTAAAGGCATTTTTTTATCTCTGAAATTAATTATAATCATTGGGCATTTATAATCAATAAAGTAGCATTGATATTTTTTTTTAGCATAGATAGCAGCAAAATAAATATATTTAACAAATTCTTCCAATTAAATTGGATGATTACCCTAATATATAATATTATTTTTGAAAATCTTAAATTTGATTAAGTTTTAATAAAATTTAATAGAAAATTAAAAAATTGATAAATTGATAATTAAAAATATAAAGTTTTTTGACCAATATTTAGAATATACTATTTATATTTAATTATTTAATTCTTTGTTTTACTCCAAAATTTTTATTTATTTTACTTCTTTAAATTTCTTTTAATAAGTTTTAATGTGTTAGTTTAATTTGTTTAATGATTGCTTCACCCACCCTCCATATTAATTAAACTAACAAACAATTAAATTAAATCTTAAAAACCTTTAATTTTTACAAAATATTGAGAAGATTTAAAGCCTCCTCCTATTAATTAAAGGATACAAAAACAAACTGAAATAATTATATTATTATTAATTTATTCTAAATAAAAATTAATTTACCCTTTAAAAAAAGAAAAATAATTAATTATAAAAGACCCAACCCTTTTTAATACAAAGAGCAGCGAGTATCTTCGTTTGAAATTTCTTTTAATACCTCCTATTTTATACTCTATTTGATACCTCCTTAGATAGTCAATCCATTTATTAGGTTTTTGCCATACATTTGATACCTCCTCCTTAAATACTATTTCTCAATCTTAAATAATTCCAAGTATTTATTTGAATATCACTTATTTATTTGAATTACTTTGGCTTTAATTAACTTATTCAAATACTTAAATTATTACTTTTGCAAATAATAGGCTGTAAATAGATCATTGAATCGATCCCACTCTACTTAAATTCCTAAATATTTAAGACTCAAATGAAATCTCATTCAAAGAAATACCAAGTAACAAATAATTTAGATGCTGACAATGAATTATATCCTCAATCACAAATTTAGAGTTCCAATAATGATTAGTAAACTCAACTGAACAGTCAAGAAGAAAATAACCCTGATATGATTGAAACTGAAGATATAAACTTTAATCCAAATAACTCCAATAAACCAACAAATAGTTCTTATAAAATTCAAACAATAAACTTAGAGAATAACAATCTAGGTGAAAATACTTCGCAATAGACTTCAACAATTAAAAAAAATATCAATAGCAACAATTAGAATTCTATTATAGAAACAACCTATTAGCAAGATAAATTCATAAATGGTGCAATAATTGCAATTAGGTCTCAAAATCTAGCTGTTAAGTATATTGTTGACCATATTAAGGAAATAACAGACAGAAATTTGTCTGAAGCTTATGTAAGAAAGATATGGGATCATTGGCTTAAATACAAAGATATTTACTTCTCTTCAACACATAAAACAAGACTCTACACAAAGCATGAAGCCATTCAACTTTATGATGCTATTTTTAAGCAATATAATCCAACTAACTAATCTTAAAGTATTATCCCTAAAATCAAAGAAGTAATTATCAAAAAATCTTATTTTAACTAAAAATTATATCCCTTTTGTTTTTTTAAAACAATCTAGGTATTGTAAAAACATGCTATAACAAAAAAATTGTTTATCAACTACTCACAATTCGAAGAAGTCAAAGGACTAGATACTGAAGAAACATATCTCTCAATTAAAGAAGCTATAGACTCAGGTTAGTAATCTGATGAGCCAAAATGGTATTTGCTTTTTATAATTTTTATCTATTTTAAGTGTTGTGTTTTTTTATGTTAAATTATTAAATAATTTTCATTTTAAATTTAGGATTGATGTCAGTGTAAGAATGATGATTTCAGCAAGCTAGTTTGAATACAAGAAACAGATTGAAATTCAATGTTTTAATAAACTTAAAAATTATTTGCAATTTTCTTGTATATAATTGGTTGGTGTAGTTATGGGTGAAACACTTAATGGAAGAGGAAAATTCATTTATATCCATTGTAGATATGATCAGTTAATACTAAAGAGGAACAAGTACTTGAAAAGATTCTTGCTTGAAGTTATTCCTGACTGGTTTTATTCTTATAACTGTGTGCATAGTCAAAAAATTGCTATTTTTAAGTACTCTAAATTTTTATATCTCTAACGCAAGATACTTGAGGAGTAAGAAAGAAAAAGATTTATTCCTAATCCAGTCAATCCTCAGATAAATCAAACCAATCGTTTTAACAATTCTAGTGCTATAAATACCTCCCTTAACATTTCCTATCAATCATCTGCTGTTCCTAATACGAGTAGTATACCTCTGAACAGTTTATTCTGATAGAACAATATTAAATTTAAATATATAAAGAAAATAAATATGTATCCTATTAAATTTTTTGTTTCATTTGATTTAATTTCACTTATTTAATTGAAAAAAAATTAAATATCTAATTTATTTTGTTGTCTTTTTGAATTAAATTTAAATAAAATAATACATTTTTATCAAAATATAAATTTGTCTATCTATCTATCTATATTTATTTTAAAATCAATTAAATAATTTAAAAATATTTTAATTTTTCATTTTTTTGATAAATACTTTTAGAATTACAATAGTCAGTAAGTAAGTAAGTAAGTAAGTAAGTAAGTAAGTAAGTTGTTTAAATGTATGAATGAATATTTATTTTTTTGTTATTAAATTTTTTTTGGCTTTTAATTTATTTTTCGTTTGATTTAATTTCTCTTACTTAGGTGAATAAAATAATTTTAATCATTTATTTTGTTGTCTTATTGAAGTAAAATAAAATAATACATTTTTATCAAATTTATTTGTCTATTTATTTATAATATATTAAAATCAATTGAATAATTTAAAAATATTTTTATTTTGATAGACAATTATTTTGGAATTATAATAGCAAATAATATATAAAGTCAGTCGCTTCTTTGCATAGATATTTTTTATTAGTTTTTATAAATTTTTTGGCTTTTAATTTATTTTTATTTTTATATTAATTAAATAATTCTACTTTTCTTCTTATAGGATACTTCATTAAATCGTTTACAATTTAACTATATTAATCAAGTAGATTTGTTTTGATATTAATTTATTTGAATAAATAACTTTCTTTAAAAATTTTATAATAAAAATAAAGATCTCTGTTATTCTACCTTCTATAATTTGTCATCTTTTAAAATACTCATATAAATATATAGGCATTTTTAAACCTATTACTTATAAGCTAAGTAGCAATCACTTTTTTATTTTGTCATATTTAACTTTGCTTGATATTTTAGAGATAGTTTTTTAAAATTAGTTATAAAATTAGAAATATTAGAAAATTTTATCTTAAAAAAATGTTTAAAATAAAAGAGTAAATGTTTATTTATTTCTAAAATCAAAGTATAAAAATTTTATTATTTATTTATTTATAAAATGAAAATATAAATATTATTTTATTTATTTTTTTGTTTTTTTTGCTTTTGTGTTTGCTTTTTTAAATAAAAAAAAATTATTGATACTTTTTTAAAAAAAAGAGATCAAAGAGTTATTGGCTAATAAATAAAAAAATTTAATAAAAAAATTATTTTGAAAAAATAAAATTTATAAAGATAGGTAGGATTGAGGAAATTGCTAAACACAAACAAACAAACAAACAAACAAACAAACAAACAAACAAGTTACTTACTTTGAACATAATGAATGCAGTAAGTTAAAAAGTTCTAAATAAACAATACTAAATGAAAAAATAAAGTTTTTATTAGTTATTTTAATTTTAATGTAAAATTGAATATCTTTTTTAAGTTTACAATCAAAAGTGTTTTTATTTATTAATTGAATACAACAAAAGTATTCTTTAAATATTTTTGTGGTAATAAATGCTTTGAATTAAGCAGTAAGATAACCCTAACATATTTGTTTTCTTTCTTCTGGAAAATTTCCTTAGTTGAACTACACGGAATTCAGTTTGATAATAAAAAATAGATTTGTTTTTTTGTTTGCTTGTTAGATTATTAATTAACAAATAATCACCTTTTAGTTACTATAATTTGTTTTAAATAAAGTAATTTCACTAAATAAAGAAGAAAGAAGTAGAACAAACATACAATCTTAGGAAATGAAACCTCAAATTTCTGTGTTTATCATCTTAGTTTTACTAGGTTTAACTCAATGTTATGATAAAAATTATTGCTTAAATGAAGGTTTGTAGAATAATGACTGCGGCTGGTACATTAACTGCCTAGAAGACGCATACAATTGTGGACCTAAAGGCTATCCAGTTGGATATGGCTACAAATATTGTTCAAAATTTGTTGAAAAATTTAACAAATTCTCTCCAGCTGGTTAGAAATGGATAGATGGCACTTTAACTTGTTTAAAATAATCCTTGAAAGATGCTCTTATTCATTCTGATGATATGACATGCGCTGATGTCAATAAAATTGCTTTTAACTCTCACCCAAAATGCTATGTTTAAAATGGATTCTGTGAACTTTTCACAAAATAAGACATTCATGAAATTTATGAAACTCTATTAGCATTGTTATAAGTTTATCAAGTAAAGGATTTCCTATCCATTCAATCAATCAAGCAAGTCATTACCGTTGCTTTTGACTGCCTCTAAAAAAAAATTTGAAAAATCTCAAAGCTAAGAAGAGCAAGCTAAAAAAATAATTCTTAATATAAATAAATAATCAAAAAACAAAATATATATGATATATATACAGTGATTAAATATAGAAACATAATAGAAAAATAATGAATATATTTTTTAAATTGGTCTTACAAAATACTCAATAAATTATCACTAAATTTACATGTTTTTTTATATAATAATAAATTCATTTTTTCTATTATGAGAATTGTAATAAATTGAATTAAATAATTAAGAGAAAAATAAGCAAGTTAATTTTTAAAAATAAATTTTTATAGATTTTATTGTATGTAAGTAAGTTGATAATTATGATTCAAATAAAATATTTTTATAATTATTAACACAAATGTTTATATTTAGGAATATTTTTTTGGTATATAAATTTCTAAAGTATGTCACCGTATTATTCTAAAAAATCTTTTTTTGCTTGTTGTTGCTTTACCTAAAATATACTGAATGGTTTAATGTTCAATCTTTTCATTTTTGAATTTCAATCTTGTGAACATTATTTATTTTATAAATATTTGAAAAAACAAAAATTCAATTATTTTATGAATTTTAAAGAAGAATTACTTGAGCTCATTAAATCTACAAGAAATCAGAAAGAAGTTATTAATTTCTTTTTCACTTTCTTACAATCTTGCAATAGAAAAAAGTCAAAGAGAATAAATTATTTACAATTAAAGATAAGCAATAGGTTTGTTTGTTTCAGAATTTATTAAAAGAAATAACCTAAAAAAATATTGAATATATAGAAATGAAAAGGTTATAATAGATTATGAGATTATTAAATAGCACATAATTGAAATTTACAATTTTATGAAATAAACAATATTAACCTGTATTACTTTAACAAATTTTAATGAGACTATTATCACTGCAAAAAAGATATTACAAAAAAACAATAGCGTTTATCAGTATAAATAGGTTTTATTCTTGAAGCTAAAAATATGTAGTATGATAGTATGAAAGAGTTGCAATTGCAATATATTCAATTGAATAATGTGCTTTAACATAAAAGCGAATTTAAATTTTAGTTTGTTTAAACAATAATATGCTTTTCAAATTCAAAAATATTTATAACATGCTACTTAAAATATAATAAAAATATAGATAAGCATTATTAAAATAAATTTTAAGCTACATTATGAGTAAATTTATATGCTTGAGTATAATAATGATCATAACCCAACCAACAAGTTTAATTTTTTAATTAAGATTCAACTATTTAAAAAAACAAATGAACGTTAGTTATTTAAAGGTTTTGGATTTAAATATGAAAATAACAATTAAAAAAATTTTACTTTAAATTAATTAATAAATTTGAAGATTAAGAGAGCATCAGAGTTTAAAGTGTTTGATTATGTATAATAAATAAATAATTTAATATAATAAATAACTTTTAAAATGATAAATCACTTCTTCATGTATGTGAATTTCTTTCAACAAATTTTTCATTTTTTATTTTCCTTATAATTTGAATTAAAATTGAGTGAAAATAATTAGAACTTTAGATTTTAAACAGTCAATTGTAAATTTATTTAAAATGAACTTTTATTTATTGAAATAAATTAGATTTGACAAATCTAAACCTTAAAAAAAAAAATTTTAGATTTAAAAAAATATTTTGTTATAAATATCATTAAGTAATAACCAAAAACATCAAATCTTAAATTTTAATGCTTTATCTCCTCTCTTTCCCTCAATTTTCCTAAATAAATTAATTTATTTCAAATTTAAAGTGATGAATTTGCTAAAATAATTTATGATATTCAATTTAAAACTTTATTTAAAATTGTTAAAAATAAAATTTATGATTAAGAAAATTGCTTTTAAAAGATTTAATTAAACTTCAAATAAATAAATTGATTAGTAAATTAAACAATTTAAGAGATTATTTTATCAAGTTAATGTAAAATAATTTTTCATAGAAAAAATTACACTTAACATGGCTCTTTTGTAAAATTAAATTTAGAATTTGAGCAACCTAAAAATTTTTAAATGTGAGTATATTTTAAATTATTTAATTAAATATGAAATAATTTTGTTAAACTGTTTAATCTTTAACTCAATTTAAAAATAAAGCTTACATTTATTTCTAATAAATAAATTAGATATGAGAAAAAATATTTATTGATCAATTTATAAAAAAAGGAACTTTAAAGATAATTAATTTTTTATGTAAATAATAATGAATAATTAATTCAAAATATTTACTTTTTTTAAATCTAACTTAGACGTTTTTGAGTAATTTTTGAAAAGGAAAATAATTTATATTTTTAAATTAAATTAGATTTTACTTCATTTTTAAGAAAGCACAAAACAAATTAAATCAATATTTTAAAGTTAGACTTTTTTATTTAAACTAGAATTTAAAATTTTTTGATTTTAAAAAGTTCTTTTAAATAAATTTAATTAGTTACGTATCAATAAAATAAATAGGCCAAAACTCCTTTTTACTTTTATTGTATTTGTAATGTTTGGATAAAAATAGCATAAATATATTTAAATAGATACATTAGATAAATTTGGGATTAAATTTGCTTAATATTAGTAAATGAAGCAATATAATGCGCATTAATGATAAAAAAAAGTATAAAAATGCGAATTTATCAGCTAGATTAAAGAAAACAAATTTAAGTTGGAAATAATTAAAAATAGATATGTATGTATGAATGAGTGAGTGAGTATATGAACAATTAATTTATCAATTAATAGAATTCTTTTATTACAACAAAATCTGTTTGAACAATTTTAACTTTTGATTAGAGTAAGGTTCAAATTTTGAGTCGTGAATATGAATATAAATTAATTCATGCTATATATACTGCAATTAATTTATCCTTATCAAGATTAAATATCTTTTATATAAATAACCCTAACCTTTGTTAATATTATCAATTTAATATATCCAAATCTACTATATTTTGGTTGATTTAGCTTAGCTAAAATTTTTATAGTAGGAAAAACAATGAAAAATGGAATAAGAATAGATAGTTTAACTTAACGCTGGAAAGAACTCTGATTGATAAAAGAAAGATTAAAACAAATAAACACAAATAACATTTTAATCATTTAGTTAATAATATTATGTAATTATTCCAACTGAATATTGTATTATTACCTAATTATCTAATTAACCATGATTTATTTATTTCTTTTATCTTATACTTTTATTAAATGTTCTAAATTTCTATTTTCCTTTTCTTTCACTTTTCTGGTGCTTCTCTCAGCCGCCTTACATATCTTTAAATTTTTCTTTACTCTATTTGTAGCCTTATCCATTTTTATTAACAGAAAAGTCTAAAAGAAAAATAATTTAATCTTATTTAAAGTTTGTAAATAATCGATGCTCAATTTACTAGTAAACTATATAGAGTATATACATTAATTATTTTTATATTTTGGTTTGATTTTATTTGATCTATTTAAGTTTTTCAATTTCTATTCTAAAAGTCTATTTATATATTTATTACAACGTCATTTATGCTTCATTCATAAGCTAAGTAGCACCAAAATGTCTATAAATAGATCATTAAGTCATATTCATAAAATAAATAAAAGTCTACTTTAAAATCATTTATAGCGAAGCTTATTTTCAAAAGTTGAAATTGTTTTAAGTTGGATTATTGCGTAGCTTAATTACAAAATTTAAGCAAAATAAATAAAAAATAAGTAATATGTTTGTTTTGTAATAAATCTTTATCATTGATTAGGCATAATATTTGTTAGTAAAAATATTAAATATATATGATATATATATATATTTATCTTACTAATATCCAATCAATTTACTGGGCTTTAAATTACAAAGTAAATAAATAGATGTAAATTTAATCTAGAGAAAAAAATACTTACTTCCACTTAATGTTAATCATAAATAAATAAATTAACAAATAGCAAGCAATTGATAATATTCAAGTTTCAAATATATTTTTAAAGCTATTCGTATTTGTTGAATATTTTTAATTGTCTTTAATGTTAAAGCGTAATAACTTGAAGGACTAATGATTAAATGACAACTAATAAAAATAATGAAAATTTATTTTAAAACTTTATTAATTATTAACTGAAAAAGTATTATATTTTTTCTTCTTACAATATAGAAAGAGGTTCTATGAAATAATAATCGTAAAATATTTTTAAATTTAGATGGAAAATAAAACAATAAAATTGATAAAGCATTTTTAAATAGAAATTTTAAGCCAAATTTACAATAATTCTAAAGTAAGATAAAACATGTAATTAAATTATAGTAATAATAACACATTTCTATAAAATAATATTTAATAGAATTAGATAAAATTTTAAATAAATAAAAGAATGAATTTGAAAATTAGATAGAGTTTTATGTATTTATAATCTATAAACACAAAATAATAATAAATACTATTGTTAATTGTATATTTTAGAAGTTATAATCAATATAAATAAATTTATATTTATAATGAATATTAATTACAAACGAATTATAATAATTATTAATGACGATCTAGATATACAATCAACGTATGTTAAAGTAGATCAAATAGATATAATAAAACAAAACATTAATAGAGATTTATAATGATTATAAAAAGGTATTTATAATATATACTAAAATAGATTTATAACAATTATTAAATTATTTTTATAGGGAATCTAAAATAACTAAATGAATACTTAAGAGATTACGAATGAATATTTGGATATATTAGTTTCTAAAATAAGATTGGTAAAGATTATTAAAGATAAGTATTTGTCTATATAAAAGTGGATTTATAAATGAATGGTAAAATGTGCATAAAAACAGATTTATAATTTGTATTAAAAGAGATTTCATTAATAATTGAAAGGATTTATAGTGAATATTGAATAATTTTAGGTTGAAGAAATCAAAAGAATACAATACATTTAATATGAAATATAAATGCAAGTGTTTATTAATATAAGCTTAATATAATTGATACAAGGAATAGTAGAGTTATTATATGGTTTATTTTTCATTTATTAATTAATATATTAGTTTATACATAATTCTAGTATATGTTGAAATTAAATAGTAAATTAAACTAGCTTATTAGTAAATTTGTCAGTTTTTACTTTTTATTTATTTATTTATTTATGAATTTACTCGAAAATCTATTTATATTTATTAATTTATTATTCTATTAGTAATTTGTTTATCTCAGAAGATATGGTCTGAGCTGCCTTCAGAGTAGCAATCATGTTGGTTTTGCATGTTTTCTATGTTTCTCTTCATGCCAATTATATAATGGAAAAGCTCATTGACAGAAGCGAAGTTAGAAGGAGAGTCATTAATACCTTCATTACCAAGTTTGCATCTTCTAAATTTGCTTTATTATTCAGAGAGACCACAATTTTGGAAGATGTAAATATCCCAAGCTTCTTGGTTGTAAATGTCGTAATAAGATTAATCGATCACTTCAATATCTTCAAATTTATTCCAGTGGCCATTATCGCAAATCATTTAAAGGAGTAAGTTGCAATGGTCGAGACATTATTGCTTGTATTGTTAAATCTTGAAGTCCATTTTATAAGTATTTAATATCAATTATTTGGTTTATATTCTGTGTATTATGCCAGTTCAAATTATTTTTGTTTAGCAGTTTAGATTGTTAATTAATTAATAAGACTTAGTAATTAATTATTCAGGTTGATGGTTTATTAGTATGTATGTGCGTATGTATATATACGTTTATTTTATTCAATGAGAAAGTGTGGCGGAGTATTTAATTAGATTTTTTTACTAATTAATTTGTTTGATTTTAATTTAAAAAAATTATAACAAGAGAGAACAATTGCGAGCAGACATTTAATGTGAGAAGGAAAACAATGTGATGCAATTAGTTTAATTATTGCAAATAAATAATATGCAAATAAACAATTATTCTTAATCAATATGCAATGCGTCAGATCATTGTCGATTTCAAATGATATAATAATTTCTATTTTTAGCAGAGTGACGAATAAAATTAAAAATTCTTGTAATCTATGAGTCACACCAAATTATTATTTAATTTGTTAATTGCCTATATTACATTCATTTATTGATTAGAATCTCTTTATCAAATTCAATCAATCATATCCTAATTTTCTATGCATGCGCACATCCTCATTTTTGTTAAGCTTAGGGTTTCATTAGAAAGCATTAGAATTTAAAAAACTAAATAAACATAAGTTAAGAGAGTTAGAATATATCAAATAGTATTTAGATGATCAAACAAACAATAAACATATATCTAGAATTTGAAATCAGTAAAATATTAAGTTAATTTTTGTGAAATAACTTAATTAAAAAAGTAACTTACTTAAATTTCACAACCACATTTTTAGGTGGGTTATTTTTAATTGCTAATTATGGCTTGTTAGACAGCAAAAGAGGCCTGATAAACTTTATGAAAGATGGTAACTAAAGATATAGTAAGCTATGAATGCATCTGATTTGATTGTAAAATAAACATAATGTAAGAGTAAGATATAAATAATGTACTTACTTAAGTAAGTAAATAAATAAAAAATTTCATAGAAATTGGTATAGACATATATATAAGAATGGAATAAATTTCTAATTAATCTACTAATAATAAGCAAAGCAACTAGATCATTTAAAGAAGCAGAGTGTATTATTCAGAGCAAATCATAAATTTAGAATATCTACTATTTTTTCTATTACAAGAGTATATTCTATGCTATTTCTCTTTTAGCTATATTTCTATTACCTGTTACTGATGGTTTACTCGGTCATGATTTAGGACGGACCACTAACCAGTATTTAGTGAAGTCTATCAAATCAGAGTAAGAATTAGATAATCAAAAAAATTAACTTCAAATTGTTAAGTTAAGCCTGAAATGAAGATAAAAGTTGATTGAAAATGTGATTTATAATATTTCTCTTTTCTTTTAACGTTGAAAAAAATTGGTAAGTCACCCAGAAAATTCAAGGTATATACGATTGATGAAATGTGATTATTAATTTATTATTTACTGGCAAGCATTCTAATTAAAAATAAGGAGTTTTATTTCTGCATAAATATATGCGTTTGGTGCAAAGGTATTTATTTACATTGATATCACATAATTTATTTATGTTGTTTCAAATAAAAAACTTGCATTTATTTATTATAAGTTGCTGGTTTTTATTCTAGGGCATAAGGGACAATTTGATTTAAGGCTAACAATTTCTTAAAGATAAATAAATAGTTTTTTCTTTCAAATTTATTCACTCCTTTTTGTTATTTATTTGTTAGTTTTTGTCTCCAAATTTATAAAAGACTCATTACGTAATTCTAAATTTTTAGTGCGTAAGTTTTAATAAATCTGATTGATAGATTTTAAATAAATCTTATATGCTTCAAGAAATTAGATTTTGTTTCAATTTGAAATTTCAAAATATTAATTTTGCTGCAATTTCTTCTGCTAATCACTTTTTCCATAGATATTCTTTAAAACTTCTTTGATTTTCTTCAAATACTTTATAAAAGAATAACAATTGTTCGAAAAAGTTTTCTGATAATTTTGCCTCTTCTTTTAATTTTATTACACGTAATAAAAAGCAATTATATCATAAGGGATCGTATTTATATATGAAATTTAATCTATAAAAGAATGTCACTATTATGTATTATTAAGAGCTAAACGATGCATCTAAATTATCTTGGTTTGCACTGATTAATATCCAAACAAAATACTCTTGAGTAAAAAAACAAACAAGAAGTAATAGTAGAAAACAAAATTAATTTCTGTTATTTCAAGTATGGTCATCACTTTGCAATTATAGACAAAAATTTACTCAATTTGATCATATAAATTTACTCAATTTCGCCACAGAAATTATACCCAGCTAGTCATCTACAAAAGAATCAATTATTACCTAAATCTCAATAAAATAGAAAGCGAAATTTATATCAATAACAGAAAAATAAATAAACAAAGAAAATTAATAATAAATCTATAGAGGAGTTTTCAAGAAATCTATTTAAAATGAAATCTCTAACAAACAATTAACAATACCAGTTGCTATTTTTTAAATATTATTTTTTATTTTTCATTTTTCTTAATTACCTTGTAACTATTTTTATGAAATTTAGCTCTTTCATATGACTTCTTAGGAAAATTTAATATTAAATTCTGATTTTATAACGCATTTTAAATCAACTTGATGAAAGAATATATCATTAACAAAGCCATATAACATTTCCAATATTGAGAGTAGAATATTCTGTTTGTTCTATAGTTGCTAAAAAGCATAGCTTCTGATTTTTGATAATACTTTAATGTAAAAAGCAAATGTGTAGAATATAAATGTTATTTTAAAGGATTTATATTAAAAAAGTAATATAATCCTTTTTTAGTCGAACGCAATGAATTAAAGTGAACATTTAATTGATATTGAAAATATTATTAACTCAAATTAGAATAGTTATTAAATATATGTAAATTATAATGCAATAGATAAATATCAAATCAAATTATCATAGAGTTACTTTTTATTCAGTTATTTTTATTCTGTGCATAAGCAAGTAAGGAAATAAGTTTATAAGAACTAATTTTTAGTTTTTTATATAAATTATAATAAAAGTTAAATAATTAAATATTTACTAAAATATATTTTGTGCAACTTCCTAAACGAAGTAAACAAATCCGCATTTGATCAGATCTGATTAACTAACTAACTAGTTATATACTTATTTATGGTTGAATTTTTTTTAATTTTTAATTTTACGCACACCGGTTTTTATTAAACAAATTCTTTAAAAAATGAACGAATGTCAATTCATTTTAAATAATTTTGATGATGATGCATAGTAACTATTAGACAATGAGTGATGTCATAAAATCAACTGCATAATAATATTTCTAAATATAGTTTATAAAAAATAATTAATAAGAAAGTAAAATAAATCTTTTTGTTTCATTTAATAATAGTCAATCATCACAATTTTTTAAATTTATTATTTCTTACCCATCTTCTTTGAATTTATCTTTATGTATTTCTTATAATTCCTTAACTACTTCTTTCATAATAATTTCAAATTTTTTTGTTATAAAATTAAATTGATATTCTTGTTAATAAAAATACTCTTAGAAAAAATATTGTAATAACTTTCTATTATATCATTTAATTATCAACAAAAACTAAATTGCATGATTAATTATAAACAAATTTTCTTTTTATTAAAAATTCATATTTATTTTCAATATTATTTTTGTTTGTGTTAAAATTTTTCTCTAAACATTAAAAAAAGAAAGAAAGAATAGTTTATTGATAAATTAAATAATCAGCAAATTAGCATCAGATTTGTTATTAAAAAATATTTTTATATAAAATGAAATAAATAAATTTTTCAATAATAAAATTATTATAATTAAAATATAGAATTATTTGTGAACAAATAAATAACCAAAAATAATTTTTTTTATTAAATGAATTTACATGAGATAAAGTTTTCAAATAAATATTGTTCTTATTTTTAAAAATAACTCTATCGCTGAAAAAATTAGAAATTTTTATTTAAATATATTTCAATTAAAATTTAGATATAAAAAGTTATATTTTGCAACAATCTATATATATACATTTTTCAAAAACAAACAAGCAAACAAATATTAAAAAAATTTGTTTATTTATTTTTGATCTCTCCTTAAAAATTAAACATAATTAAAATTAATTTTTAGTTATAATTTATTTATAAAACAAAGCAAATTTATTTTCTATTTTATTTTTTAATCTTTTGATTTATTTAAATTAAAAAAAATATTAAAACAAAAGAAATTTTTTAATAAATTAATATAAGAAAAACAAATTAATAAAATGCTAAAATATCTAGGCGCAATTATTAAAAAAATTAATGAATGAATTGTTTTTTTTTAAATAAAATACAAGAAAAACAATTTATTTGGATTAATGTAAATTAATTATTGTGTTTTTAAATAACTTTGACAAATTCTAATTAAAATAAAAAAAATTTTAATTTTTATTTATAGATTAATTAATTTGAATTAGCTCAGAAATAAATCATGCCAATAATTATCTTAATTTTCTTTTAATATGTAAAGAACTTCTTTACTTTACTGAAGTAGTTTTATAATTAATTTATTAAAAATTTAATTTAGCATCTGGTTAATGACAGGAAAAAAATAACAACCTGTTAAGGGTTTTAATGTTAAAGGTATGATTTTGGCTTTAAAAGGTTTCGGTTTAAGTCATGGACTAGTTATGAGAACAATGGAAAAATTAGGATTGCCTATCTCATATAATTTGATTACTGAAACTATGACCAACTGGAAAAATGATTAGTTAGTTGGAAACTTGGATTTAAAAAAATACCTTGATTTAATGGAATTGAGAAGAACTGATCCTGACGCATATTATAAAAAGCTCAATACTTACAAAAGAGATAAATTAGAAACTCGAAATTCTAAATGGAAAAATAAGGTTTTTAGTCTATAAAATGTTTTAAGTACAAGCAAACTTTCATCATCAAGCAATAATTAGAATTCCTAATTACTCAGCAAGAAGTAAAAAAGCATGCAAAGTATCTCTCCTCATAAACTTAGACATGAAAATCACCAATAAAGTATCAATTAAATTACTTTCTAAAAATTAATGAATAAAAAATGCTTTTTTAAATAAAAGAACAATTTAATTCAAATATTGTCAGCATCTCTTAGAAAAAAATGAGTTTTGAACGTGATTCAGATTTTGAAGATCTCCAATCAGAATCAGGAGAAGATGATTTTCGTGTTTTTGACTAAAAATATATTAAAAAATCTGATTTTGGCAAATTAGATAAAAATCACTCTAAAATAATGCATGGTTCATCAACAAAAATTGTAAAAAATTAATTTATTTTTTAAAGTTATTTAGTTAAAAATTTTTTAAATAAACAAACAAATCTAGATTCCTAAATTGAAAATTATAAGTAAGAGGCCAAATAAATTTTAATGAACTGAAAATATAAGTATAAAAAAGCAATTAATTAATTAACTATTGGTAAATCAGAAACCTAAACTGATAGGTAATTGAAGTATGAATTTTAAAGATAAATAATCTATAATAATTAGTAATATTTAAAAAACATTTATATGATAAAATATAATTAATTAATATTAAAGATTTATTTATTTATATTAGTTCAATAATTTGTATTTTTTATCTCATCCTCAATATTAGAATAAACAAAATAAAAAATATTATTTTTCAAAGCCTAATTTAATTAAAATATTTATATATATATCTATCTATATTTGATTTTCTATTTCTTCTTTTTAATATTTCCTTCATTACTAAGATCTTCCAAAATCATTAAATATAATCATATTAGATTAAAACATATTCAAATTCGTTTCTTGAGTTTAAAATTAATATTTTTTTAAATATATTTATTTATAACTCAAAATATCTCTTTTAATAAAAAATATTTTTTAAAAAGATTAATTAAATTAAAATATTTATATCTATGTTTGTCTGTCTATGCTTGATTTTGTATTTCTATTTTTTTATATTTATTAAGAACCTTACAATTTCATCAAATATAATCTTTTTGATTAAAGCATATCAAATTGAGAAATAATAAATAAATAAATTTAGTCATTAAAAAATTAATTAAATTTTTTTGCAAATTAAAGTCATAATTTTAGTAAATTTAGTTTATTTTCTTTTTTTTATTTATATTAATTTCTTATTTTTATAGCTCTTAAAATAAAATTTTTGATGCTATTACCTAACAACTGATAAATTAGATTATTATTTTTTTTATAAGATTGAAAATTTAGTTCAACTTTAAATAATTTTTATATTTTTAATTTAAAATAATTAATTTTTTTTAAATATTAACAAAACAGACAGAAAATAATTAAAATGAAATTTCTTAAAAAAAAACTTCTTAAAATTAAACTACTTTAGATGAATCAATAAATAAAATAATTAGTTAATTTTATTAAAAAAACTTTATTAAATTTTTGTGAGATCAATCAACAAATATCATTAAATTTTTAAAATACCTTATAAAATAGATCTCTAATCTTTGTTTATCTATCTATCTATCTATCTTTTATCCATCTAGATGGTATACAGATTTATATTAATAGTGTTAGATATAATCTCTTATATATTTTCAACCTTAGAATTAAGAAAATTTTTCTGATTAAATGTTAAATTATTAATTTGAAAATAGTATTTTTTTTTTGTGAGAAAATTTATAATTTTATTAAACAAAAAAAAAAATATGATATTAAAATGATAAATTTTTGAAATATAAAAATAAAGTGAATTATTATTAATAAATTCACAATAATTAATAAATTAAAAATCATTTTTATTAAGATTTTTAATAATTTTATATAAAATAAAAGATTTTATTATATATTAAACAAATAAATTGAATTTAATAAAATAAGATTGATTATGCATTATCTATCTATCTATCTATCTATCTATCTATCTATCTATCTATCTATCTATCTATCTATCTATCTATCTATCTATCTATCTATCTATCTATCTATCTATCTATCTATCTATCTATTTTCTACTCAATTCATATCTTTAATATTTTATAAAAAAGTTATTAAGATAATTTTTTAATTCTTAATATTTTCAATAAGCAAAAAATGAGAAAAAAAATATATTTAGGAATTAAAAGATTCAGATATATAGCCATTGATTAGTGTGTGATAAATACTTTTAAAACTAATTTTAAAAAAATATATTTTCATTTAAACATCGGGGTTGGGGTTGGGGTTGGGGTTGGGGTTGGGGTTGGGGTTGGGGTTGGGGTTGGGGGTCGGGGTTGGGGTTGGGGTTGGGGTTGGGGTTGGGGTTGGGGTTGGGGTTGGGGTTGGGGTTGGGGTTGGGGTTGGGGTTGGGGTTGGGGTTGGGGTTGGGGTTGGGGTTGGGGTTGGGGTTGGGGTTGGGGTTGGGGTTGGGGTTGGGGTTGGGGTTGGGGTTGGGGTTGGGGTTGGGGTTGGGGTTGGGGTTGGGGTTGGGGTTGGGGTTGGGGTTGGGGTTGGGGTTGGGGTTGGGGTTGGGGTTGGGGTTGGGGTTGGGGTTGGGGTTGGGGTTGGGGTTGGGGTTGGGGTTGGGGTTGGGGTTGG